CATGCTTGATTAGGTGCTATTGTGAATTTGCTTACCCTTTTCCATCGTTTAAGTATGTTCTTCCTGTTTGTTTTTCTCTGAAAGGATAATTTTAAATGGCCCATTTAGTCCAGCCACATGTTTTCTTTGTATTTGCAGCAACGGTATAACCTAATAACGGAATAATTAGAAGAGTATATATAGGGGGAAAGAAAGGTTGTTAGCCACAATGGAATGGTCCTGACTCTATCCACTTTTAGCCTTCTGAGAGGGCCCTTGTCCTCCATATTTTGTTGGCAGCTATGTATAATGTGCAGCAGTGGTGGCAAAAATTCTTCCTTTGTTGTATATTTCCACTCAATTCAGTCAGTTTAGTAGACTTTTGGGCCATCGTCAGGATTATGTTCTACCAAGCAGCTGATAGTGCCTACTACATTAAGGAAAAAGCAATCAACCAATATTTTTACGTGGGGACGACTGAATTTTTCTCACGGCAGAGTGCTTTGATATTTTCAATGAAGTTAGTTGTTTTAATGCACATCTAATTTTAAAAAATATACTACCATTAAGCAAACATTGTTTCTTTCATTTATTTAATGCTGACAACTTCACTTGAGTCACCATATGGGCAATGGGAAAAATCTGTTTGAGTCAAATGTAGTAATTTATTTGTTGCTTGTTCACTGCCTATAAAGTCGCTCTATGTTAGCACCTTTCTTGTGGGTGTAGCTTTTGCTTACCTGAATTTGAGTGTTGAAATGGTTTAACTCCCTCCTTTCTTTGCTGGTATATCCATGTTGCTTTGCTATTCTGCAATTTGATGTAGGATCCTTTAATCTATCGGCAATATTCAGGGTGATTGATTACTTGTCAGTCACTTCCTTGACACGTTAGAATTGTCTGTTAACGTATGCATGTTGATTGCAGCTCTAGCAGGCAATTACGTCAACTTTGGTGTGTTCGAGCTTTATGGTGATAGGGCACTTTCAGATGCACTTGATATAGCCTTGAAGATGACACTTTCAATTCCTCTGGCTGATATCTTAGCATATAGGAAGGTATGTGAGACATGGATTCCTATGATATGGACAGCTTTGCTAAGTATAGCAATTCAATCACCATATCTTTATATGTGCAATTAAATTCTGCTGCCTGTATATGCACTAGACTGACTGTAATAGTAATTTCTTTTGCAATCTCTCTGGTATTACCAAACCACCACATTGATATCACGTTTTGTTTCTGGCGTGGGATGATTGTAGTAATGTTGTTATAGGAATATGTTTCTGTAATTTGAGAATATTTATCCGGAAAAAGAAAGAGCATCATGTTATTATGTCCATGGTGCAGAATTGATGACATTTCTAATGAAGAAGTAGTTTGCATTTAATCTTTAGGGGCCAAATGTATTTATTATTCTTTTTGGCTTGTTATGGGCCATGCCACCACACATCAAACTCATATCTTGTTCTCATTTGCAGTTAACAAGAGCCTACTTTGCATTCCTAGAGGTTCTATTCAGCAGCCACATAGTTTTTATTCTGAATCTCGACACAAGTACCTTCATGCATATTGTCGGTTCACTTGAATCGGGTCTTAAAGGTTTGGATACAAATATCTCATCTCAGGTGCGTAATTAGTTGATCCTCTCTTCTTTTTAATGGGGTCTATATCAAGGTGTTAAATCAAAAAGTGAGAATGCATAAAAATAGCTTTGGAACTGTGAGCTGTCTTGGCCGGTTGGATAAGGAAGATCTCAGAGCATGATATATCATCACCTCCATTGTGGACATATATCTCCCAGACAGTAGTATTATGGAGTTTTCATGAAGCAGCTCCGCTATAAGCTTCTGTATTACCAGAAAAAGTCACTTGACGCCTGTGTCATTTTGGTTTAAGGGCCACCACTTTTTCTGTATTATACAGGCAACATGTTAATTTTGTTTTTCTATTTCAGTGTGCATCTGCTGTTGATAATTTGGCAGCATACTACTTCAACAACATCACGATGGGTGAGGCACCCAATTCACCTGCTGCTATAAATCTTGCTCGACATATTGCAGATTGCCCAACCTTGTTTCCAGAAGTAAGAAAGCAATCCACTTTTTTCAATATTGTCTTTTTGCTAAGTATCCCCAGTGCGGTAGCTTCTTGGTAATGACTTCAGCGAAATAAGAATGACAATGATATAAACTAGAAAAATTAGGAATCTTTTCCTGCAATTAAATTTGAGGGCTACGGCATGCATTAAAGTTGGATTTTGTAATTAATGTCTTTTGTTTAACATTTAGTGCAGGGAAGATCTATTTTTTGTTTATTCATAAGCTCAAATTGAAAATGTGCACTCAGACTTTTATGTTTTTCTGTATAGATATTAAAGACTCTGTTTGAGATTGTTTTATTCGAGGACTGTGGAAACCAATGGAGTCTTAGCAGACCAATGCTTAGCTTGATCCTCATCAGTGAGCAGGTTAGATTTTATTAGCTTTTCCTATTGATTTACAGGCTCTTTTCTTTTCTAAACTTGTTAATTAATGATGAATGTTTTCCTTGGTAATGTAATGTACTACACCTGCATGATTATAGCAAATCAATAGCGTGTCATTGCATAACTCCTTTAGTATCATTTTAGAGCATCCCATATTCCCCTCTGTAGGTTCAAGTATCTAAGTTAATCATTGTCATTTCCTGCAATTTTTTATAGGAAGGGGAACTGGCAAGTCATGGAGCATAATAGAGCTCCATTATTACTTGTATTTAGAGTTAGATGCCATGGGTTATCATCTTTTTTCATGTTGATAAGTATTGTCATTTCTGTTTGGAATTTGTTTATGCAAGTTTGATATGTTCTTCTTAGCACTGATGTTTAGCTGAGACTTTTCACGTCTTTTGCAGATATTCTCGGATTTGAAGGCTCAGATTTTGTCGTCACAAGTAAGTTAAATTTTTGTTGTAATATGTGCTAGATATTTGTATGCAAGTGGGAAGGTCAAAGTTTAGATCAAGGAAAGCGGACAGTGTCTACAATCAGACTGTGTCTTGGGTTAATTTCCGCTCATCATTAGCCCAAAGTAGTAAGCATGATAACTGGCTTTACATATATGATTGGATTGGTGGATTGGGAGTATCCTCTGTTGCCTGCAATACGAGAAATTATGGAATATTGGAGCAATAGTTGTCGGTGGGATGCTGGGTAATGGAGACAACATTTAGTTGAATTGAAAGCAGAAATGAAAAGGAATAATTTGGTTTTTACAAACTACAAAACAACTTTTGATTGATTTTTCTTGTTTTCTGATCGTTATGTGTTTGTGTGGCGTGAACAGCCGATGGATCAGCATCAAAGGCTCTCGCAATGTTTTGACAAACTGATGGCGGATGTTACTCGAAGCCTAGATTCGAAGAACAGGGATAAGTTCACTCAGAACCTTACTCTTTTCAGGCACGAATTTCGGGTCAAATAATGTGGCATATTCTTGCGACAACGAATCCAACGGTGCTCTGTTGACCGTGCGCATGGATTTTTTTGGTGTGGTCCTTTGACCTTGTTTGCAGACACAAAGGATCAGATATTGCAAAAAGCTTGGGCTAAAAGGGGGAGAGATTCTGTATGGGTGGATTGTGGGTTTCTCTGTACAGTAGTTTGTGGTCCTTTTGTTTGGAGATGGATGCTTGCTGGGTTTCAGGAGGACTTTTCTTTCTATATGATCTTCTTAAGCGGTGGTGGGTTTGGTATAGCTGCTTAGAATTCCCTTGGGAGATGTATTCTTTTAGAATTGAAGGTGTAAATTTTGTCCACCTGTGATTCATAGATTTTTAAGGTTTCTGTAAAATAACCTGAATATTCTTTGTACTTGTGTATAAAAGAAGGGGGGCGGAAAAGGAAGGAAAGGGGAAAAAAAGAAGAAAGTATTACTTCATTTGCTTTTTTATTTTTTTCGCTCTGTCCATCATCCACGGGCCATAGTTAACCACATTTGCTCAGTCTCATTTCAGGATTCTGATGAATGCTGGTCGACACACCATGGCACAGAGATGTTCCCTTGCCTTTTGAGCTCGTGCAGTCGCGGTTGTCCCCTGCCTTCATATTTGATAAGGCGAAAAACCGGAAACCAACAATGTGGTTCCTTCCGCACGAGCTAGTAATAAATCAGGTAGGTGTTCTGGGTAGTAGAATGGAATTCCTAACGCGACTGGATTTCGTGGACGAATTCGTCAGTGTGCTAGTGCAAACTATCCAACCAGTTAAGCTATAAGAGGAAATCTTTTGCCAGTCAGTGGATATGATTAGCTATTTGTACACACTGATGCCGGATCTAGCTCATGGAAACTAATAAACGTTACCATCATCCATGGAGACCGACAGATATCAAGAAATGGCCTCATGTAAATCCATGACGGTCGAAATGTAAGTAAATGGATTCGGAAAACATGTATTCATCCAATGATAATGTAATCATCGCTAATTACAAAAGAATGTACAAACCATATCAAAAAGTCAGCTTATGGGAGGTGAAAAGGAAAAATGAAGTCACCAGACCTATCGCCTAAATCGATCTTTCATAGCATAAGAATGCCTCACTTAAGTGCTAACTTAGCCCAGAGCGAAGATCTAATGACTAACAAGCGAAACAGAATCCATGCAACCGGAAGCCAACTCCTTAACAACTTCTGAATCCATCATTTTCGCAAGATTCGCCCACCTCTCTTGAAGCATACAGACCGAAGGTTCCAAAGGATTATGGCCATCCCCTCAAATTTGGTTACCCATGAAAACTCGCGGGCAGTAGGTCCGTAGCAGCTTCTGCATAAGGGGACCTGCAATTCATGGAAAAGGAAACTCACAAAAAGAAAATCGACCTTCTTTATGTTGTTGAAATTTAATGTAATCCTTCGTTGTAGGTGGTGAACTAGAGAACCGCCTTCTCTGGCTGTGAGCGCATACAACCGATGACACAACAAAGCTAGCTCGTATAACCAAGTATCCAGAAGAATGCTCTTACCTTAGTTTCCGTTAATGAAGAGGACTTCGGACTACTAGCAGACTTTTTCTTTATACCATCGATGGACATATAGCATTAGGACAAGAAAACACATCTGCTCGCCAGCGTTCAGAGTTGTGGCAGCTCAATCTCCTGAAGATAGCAATATGCATCGCTGAAATATTTATTCGATAATGTGATCAGATGAAAGTCATTAGAAGTTTCACTAGTCTTTTGTCGAAAGGCCTCCTTATCATGTGAAATGTGAACTTTATTGTGCGGAAATCTCTATACTCATTTACCTTGTAAGTTCATGCGACTGAATTCACTGATTCTGTGAGACGCCCATCTCCAATCTCAGGCCGATCTACTTGGAGTCAGATGATGGACGATCTTGAGTGGTCAGATCTTCAAGTATATACATCTGAACTGGGAAAATAACACGTGGATACTTGAGTAACTCCATTAAGGCCACATGAACCAAGTGACCAACAAGCCAAAAAAATTTAATGATATTTTCTCTCGAAAGGTAAACATATGACGAACATTTAATAGCACAATTAAAGTACAAGAGTTCTTACACAATATGCTGGGGCACCTCCAAAGCAACCACAATGTGCACAATTAGAAGTTAAGCAGTCAGACATGCCAGGGCATCTCCGAAGCAATTACAGTGCCTCACCTGCCAGTTCAATGTACCATAGATAAGTACGCATCATCACCTACGTAAATGCCATTTTTCGCTAGTATTTTTTGCAGCTTAGAGTGTGCAGTTTCTGCAGGATTTCCGAACCGCTTCTTTTCAAAGCCAAGGATAAGTGCCCTATGAGTAACATTGTTCGGATAAATATCACCCTGCACCATCATATTGACCAAGTAGCATGCATCTTCCACGCATCCAATCTTACATAATCCATGAATGAGAGTATTGTACAGAATCAGGTCAGGCCTCAGTCCAGCATCAAGCATCTTGCGGAATAGCGCGTTTGCTTCTTCCATTCTACGTGCCCTACAATAGCCGCTGAGAAGAGCACTACAGGTTATAATGTCAGGCTGCACGGGTACTTCACTCATGGAGGACCACACGAGAAAAGCTTCCTCAAAATTCCCCCTTTTTGAGAATCCGTCTATCACACTAGTGAATGTCACAACATCAGGAGAAAAGCCCCTTTGGACAAGTTCATCTAAAATATCTCTTGCCTCAGTCACAAACCCATTCCTCATTAGGCTGTGAATGATAGTGTTGTACGTGATGATATCAGGAGAAATATTAACAGTTGTCATCAAGCCTAACAGCTTAAAAACCTTATGCAAGCAGCCCTTCTTCCCATAGAGTTGTATTAAAGTGTTGCAAACAACAACATCTGGCACTAAACCATCTTTTATCATTATTTGAAACATGTGCTCTGCCATTCCCATGTCCTCTATTTGGCAATTCACATCAATGAGCACCGTATATGTAGTTGTGGACGGTCTATTACCACTTTTCAACATTTTACCAAAGTATTGTAAAATTCTCTTTGTATCTCCAGCTTTAGAGTAGCCTTGGATCATGGTAGTATAATTAAAACAATCTGGACGTAAGCCTACTTCAGGCATCTCAAGAAAAAGTTTTGAAGCATCTGACATGTTATGATCTCTGCATAACTTTGTGAGAAAACTATTATACAAGAAATTGTTAAGGGGAAGGTTGCACATGCTTAAAATACGAATTGCTTTTCCTAGATTTCCCACCTTACAATAGCCATCAATGACTGAATTAATTACAACAGAATCCAGGAAGAAGCCCATCTGCAATATCTTAAACAATAAACATGTTGCTTCCTTTAACCAGGACATCCTGCAGAGATGGTGAACTATGATAGAATATGCAACCATATCAGCTTTGATCCCATAATTTTTCATTTCTACGACCAACTTCCAAGCACTACTTATGTCACCCTTGATACAGTAGTCATTGATAAACAAACTGATAACAGAGGCATTCATACCTATTCCTCGGCTTTGCATTTCCTCCAAAAAATCCCAAGCCAGGTCTGATTGGTTAGATTGCAAAAGTGCCTGCAATAAGGAATTACAGACGGCTGCTGAAGGAAAAATTTCAAACAGTCTTCCTTTATATGATGCTTCAAGGGCAATCTTTAACATGCCTTCCTTGATGTAAGAATCGACAAGTATACTATATACAGTTTTCAGTACTCTTCTTTCTTTGCAGGTATCAAGAAAAGTATCCAGCAAAAGAGTGGAGGAGTCCTGACCATGATATGTCCGTACAAGATACAAGATAAGACGAACCGCTATATGATTCATGTTCCTCGAGGCAAGAATATGAATCATTTTACAAGTAGCTCGGATCCCACTTTTAAATCCTAGAGCAAGTGCAGCTTCTGAATTCTGATCAAAGAGATTGTCCAAGTCCCTGACCATATTAATCTGATTCAATTTAGCCCAGTACAACTTTTCACAACCTTGAATCCATTCGCAGTTTGCGTCTAACATTTTCATGCTTTCCATATCAATTTCCTCTGACTTCTAATTTTCCAAAAACAAGGAAATCTCCTCAGCAGAACAATGATCACCACGACAAGACTCCATTTCATCAATATTTACAGCCGAAATACAACCTCTTTTTGGTAGAACTTCTCCTTCATAAGAAATGGGGATTTCATCATCGAGCATACTAAAGCACATAGCTGCTGAATTCCCAGGTGAAAACGGTCTAGAAATCTTATTACTCCGAAATATCAGCCTGAGTTTGGCAGAGCAGCGATAAATGAGAGAGATAGAACCCCTCATAACCGATAGAATGATACTAGGGAAACGAACTTGTACGAGAAAGCCATCGCCGTCCTCATGGGAAACTGCTACCATATCTTCTCATTCTAACTATCGATATAACACGGCTCCAAACATTCCAATTTCCACGTCCATTAATTCTCACATAACCGTCCTATGTTCGAAGCCAAAAGCACTACTCAAAAAGCACGGAAATTTATCCGTATACGTTCCCGGTAAACTGAAAACCCGATTAAGCACACCTCCAAACTACTTAATTAAGAATCCAGAAAACCTCTATCTCCATTATTGGCCACACACGAACCGCTCGGCGTGCCGACTTCACGAATTCAAGGAACTACCACGAAATCCTACACAAACCAAAACACAAAGAGTCACTAAGCGCCTGCTCACGACTTACGCTTATCCGACTACTAGTGCCAACAATGCGACAAGGTACAGCCGTTTCCAATCCAAACCACAGGACACACACACACACACACACACCCAAAAAAGACATCATCGTACACAACAAGTTTCCAGTTCCACCTCAAACTCCTCGCCCACCCCCTCCTCACGCGTCGCGGGTGCGCGGCAACGATCGGAGAAGAAGGAAGCGCACGAAGAGCACGTAGACTGAAACACTCCCCAGTCCCTCAACGAATGAAAGGAGAAACGAAAGACCAAACCAAATCACAGAGGAGATTGAACTCTTCACCACACCTGCGCATCATGCCGACGCAGTCGGCGCTCAACTGCTCAGGCCTTCGAGAGGCGTCAACTCCAGCTCCGGCTCGGCGATTTCCACAGCAGAAGAACGTCCAAGAGCTAGAGAGAGAGGGAGAGAGAGAGAGAGTTTAACGGCTTCTCTCTCCTCTCGCTCAAACTGTGCAGAAATGGAGGCGACCCGAGTTCCCGGAGCGGGTCGATATTGGGCCGGGCGAATGGCCCAACGGGCCGGGACGGGCCTATTTTTTACGGGCCCCGTTTCCCGATCCGCAAGCCGCGGAAATCAACGGGCATCCAAGACAAAAAAGTCACCATTTCCATTATCTTATCTTATCTTAAAGTACGAAAGATGTCTTTGAAACTTTATGTCGTTATTATTTTTTTTCAAAAGCACAAGGGAATTTTTCCCCTCACGTCGCTCTCGTGTTTCCAAATCACAATAATTTAAAGCATATCCATTTTTTCTATAAAAAAAAAATCACTTTCAGCGAAAAATCTGGAAACATTTCCAAATATAATATATATAAATATCGGGACGTAAGTTAGCGAAAAGATTATCTTGATATTTTCCGAAAATTCAAAACCGTGCAGTTCGACTTCGGGAGATGTTATTATCAGGCAGCTAAATTTTCTAATTATCTCCTAGCACGAAAGTCAAATAAATGGAAATTAGAAAGATAATGGAAACGCGATAATAAAGAAAATCTAAAGCTTAAAAAAAGAAAACAAGTGGTGCGACTCGAGGGACAAAGTTCCCGAGACGATTTCGCAGAGAAACATATCAGATAGAGAACGAAGAAGAAGAAGCCGAAGAAGAAGGAGGAGGTGGAAGAAGAAGGATCGGCGGCGGCGGCGACGACGAAGAAGCGGCGGCGGCGACGGCGACGGCAGCAGCAGAGATTCATCGGCTCAACAACCTCTCTCTCAGGTCTCTCTCTCTCTCTCTCTCTCTCTCTTGCTCGCTCGCGATGATGCTTGTTTTTGTCGGCGATGGCGTTGCGAATGATGGAATGTCCGCTGAAATTGCTGCATCTATCGATTCTATTGATCTTCTTCGGTCGAGGCCGTCGGTCCCGGGCTCGAATTGCCGGATTGATTTCGCGATCCGTTTTTTTTGTTTTTGTTTTAATTGGTCGTCGGAATGGCGACGGAATCGATTAGTCGCTGACGGATTGTTTCGTCTCTCTCGCGGGAGAGAGTTGCAGATTTCGTGGTTGGTGGTTATTGCTTTAGGTGCGACCTCGGAGCGCGGGAGAGTTCTGCAGATGAAACCGGTCTGTCCGTTCGTGAAAGCCTCGCGTCCCGAGGACGCGCCGTCCAGGAAGCACCAGAAGGAGCCTGGCGCTGGCGCGGATCCCGCCGGCGTCTCCCCCAAGTGCCCCTTCGGCTACGACGCGAAGCCGGATGCGGGGAGCGTCTCCCCCAAGTGCCCCTTGGGCTACGACTCGCAGACGTTCAAGCTCGGCCCTCTCAGCTGCATGATCTGTCAAGCCCTTCTGTTCGATTGCGCCAAATGCGTGCCCTGCTCTCACGTCTTCTGCAAGTGAGGAACTATAAATAGCATTCTTTTCTGTGTTATTTCGGTGATATTAATTGTGTCTCTAGTAGTCTATCAATGGAAGTTTACATACGAATCATTGCTTGGGCGACGTGGGGAGATTGGGTTAGGTTAGTTCAGTCAAATGCATATCTGTTATTTGTCCAATGGTGCTTGTCTGTCTGAATTTTCCTCTATAATCATCTTTGTGGTCCTTACGATCATTTTACTTGGGATGTTGAATCTAGAGGATGTATAATGCGATTTAAGGACTGCCCGCTATGCGGAGCTGATATCGAGAGCACTGAAGCCGACTCGAATCTTCAGAGCACGGTTGATCGGTTTATCGAAGGCCATGGTAGAATTAAGAGGTCCCATGTTGAGAATTCTGATAAAGAGGAAGTTACCAAGAAGGAGACGGTGATATATGAGGACGTATCTTTGGAAAGAGGCGCTTTCTTGGTTCAACAAGCCATGCGGGTGGGTTGATAGAATCGCATTTCTGAATCATTGGTTTTTATGCTTTGTGGTATCACATCTTCTGTTTGACAATCTATGCTCTTAAGTTATTTTCTCGCTTGTGTAGGCATTTCGTGCTCAAAATGTGGAAAGTGCCAAATCAAGACTCACTCTCTGTGCTGACGATATCAGAGATCAGATAGCAATGGGCAGCACATCAGAATTGTGTTCTCAGCTGGGTGCTGTCCTCGGCATGCTTGGTGACTGCTGGTTATCTCTCTCTCTCTCTCTCTCAACAACCAGCTATCTATTTTGTCCCCATCTTCAAACTTTAAGTGTCATATTAGCAATTGGACTTCTCCTAGAAATTGCAAAATCTGATGTGTAGATAGCTTAACCTAAAAGATGAGACTTTCAGATAAGCCTGCTTTTAGCCAGCATTAAATGGGGTATATTTTCTGTCGCCTCATTCCTGTGCGTAGCCAAAGAAGAAAAGGCTTCTCTCGTTACGGATGGAGTTCTTATGTGCAAAAAGATAGGCCGATTGAGATAATTTCTCCGGTACGTGAATTAGTTATGGATTTGTTCGTAGATCTTTGTTGCATTGTATACTAGAGTTAGTGTTGCGTTGTAAGGTTGTTGAGACTTGAGACTGAGGCCTGTGGCTCCAAGATTTGTAGTTACTGGCTGCTTTTGAATCAATATCAATGCCTTGCTGTCAAAGATAAAGATATATTATCTTATAAAATGTGGAGTTGATTAAAGTTTCTTTGCATTCTAGCAATTCCTTTTGCGTTATGAAATTGAAATACTTCAATTATTGTGACACGTTAGATGTTAGAAATTGATTGTCGATGTCGCATGTCTGTTGCAGTCGAGCAATAGGAGATGCTGCTTCTGCAGTCACTTATTTTGAGGAAAGTGTTGGGTTTCTAGAACAATTGCCAGCAGATGATATGGAGGTAATTGCGTCGTATTTAGTTGATGTGTGCTGACATTATATTCATTAACTCCCTCTGTCTCTCTGCGTCAAACTTGCTTCCGTGCAGATTACACATACACTTTCTGTTTCCCTTAACAAAATTGGCGATCTTAAGTATTATGATGGAGACCTGCAAGCCGCAAGATCTTATTATGACCAGTCTTTGAATGTTCGTCGGGATGCTGCAAAGCATAGTCCAGATAGTCCTTCGCAGGTTTGCTCTCTTTGCTGCTTGTGTGCGTGCAGTTCGTATCCTTCATCATGAAGTTCTAGTATATCTGATATTTGCAGCAATGCCTTCATGATGAAGTTGTAGGATATCTTCTATATGTTGCAATGTATCTGTTAGCACTTATTGTGAATACATATTTGTTTGCTATTTATATGATGTATCCTCTATTAGCCACGTTCACTGAACAATAGTGGGGAAGAGGATGGACTTAAAATGACACACATAAGTTGGAAATCAGAATGTAATATAAATCATGCTTGCCCTAAAAAATTGTGTTCAGATGATACACATTCTCTCACAGTGATGTGGTCAACAAGTATTATTGGTGTTGCAAGTTAGTTGCAGACTTGCAGTTGCACTCCTATTTAAATAGGAAACTTGGTCAGATAAACTGACTTCACAATTGCAATGAGGTTCACTGCATGAACCAAAGCCTATTAGAAGATGTTTACTTAAGTACGAGTTATTATTCAAGCAAGCATTGTAATCTCTGTCCGTACGAGTATGAATGCTGCAACATTAAAGGATATCATCGTAAAACTAGCACATTCTGTAATCTCTGCTCATACAGAATGTGTCCTTGCATGATTGTTATGCGGGTTCTCTCTGTCTCTCAGCCTCCCTGAGTTCGGCCTTTTCTTTTTTTCGCCCTCCTTTAAGGTTGACTTGTGTTTTGGGTCAAAAAGCACAGCCTTCTACTTTAGTTGGATGGGTGTTATCAAGAAGTTTGTCGAATTGGTCCTTTCTAAATTTTTGTGGTTTTTAACGTGGCTCTCTGATTCGTGTTGTAACCTACTCCTGACTGAGAAGAAACATCTACAGATGACTGGTTCAAATCACTAGAATGCGACATGTCAAAATAAACGCCGTTTGTAGTGTACTGTAGATTCTTAGTGGGTGAGCTAGTTTTGGGTTTTCCAAATGTGGTTACACCTCTGAATGTATGTAGATCAGATTGAATACAAATTCAGGTATATCTTTCTCGGTCAATATAACCCGGTCTGAGCAAGTCTGATATTTGGTCAATCTTCAGGGCGCTGTGGCAGTCTTAATATTGCTATTATTTTCTGCCACTATGGATAGTAAATACTTTTGCTCAGTCTGTATGGAACACTAGTCACTTGATAAATTTGATTTTTCGTGTCGAGCAAATTCATGTTGGCAATAGATCATCCTTGTTGAATTTCTTTAATTTCTGTTACTAGTCAGTGACTGTCGATGCCGGGACCTTTATCTTCACGTTTATCCGTCTGTCAACAGATTCTAGATGTGGCTGTTTCTCTGGCGAAAGTGGCGGATGTTGACAGGAGCCTCGGAAACGAAAGTATTGCCATTCAAGGATTTCAAGAAGGCATAAAGCTGTTGGAATCATTGACACTGAAATCTGAAGATATTGGTCTCCAACAGCGTGTAAGATGAACTTTCTTGGCTTGATTTCTACTTTTGCTACTAAAGCTCTTTTTGACATTTTTAGCACCCTACACAGCGGCAATCTGTGCTGGAGTTTCTGAAAAACCAGCTGGCGGAGAAAGAACCTAAATAAAACTCGCTCAGGTCAGGTTTCAGACGTGTGTCTACCTTCCTCTGCTACTGTATATTCCTGGCCTTCCATCTCAAATAATAAAATCAGTTTCATGAGAAACTGCAAGAGTTGAAAGTGCATCTCTGATGTAGCCAAAGAAGATAGTCCTGCAGGATTAAGTGATGGGTATTGTCCGCAGCAGAAAGGCATTGGCATGCTTTGCAATCTGCAAGTGACTGCCGAAGGAAGCTGTGGTGGCCAATCTGTTTCCCTCTTGTTCTAGTATCAGTTCATCCTCACGGATTGGTAGCTTTCTGCCTTGAAGTCCCAATATGTAATGTTCTTGTAGCCTCTCTCTTCTGCCAATAAATGGTTCCTGGGATTTTTGCTCCTGAAGCTGTAAGGTCAAGTGACGTCTATAAGTTGAATGTAGAGTTCTTCTGTTATTCTTGATCGCGAGCCTTTCTTTTTTGGATACTCTAATCTGAAGGTAAGTGGACGTTGTGGAAATTTCAGTGAAGTTGAACATGTCGGCACTTTAAGATAGAATTTGGTTCTACATAAAGGAAGCGATGTCTCAAATCGACTCTTGCAAGGGATTGTTTTGGTTGGAACAATGCTATAGGTACTAAAAGTAGTCTACAAAATGGTTTGATTAAGCGATGGGACACATTCTTATTGGGTGCTTGATCCACTTGTTTATACATCTTCACAGAGTCTTCTACGTAACTTAGTAAATCAATCTTTGTAGTTCAGCCTTATCCTCGGTAGCATGTCTGTAATTGCACTGTCCATCTGCTTTCTTGATCGAATCTGTCTCAGTGAAAAAGAAGCCAGTCAGTGGAACAACATCATGAAAGCATATAGAGAGTTATCATAGTGAAAACCAAGTTCAAGCAACATTCGATCTGATGGCCAAGAAAAAGCACTCTATAATTTGGGGCATTGTGGGTAAAAGGATCTGATGCGAGTTTCACTCTCTTACCCCCATTTTAGGACTGAGAGTATTATGATGTGACAAATCGGAGTGAGCTAAACCATCGACCAAAAGTTCTTGGTGGTAAAGCAAATGAAGGTAGAATAGTCTCAGAGGGTGTGGTGTCATTGCTCGACTAGCACAAATAAAAATGAAGCTTAAACTGCACCGATAAGTCGATGATCACCAGCTTAAGAGAGAGTTAACACCAAATTGATAATGAAGCTACTGTGTGTTGTGTACTCCACAGTCGATAAGAGAGAAAATATGAGAAAGACCCAAGGAAGGAGATGAAAGACAAAAAGAAAGGAAAAGCATTCAAATTGTATAGGTAGGGAAATCGAGAACGTGAAGGAGAAGAGAATGTTATCTGTGTTTGTCATGTGCGATTAGAATAAAGGATAAAAGGAGAGAATTTTGCACCTTTTGCCTAGCGAAGCTTCCCGTCATCTTATCTCCCTCGTCTTTTGCAAAAGAAGCACTAGCGCATGCCCGTTGCTTACATTGCAAGTAATGTGTATCCCCTTTGTGCGTGCCATGAACAACACACAACTTCGCATCGCATCGCTTTTCGAATTCGTTTCGGGGCTTGTCGTTGTAGCACCTAGACTTTCATGTCGAGTAGCTTTTCCACTTCTCTAGTTGCATCCGCGTCGATTGCATCTATAATTAAGACGCTATTAGCCAATCGTTGCTCTTCAAAGTTTAAGAAAGAGTTCTTTTGGAAGACATTCGTCGAAACCCCCGATTTACTAGCGCGAAACTCGAGCCGAAGTGAACGGTTGAAGCCATAACACACTACTTCTCGTGGCTTATCTTCTACAGTTGCAACTACTACTAAGGAAAAACATGCAAGTACAGTAGACTCAAGATTAGACCGAAGGAGAACAGGATGCTCTTGATTTTGTCTATTCTGCTTTTTGGACACATGGGGAGAGAGAGAGAGAGAGAGAGAGAGAGAGAGAGAGAGAACCCACATGCCAAAACAAAAACAATGTAGTTTTCGCTTTGCTTCTCTCTTGCAGAAGCCTAGTCCGTGATGATTCTGTATTCAAACACAGACGTTCAACACTATAAAAACATATTTATTTACAGAGAGGCCTGTTAATAATGTATGTGCGGAATTACCATACTTTATTCATTTTTACAGTTCCGAACATGTATAGAGTTATATTCAGTGTAGGGCTTGATTAATCGTGCTGCGACCCTACATCATATTTTAATCGTGGTCCCACTCGCGCAAAAGAAAATAAAATATACCTTCGAAATTGAAAAAACTGTGAAATTGGAGAAATGAAATTCAATGCATTCAATAAACACGCAATTGCTATTTGGTAGAACTATAGTGGATCACGGTTAAGGAACAATATGCTATCTAGAGTGTGACTTTTCAGAGCATGTATCATATATAGTTTCTCTTAAACGTTTGTTTTACTTTTAGTTAGTGCACTATTGAGTGGAGTCACAAAGTATGTTCTGAGGAGGGTGAGACTTCATCCTTTCTTTTTTCCTAAAAGGGAGACAATTTGCCTCACACAGTTCCTCCAGGTTCTGATAATCATGTGTTAATCTCAATCTTTGGTCCACATGGAATTAAGTCTTTAATACGCCTCAATGAAGAGCATCAACCGACAAAGACAACTGTTTGGCATGCCCAAACAAAAATTATTTCTTGGTGGGTCACACCAAGATAATTGTTTGCCGGCCCAGGAAGAAGATGAGTGAGAGCTTAATGTGACAAAATCAGTCAAAAGAGACAAAGTCATCACACTTGTTCTTCCAATTCCTGCACTTTGGATCAGAAGAGAGAGTTTGAGATATAGACAGAGTCTAAAAGAAGAAGAACTAATGGTGGAATTTAATCACCCAAGTCTTGTGCTTTTTCCACTTCCTTCTCATATTCAGTGTCATGGTTGTACTTTCTTCAGGTGGGCAACTTACTTCACACTCAAACACATATTCTTTTACTCTGATTTTGTTATTGCCTATGATCCAATGCAAGTGTATTTAAATGCATGGTCTCTCATGGAGTTTTTGCCTTCATCTTCACTTTCACTACTTGTGGAAGCATACTTTGATCTCTCTCACCGATGGCCTCTCTTCTTCTTCTTCTTCAGTCCCTCCTTTTCCTTTCGCTTCCCTGGTTCTTCATCTCTTCCACCGCATCATCAAACCCGATTCCAAAAGTAAGTGCAAGTGCTTACATATATGCATTATGCTCTGTATAATTAAACGAATTTGTCTAAATGAATCCTTATTGCTGGAACTAACTCCTCCTTGTTGCATACAAAAATGAAAATTCTAACTTATTTTTTTCGTTTTTCCGTTTGGTAAACTTGAAGCCTTATGTTGTGTATATGGGAAGTTCTTCAAACGGAGACAGAGAAGATGTTGAAGCTGCAGAATTATCTCACCTGCAACTTCTATCATCTATTAGCTCAAGGTTTACATATTTTGGTCATCTTTGTCTCAACTTATCATTCCTCATTCGATATTCTTTCTAATTGTTGTTTAATTTATCCCCTTTTTTTCTTTCATTTGGCCAGGCAAAAGAGCCAGAAAGTGTCTCTACTCCACCAATATTTCCATGCATTTAGAGGGTTCTCGGCCATGCTCACAGAAAGTGAAGCTTCTAAATTATCTGGTAATGAGTGTTAGGTTCATGAATACTTGGTCATGCTACTTTTACCATTTAGTGCATGACATTTTATCTACGGATGCTGGGTGTGTAGTGTCTGTGGACGGTGGGGTGGGCCAATTTCTGTAAGCTTGTCATAGTCAATCCCTCTCAAATGGGCGTTTATAAAATAATCATAAACTTTCACGCGCGCTTTATGGCTATTCATTTACATCAATTTTAGACAGAAATCATCACCTATTGTGCTCATTGCTCAACAGCAAGCTGTGGAATGATCCTTGCATTATGCCTTCACTGTTCTTCATGGGACTAGCCCCGGTGTTGTGTTCAAAGAGTTTGACTTTTTTCTTTTTTTCGTTTTAATTTTTTCTTTTTTTGTTGCTACAGCTGAAAAACGGGTAAAATATTGTCTATCATTAGATCATGGTTTTCTGCTAACATTTATTGTCCAAGTCTGTCAATATTCTCATCACCAAAACCATGAAGAGGTGAAGAGCCATGCTTGCAGCTTTATTAGTCAAGATTATAGATATGGAGAAGCTGATCTAGCTTTTGTTTTCTTGCTTTTAATGCAGTCGTTTTGTTTGTCCTCTTGTTAAGGTGTTTTGATAATGCAGACATGTTACACGTTGAAAAAACAACCAGCGCACTACAATTTCTAATGGAAGTGTTGGAATGTGTAAAATCAGGTCATGAGGAGGTGCTATCAGTGTTTCCTGATCCTGTGCTTCAACTTCATACAACACGTTCTTGGGATTTTTTGGAAGTGGGGTCAAGTGAACAAGCAAGAAGCCAATATCATCATCCATCCAATGATGTCATAATTGGACTTATTGACACAGGTAGTTAATCTTTCTTAAATATCCTACGCTAAATTTATATCATGGATTCCATTGTTTGCTTTTGTACCAGAGCATAAATAATAAAACCTTTGAGCACTAAAATATTGGATAAGACTTTAGTTTAGGGATCAATCAAGGCAATGCGTGTAATGCCTTGGAAAATTTCAACTTTCTGTAAAGATATATCATCTCTGAGTTCACTTTCTACAATGAAAGTCCAATGACAAGTAATTCAGAGTGCTTCTTGTAGAACACATGGACAGTTCCTGTCATGTTTTCAGAAGAAAACCAGAGGCTGGTTACTCAAGATAAATTGACCCATAGAAGGAAAATTTGTAGTTTCACTCGTATCAAGACAGCCCGCCAAAGAGACTACTCTATCTATTTACAAGCTGACGATTGGTCGGATGACTGTCATGTTGCAAAATCTTATCTTTCATTCCCATGCATATGTATAGATGCTGTTGTAATGAATCCAATGTATCATGTGTTGCTGCAGGAATATGGCCGGAGTCTCCCAGCTTCAGCGACGATGGAGTTGATGAAGTCCCTGCAAGATGGAAGGGAACTTGCATGGAAGCATCAGATTTCAAGAAATCCAATTGCAACAGGTAATTAATCATCCTTGTCCCAAATTCCCTTCATAAGGATTGTTTTTTTTGGTCGAACTTCATAAGGAATTCACCTAAAGAGGAGTTTATAAGTTTAGCAGGTGAGACAGGACTATTGAATTCCACAAAGCCTTCAACCCCCCAACTGTTCTGTCATTGCTGCATTTGGGTTTGTTTTGATTGATCAAAGTTTGTCATTGTGAGCACAAGTGCAGAAAGCTAATAGGCGCAAGATACTATGGCATCCAATCAAGCAACTCTAATGGCACTGGCACCGAATCAACTAAAGCCTCCGGGTCACCAAGGGACTCGGTTGGCCACGGAACACACACGGCCTCCACAGCAGGCGGTGTACTGGTGACCAATGCAAGTTATTATGGCTTAGCCGAAGGAACGGCAAGGGGCGGTTTGCCATCCACCAGGATTGCGAGCTACAAGGCCTGCACCGAAGAGGGTTGCTCTGGCGCGGTCATCCTCAAGGCCATCGATGATGCAATAAGAGATGGAGTCGATATGGTCTCTATTTCAATTGGGTCAAGCTCCATATTTCAGGCTGATTATCTGCATGATCCTATTGCTATTGGTGCATTTCATGCGGAACAGATGGGAGTTTTGGTGGTTTGCTCTGGTGGGAATGATGGGCCTGACCCTTACACTGTTGTAAATACAGCTCCTTGGATTTTCACGGCTGCAGCTTCTAGCATTGACAGGGATTTTCAATCTGCTGTGGTTCTTGGCAATGGGAGAACATATAAGGTAAATTGCCCAACCGAAATCTCTCGCTTTTTTGTACCAATGTGGGAGTTTCTTTTTTGACCATTTGAGCTAGTTGTTATGGCACAGATTTGTCATTCTCCGAAAATTTGTCTTGTAGGGATCTGCTATCAATCTTTCGAACCTCACTAGCTCAAAGAAGTATCCACTTGTGTTTGCTAAGAATGCTGCGGCTAATTTTACCCCTGCAGATGAAGCAAGGTAGGATATCTCACGCTTGCAACTTTAGCATGTAGATATGTGATGGCAGCTTACGTGACAGTCCACTCCAAAGATTTTAATGAAGGTCTGCCTTACAGACGTATTTCTCTTTAGCTTTATACAAGCTGGAAAATTCCCATTTTTTTTTCTCTTTTCTTGTTGGTAAGCTCCTTCCAGTCATATGGCAGTATCTTGTTCTTTAAGTAAGCATCTATTTCAACTATATCTGAGTGCCAAATATTGTACCTATTGTCTAGCACCTCAACACAATGTAAAAATAACATTATGTTGAATCGACCACGACCAAAGAGAGTCCATGATGTTTATGTATTGATGTTTTGCTGATTGCTTCACATACATAGTGGCATTGTTTGTTCAGATATCTGTGGTAGAGGTTCATAAATATTTCTTAATTTGCAATACGAAAGAAAAAACCAACCTGGCACGTTTATGAAATGCATAATTTTACGCGGATGTTTTCCAGGGATAATGTCGTTTCGTTTTTACCATTGTGCAGGAACTGCTTACCAGGATCAATAGATCGGACGAAAGTTGCTGGAAAAATTGTCGTGTGCGTTGACACCGATGCCATGGGGTCTAGGAGAATCAAAAAGCTTGTTGTGGAAGATGCCAAAGCCAAAGGGATGATTCTGATTGGCGATAATCACAATGGAGATCCTTTCGATTCAGGTGTTTTTCCATTCACACAGGTTGACAATGTTGCTGGGTACAAGATTCTAAAGTACATCAGTTCTGCCAAGTGAGTATATCTTACAATGTCCTTACAATAATATGCTGGGTATGATGCAAAAAAAATTGATCCAATTATCTTCGATTAGGTTTCTCTCTATGCAAAGATTATGACAAAATAAACAGGCAATGGTCCAGATGATCTAAATGTCATTGTCCATAGCAGGGATTCATCTGAAATTTTTCGTTCTTTTTGTCATGGGGATACAAATTTGAAATGATTACTGACGATGCTGTTCTGTCCTCGTCCACCATTTCATGATTATATTCCCGAAATGATTCTCGAGTTTAATTCATGTTCCTTTTCTTAGTGTTTGACATTATGCAGTCACTCATCCTTATTTTCCACTAGCACAGATCAACCTATTACACTGTACTGGTTCTCCATCCTTATCGAATGCCAAAATTAAAATTGATCGAATGACTCCGATCGATTGAAGAGTTCCCATTCTTTTATCTCAGCAATTGATGGAAGTGTTCATCAGTTGGTTGTTTTTGTCCCCAAACTTGAGCGAATATGTTATAACTGACATGAGAACTGTGGTCCTCCGGTTCCTCTACTACAGATATCCTACTGCAACCATTTCTAAGACCACCGCGGTTTCTAACCAAAGACCAGCACCAACTGTTGCACTTTTCTCATCAAGAGGTCCTGGAGAGCTAACAGAAAACATTCTTAAGGTTATTTCTTTTTCTGATATGCACATCAAGTATGCGGAATGATATGTATGCGGGTATACACACATTCCTGAAGTTGCATGACATTTTCTTTCAACCCGTCGTTTGCAGCCAGATATAATGGCACCGGGAGTTGCCATTTTAGCGGCGGACATTCCGAAGAATGATCCCGGGAGTGTTCCATTTGGCATGAAGCCATCTAAATTTAGCATAAAATCCGGTACTTCAATGGCTTGTCCTCACGTCACAGGAGCGGCTGCGATAATCAAGTCAGTTCACAAGGAATGGAGTTCTTCAATGATCAGATCCGCACTTATGACAACAGGTATGCCATCAATAAATAGTTCCAAGATCCTCGTAATCAAAATACATCATGATTCATCGTACATAGGACGCAATTTGGTTCAGTAGTGGCGTATCAACTCACTTGATTAATTAGATGGTCCACATCATGACAAGTATGATTATGCAATTGTCATTGACGTGTTAACATTGCTTGATGTCTTCAGCGACCTTCATCAACAACGAGGGTAAGCCACTGACGAACAGTACGAAGAGCCTCGCGAACCCGCACGAAGTCGGAGTCGGAGAAATCAGTCCTTACCGGGCTCTTCACCCGGGATTGGTATTCGAGACCACCACAAAGGACTTCCTCAAGTTCCTCTGCTACTCAGGCTACTCACAAAAGAACATCAGCTCTATGGCCGGTTCCGAATTCCACTGCCCCGAAAACTCCGGCAATGAGCTCATATCCGACATCAATTATCCGTCCATCTCCATAGGCAATCTCAAGCGGCACGGATCGGCAAGAGCCGTCACAAGAACAGTCACAAACGTGGGGCCTGCGAATTCGACATATGTTGCCAGTGTGGACAGTCCCGCGGGACTAATAGTAAGAGTCTACCCAGGTAAGATTGATTTCAGGCAAAATGCGAGGAGGGTATCCTACAATGTCTCGTTCCAAGGGAAAGAGGCTCCTGGCGGCTACAACTTCGGGTCTATAACTTGGTCCGACGGCAGGCACTCCGTCCGTACAGTTTTTGCCGTCAACGTCAAGTGATGTCATGAATTCGAAGTGGTTACTGTTGAGAAGAGAAGAGAAGAGAAGAGGGTGACTGATGATGCAATGTAATTCTCTTGATGATAAAGGCAATTTTTTCTTTGTTCATCAAGAGAATTAACCAATAAAAGTTTTCCCACTGTTTGTATCCCTAACCATCCTTAGAAATAAATTAGAAGGTCCGATATTCATTGTTCATGATGAAAGGACTCATTTATGATATCTGCTGATTTTGCATCTGATGATTAGATACAACTAATCAATGTTCAGTGATAATTAATGCCAAAAGGATACGATTTTTCGGACTTGAACACATCTGGGCATTTACTCAATTGCCACCATCGGTTGCCCGGATTGGAAAGATTAAACCTTTTCTGATACAGGATATGGGAGAGGAGTAATTCTAGTGGGTTAATTTCACGAATCAGTACCCATCAAAGTGAGTGATTAAGACACAAATCAGGAGTATCTCATGTAACATTTTCTGAAGCGCCACTCGTTCGTTGAGAAGAATTTAAGTATATATTCTCATTTATAATAAGTGAAAATAATTCTAACAATCTATGAACTTTGGCTCAATGTGTAATATGATACCTAAACTTTTAATTTACTCAAAATCGTCATTGAATTTTTGTTGGTACATGTTCAATTTAGTCCCTGAACTATATAAAAATATTCAATGTAATCTTTTAATTAATTTAGCTTCAGAGACTACATTGAATATTTACATATAATTAAGGGACTACGTTAAACATGTATCAAAATTTTAGGGATCAAATTATATATTGGATCAAAGTTCAGGGAACATTTGTGTCACTAGATTTCAATACGAAAAGAGAGAAATGTTTTTTTCCTGGTACATAAGGTAATTTCCTCCAAATTTATTACCGAAAAAGATGTAGGAAAATAAGACCGTTTGTTATGTCCTAAAAACAGTCCTACTTTTTGGACAAACAAAGCAAAACATGGAAAGAGAGAGAGAGAGAGAGAGAGAGAGAGAGAGCGTATCTGGATAGATGGCGGCTATAAAAGCGGCTGACGATCATCTTCACGCACGCAAGCAAGAACTAAAACCCAGAGGCAGACCCACAGAGAAAATGACATGAGGGTTTTGAATTTTTTTGGAAGTCGCTCGTTGCGGAGATAATTGGGTTCAGGAGGTCTTGCTGGTTTGGACCAGACCATCGATCCTTGGCTGTTCTATCCTTCCAAGCCCTAGCATGGTGTCAACCCACCAGAAAGGTAAGGCTTTTGTCTTTGTCGCTCTCGTCTCTCTCCTCTTTCCCCCCCTCGAAATGCGTAATTCTGATGTCCAGCGAGATAAAAATGAGGTTTTTTTGGGTGTAGATCTGGAAATTCTTTCTGGGTTTTGCCAGTTTGAAGCTGTGGGATTTTAGAACCCTCATTTCCTTTGAAGATCGTTGCTTGATCCGAAACTTGGGCTCGAGCTTATGCTGCATGTCTTTTCACGCGATTAAAGAATTCGCATGAACGGACTTTTTTAAGCTGTTTTTTTTGTTTGTTATTTTTTTTTTCTCGGGTATGGTTTCTGGGTAACTTTGCCCTGGTTAAGAAGGTTGTATTTGTCAGATTTGCAAGATTCTCCTGTAAGCTGTTGTATTATTGACCTCCAGGGAAGGAGAATGTATCATATCATGAGTAAAGGTCATCGAGGCGGATTCTGGGAGTTGTTGTGAGGGAAACTACTTGTTCCGAAGAGCTTTTTGGGCGGTCTGTTGTTGTTGTTGTAGTGGTAATACATCAGCTTTCTTTACAGTGTTAATCTCCCCAGAGTTTGTAAATGCAAGGAGGTTCAGGTTTCAATGCTGTACCTCCAGCTTTCGATAAGTCAAGGGTTTTGGATGTCAAGCCTCTGCGGAGTCTAAAGCCCATCTTCCCGAATGCTAATGAAGCTCCACCCTTTGTGTGTCCATCTCCCAGCGGTCCCTTTCCTCCGGGTTATTCGCCATTTTACCCTTTTAGCATGCCGCCACCGTCCGAGACGCCTGAAGTCAACCAGCCAGAGGAACCCCCAACATGGACTCCTCCGGCTGCTCCGGCCCCGATTCGTTCTTTTAGAACCCCTGAGATGGCAAATGGAGATGTAGATCAATCGGGGAAAGAAGCTGGGCCTTCCAATAGTAAAAAGCGTAGTTCTTCTCGTACACGTGGGTCTACTTCTTCCCAGAAGAAGGAAAAGAGGAGCAAATTTGAACTTAATCCGGCTATCACGTCAAATTATGTTGTTCCAATTAGTCAAGCGCAAAGAGATGATGGGAGCAGGGACGTGGTTGATTGTGTACTAATCACATTTGAAGGGCTCCGTAGGAGGCTTAGCCAGTTGGAGGATGCCAAGGAAGTTCCTAGTGGATTAGCAAGGAGGTCAGACTTGAGGGCTGCCAATATTTTGATGACCAAAGGATTTAGGACGAACATGAGGAAGAGAATTGGAGTTGTCCCTGGGGTTGAAATTGGGGACATTTTCTTTTTTCGGATGGAGTTGTGTATGGTGGGTCTGCATTCTCAGTCTATGGGAGGAATTGACTGGATAGGTGGCAAGGGTTCTTTGGATGAAGAACCACTAGCTGTAAGCATCGTATCATCTGGATATTACGATGACGATGCAGAAGACAAGGATGTTTTGATCTACAGTGGCCAAGGTGGGGCCATGACCCGAGATAAGCCTGTTGGTGACCAGAAACTTGAAAGGGGTAATCTTGCTCTGGAAAGAAGCATGCGTCGAGCCAATGAGGTCAGAGTTATTCGGGGCATCAGAGATGTAGCCAATCCGAACGCAAAGATCTATGTATATGATGGCCTGTATGTTATACAAGAGTCGTGGATGGAGAAAGGCAAATCTGGTGCAAATACTTTTAAATACAAGCTTGTGAGGGTGCCGGGGCAGCTCGAAGCCTTTGCTGTTTGGAAATCAATTGAAAAGTGGAAGGAAAATGTCTCATCCCGTCCTGGACTTATACTTCCGGATTTGACTTCTGGGGCCGAGACAATTGCTGTTTCCCTTGTAAATGATATTGACGATGAAAAAGGACCTGCTTACTTTACTTATTGTTCTACTCCAAAGTACTCCAAAACATTTGCAATAGTGCAGTCCTCTTATGGATGCAGCTGTCGTAAAGGATGTGCTGCTGGTGATCTTAACTGTGCATGTATCAGGAAAAATAGTGGCGATCTTCCATATACTGCCAATGGGGTTCTGGTGAGCCGAAAGCCGCTTGTGTATGAATGTGGCCCTTCCTGTCCATGCGGGCCTAACTGCAAAATTCGAGTCTCACAGAGTGGTTTGAAAGTCCGTCTGGAGGTGTTCAAGACAAAAGATAGGGGTTGGGGCATACGATCATATGATCCTATCCGAGCTGGTGCTTTTATATGCGAATATACTGGAGAAGTCATTGACAAAGACAGACTAAAGAAGAAGCTGCAGGAAGGTGATAATGATGAGTACATCTTTGACTCAAGCCGTAGCTACGAACCATTCAAGTGGAATTATGAACCTGGATTGCTAGGAGAAGAGGCTACAAATGGCGCTTCAGAGGATTCTGATATCCCTTCTCCAATAATTATGACTGCCAAGGACTTTGGAAATGTGGCTCGCTTCATTAATCATAGTTGCAACCCAAATGTCTTTTGGCAACCCGTTATTTATGAAGAAAACAATGAGTCTTTCCTTCACATTGCCTTTTTTGCAGTTAGACATATTCCTCCGATGGCGGAGTTGACTTATGATTATGGAACTCTGCCTCAAGAAGGTGATAATGGCTTAAACTTAAGGAAAAAGAAATGCCTCTGTGGATCATCGAAATGCCGTGGTTATTTTGTGTTATAGTTCTAGGTACTGGAAAGTGGATGAGCATGACGCAGCATTGCATGGTCTAAGCTATAAGGTTGGTATTCTTTTCACACTATAACTGATGCCAAGCTTTTTGTGAAGATGCAAATACTACTTTATAGTCTCTGTTCATGGCATGTGGGGTTCAATTAGATACCCATATATGTTAAGGATCTTGTGGTTTACACGTCAAAAACCCTCTTGATATGCTGCTATTTATGCGGCTTGTCATAGATAATACTGGAAAACATGAGATATCTCCTTTTTCTATATAGCAGCCAAAACTAATCTTCAACATACATGTTCTAACCACAAACCCCCCCAACCCCCCCCCCCACCAAAACCAAATCTTTTAGAGTGTTTCTCAGACAAGCAAAAGTGTTGAATAATGTTTAGTCTCTTGTTCTTAAGCACTAGAAGGAGTCTTACACTTCGGTCTTCTGTGGCAAAGATAATCAATTTGTGCTTTTTGGGACAAAATTTTGCTGAATAAAAAAAACGGAGGATTTGAAGTTTCATTTTCATTGCACTGGAATGTGGTTTAAATTTTTTAGCTTCTCTGTCATGTTTTCTGGCTTTGTCCTGCGTTTTCTTTGTTGTGCTTCCTGTATGTTTGGATAATGTACTCCCCATTTTCCTCAAAAGGTTTTGTCTCTTAGAAAAAAGGGTTTGGAATTAGTTTCATTTTTTAGCTTCTCTTTTGTGTTTTCTGGCTTTGTGCGTTTTCTTTGTTGGACTTCTTTTATACTTGAGTAATCCTCTTTTCCGCGAAAAATTTTGTCGCTTAGAAAAAAGGGTCAGAATAAGTCTCTCTCTCCCCCCCTCTGCCTCCGCGCTTGCGTGTTTTGGATTTAGATCCTTTATTATCAATGTTTTGGATTATGAGGACAGTCCTCTTCTTTATTAGTGTGGGATTTAACTAAAATCTTTTAGGAACTTCTTGTATTTTCCTCTTTGATCAATTTAAATCTTTAAAGATGGATCACAGGTTAACTTTGATTATTGTTGAAGTGAAGTCTATAACGTAATATCGATATACCTTTAATTTATGTCTCGTGTAGTTGTGTTCATGCTTCAGCTTCTTCTTGTTGTCTGATTCTGTTCAACTCTCATTGATACATGATACGAGATGTCTACATGCATCCGTTTTGGTGCATCTTTCCATCTGTTTGGTGTGCAAATCACTCATTTAAACCTTTATTATTCAAGATAATCCTTTTAAACGCATCTTCAATAATGTATATTTCTCTGCTTGGAGGAATGTACATAGGAGTAGACACATGTAATTGGATTTTCCTTGTACATTAGTTGGAATTTTCTGTCTTGTGGGAGAGGAAGTAAGCTTTTTACAACACAGGATAGAACGATGCTGCTTCTTGAACATAGTATTATTCACATTGTTTGAGCTCTTCACATACTTTTCTTTTCATGTTTGTAACAGCAATTTTGAGTCAGAACTCCCGTTGGGAACTGGTTGCTCTGCGTAGTACTTTTTGGAAGCCAAAGATGGTATGGTCAATCAAGCGTCATTTTGTTGTAGCATCAGCCGTTAATATAACCTCATCAGAGACTGGACTTGAAGGAATCCTTTTGGAAGTAGCCTTTTGCTTTTCGAATTTGTGGATAAGGGTATTGACTTAGGTATTGTCTATGTCCTATTATGGCCTTTTGTACAACTAGCTTGGTTCCCCTTGTAGCTTCTGCCTCCGAAATTTTGCTTTCGACGAAGACTTCTGGAGCTAGTTGACGTTTGGAATGAATTACAGATTCCTAGTATTTGAACGTGGAATGAAATAGATGAAGGGGATGAAAATTTCCAGTTCATGCCGGGGTTTTTTACTGTTTGATTTAAGTTTTACTGCCAAAAGATTAGCACTGACTATCCTGAGCATGAAAACAACACATTGATTTTAGATACTTTGAATTTTTGAACTTGGAGAGGACCAAAAAATGCCAGACTACTGAAACTTTGGGCGCAGCTAGCTTTTCCCAACTACCAATTGGCTAGGAGATACGATGACTTTGATTTTAGATACTTTTCATCAAATTAAGACAAGCTACCTCTTCTAATAGCTAAGGATAGCAGTCCCAATGACATTGACTCAGTGAAAGACCAAAAGCATAGCTCACAAGAGAGAGTTCAGCAGAAAGCTGGTTGAAACAAAACTTCTTTTTGCGATTTAGTTAGTCGAACATGTTTTTTATGCTGAATATTGGTTACATAATTATAAAATATCTACAGTTAAAGAAAACACCCATAATTCTCGTTTCTAACAAATAGAAGAAACCATTTTCCCAAACGGAACCAATCTCTTAAAAAACACTTATTACTTCACTTTCTTCGATACCCATTATTTCAAATGAAATCCAAATACTCGAAAATATTTTCAGTAGCACTTTTTTTTCTGCATATCACTAAATAAATGAAAAATAATTATTTTCCTTAAAAATGTTTCGAAAAGCATTTTTCTTTATAAGGAAATTTTATCTGAAACAAACAGCCTTAATCTGAGTTAATTTATACAAAAGTCGATGGGGCAAATTCGTACGACTTGTCCTCCTCTATGCAAAAACAGAGAAGAAGTTCCACGAGTAAACCCGGTTCGAGATACATCCGGAATTCCGAACGCCATCTCTTAGTTGCTAGTTTTTGCTGCACGTTTAGGATACAGATGAAAGAGGAGAGTCCATTTACGATACAAGTACTTCATCAGAACTTGCAAAGTAGATGTAGCAGCAACAACATTGGAAGAGAAACTCAGAATTTGAATAAGATACACTATCATGATGATTCAACAGAGTTTCTAGAATGAATGGATGTCTGACATGACATTCTGAGGCTTAGTTGTTGATAATTGTAACCAGTCTTTCTTTTTTTCTTTTTTGGTTGAATTTACACAATCCTTCACCGACAAAACACACCCGCCCATATGCATGAGAGGAGGGGGGCTCAAACCTATTGCAAACAAGAGTCGGAAGCAAGTGAATACCGAGAGATCACGTGGATTATACAACTCTAGACCTATCCTGTGTGCCTAGGGGTTGAAAGAGGATGCGACTGTTTAAGGAGCCTGAGGTTTAGCTATCCTCAGAGGTTACCGGAACTTGGTCTCGCTCGGTTTGCTTCCCCTAAATGCTGAAAGAGAGAAGAATGACCTCGACGCTGAAAAAGAGAAGCATGCAATTAATTAGGGTCTACACCACACCAATTCCTGATTTTAGGAGAAGTGGATAGGGTGATATCAAATAGAAAGATCTGCAACAAAGATATCGAGAAACTCGCCAACCACGATGACCCACCTTTTGTCGTAGAAGCTCCAGCTGTAACATGACTGTCATGAAACTTATGACCACCCAAATGAGCTGCGTCAAAAGCATTCCAGAAATGAGAACTACGAGATTGCGATAACCCACTATGCAGTAATTTTGCTGATAAAATCAAGTCAAGCAAGCAAAAAGTGGTTTTAGGAAGAATAGGAGCAGGGATATCGTAGTCTACAAGTTCCTGCTCAACAAAAATGACTAAAACCATTACAAGAATTTTAAATACGATGAAGAAAGGACCAGAAAAAATTTAAATCTAACTGGCAGAAAAGAAGCATAGTAAAGTCAAGAGTCAATTCACCAGAGATTTGATCATTAGCGACAAGATTCTTTGCATGAAGTGCCTTCAATAGATTTTCAGTGCTCCTCTTGCTAGAAACTTTAGGGTCATCCACATCATCCTCTCCCTCAGAAAACACGGATGGGCTAGACCAACCAGACGTGTTTCCATCACCCTTGCTCTTTCGAGCAAATTTCAATAGTCTCTTCAATCCTTTAGGAGCATCTTTCTGGTATATCATGGAAGGAGGATTTTCGGCATTACCCCACTCACAAATGTCAGGTTCACTACTTTCTTCTTGCAGCATCTGTGATAAAGAATGGCGTACCCGTGGACTTGACGATCCAATTGGTATAACATTGGCATGAGATAGTACTTCAGAGACAGGGTCATCACATAGATTTGGTGGATCCTGATGCTCTTCAATTTCTACCCACGCCATGGGAGAGATGGTCGATTCTTCTCCAGTACAGACATCTAAAGGTTCTGTAATATTTTTTGAACCATAATCACCCTCATGAACCACTTGATCCATGTTATCAGCTTCATCACACTCCTGAGTGCTACTTTCCTGTGTTTCTGGCTCCGCAGTAGCATCAGTTACAGCCACTGATGCACCATCTACCACTTCATGCTGACTCATCAGGTCAGAAACAACACCAATTTGCTCATTCTTTTGTTCTTCGCTCGAATTTCCACAACTAGTCACGGGTTCCACCAGCTCAGTGGGTTTTTTCTTTGCAGAAGGAGAAACAAGAGGACCAGTTCCAGAGCTCTTACGGAGGGGTTTTGATTCCAAGGGCACCACACTGCTTTTCTTGGTTACCTTGTTATAGAAACTAGGCTTAGAAGAAACTACACCAGAGCCATCTAAAGAAGCGGTCACGGCTTTACTTTTCCCAGTTCTGGTCGTTTTAGTCACTGGTTGCGGCTTCTTATCATCCACACTCTTCATGATCCTCTGCTTATTTGATTGGGCTTCTCTGACATTCTTTTGTTGCGTAAGGGGTTTTTCTGACTTGGGTTTTGGGCGAGAGAGCGATGGCGTAGGACCCGCTGGCTGAGGTTTGCGACGAGTTGGTGTAGAACCTGTAGAAGATAAGGCACCAGAAGTCTTAGCTGGTGATGTTCCCGTGGTTCTTGTTGTTGGAGTTGATGGCCACGATTTACGTGTCGCAGGTACAAGGGATGTTTTTGGAGAAGCCTTCTTTATGGAAGGATTTGGGGTTTCTCTCTTAACTTTTGCAGGTTGAGATGCGGTATTGAGTGGCTTCTGGGGCTTCTTCGAGGAAGTCTTTTTGCCGGTATCATTTATATTAGTGGAGACCATTTCAGCTTTCCTCTCATTTAGAGTTCGTTGCATGGCTCTAAATCGTGCTTGTTTTTCTGCTCGTTTTCCAGCATTCTCTCCTCGAAGCCTCTCATCCCTCTTCTGTCTATATCGATCATAAAACCCACCTCTCTGCTCAACAGGAACTTCTTGACTTCCACTGAGTTCAGCTTTATTAGAAGTATTCTTAGTTTCCATCATTTTTAGCATCATCTGGCTCAACTCCTCTTCTTTCTGCCGATTCCATTCAGCTGAGGATATTGGCCTATCATTAGTTTCTTCTCCTTGGACTACTGCTCTACTGTCTGAGACATTACCTACCAGAGGAGAGCCCCCCCTTTCCCATTCTTCCAATCTTACATCTTCATCAGTCTGAACAGTACGTTGACTTTCAGACATAACATTCACTTCTGCAGTCACTTCTGCTGAATCCTTCGGAACCTCTTCCACGGTATCGCCTGAACATACTGGAGTAATATCTGGATTAATCTCTGACTCATGTTGGAACGAGGAAGAGCCCCCCATACCAGCACTCCATCGCCTCAAGACAGATTTATTTGCACCTATAGATAAGTTAACTAATGACCTCTTTTTCTCAATCTCGACAGCGTGATCCCTTTGCTTACTTTCGAAAAGATTGATTCGATCCTGAACACTCATTCGTAGATCATTTTCTGGTTTTTTATTAGGTTGCTCAGATCCCTCTTCATCAATGTCATTAGCAACGGTCCTTTCTCTAGCTGGAAAATAATTGAGGCTCTTGATTGTTAGGGCAGCGGCCCTACGGGACCCACCTCTCCCTATTTGAACCCTGCGCATTGGCGATGCTGACCTTCTACGTGATGCCGATCGTAACATACTGCGACTTCTTTCTGCAGATGTTTGATCTTCATCATTAGAATCTGAAGAATCCTCACTTCCTGTCGAGCTCTGTCGCTCAACTTGTGCAACTTTCGCTGGTGAAACATTGTACTGTACAGGCATGTCCGTGTTTACTGCCTTTGATATCAAATTACTCCTCTCCTTCCTAGCAAAATCCGCATCCTTTGAATCACATTTGATTGAGGATTTCTCCTCGGAATCAACAAACTGGCTGTTTTTGCTTGTTTCTAGAACCCTATGCAGAGCATTCCTGCAATGAGTATCCACTTAATTTACTATCACGAAATCATTCAGAGGAAAGAAAAACCTAGGAAGATATAAGGCCCCTGCATTGCATGGCTAACTTACTCCAATTCTGCTGCTCCAAGAAGTTGAGAGAAATCTGCTATGTTGTTCATCTCTTCAACAGAATAGGTGTCGCCTGCAACTTGGCCAAAAGCTGCCGCTAACTCCCCCCTCAACACCATGAGCCTCAAATCCATAGCTCGCAACAGTTCATTCCTGATTTCAATACAACAAAAATGAGCAAGGTAGAATAGTCATGAGCATAGGCATAAAAGTATGAGCAGCAAAACGACATTGCAACCCAATTATGCCAAAGAACGAGAGTCAACCTTGAAGCATCTGCTGATTCAGCGTCTGTTCCGGGCTGTTAGGAGGAAAAACATGTCAATTGCTCGTTTAAAGCATAATTTTGTATATGAAAAGAGGTATTGTAGGACACTGAGACACATAATATTTACTTGGGGGAACAAAGAAACTTGAAACTTCCTCGCTTCCTCCAATTGAGACATCTCATCTCTTATCGGTTTGGTTATGGTCGCAAGACTTCGTGAACCGACAATATGCAGAAAACTGGGACAGAAATCAAATTTTTTGTATGTTAAGATTCTTAGAAATCAATACCTTGTCTCAACAAGGTTAATACCAAAAAAAATCAAAGTAAGCATAAGGTATGTACTTGTTAAAAGTAGATTTTGTGAACCATCTTGACCCAGAAAGATTGTCCGGAAGCTGTATTTTAAAGTTACAGTTGGAGCCTTCCGTGTACAAGTCTCTCAGAGCAGGAATGTAGGGAAGTAATTGATCCAAACCTCCAGTTGCCAACTTTTCCACCTTGTTATCAATACAACCACATGCTTCAAACCTGGGAAACCCCCAAAACATTTTCAGGCAAGTATATATAGTAACAAGAAATTTCTTAAGAAGCACCCCAAAAAAAAGTTCAGATGCCAAGATGTCGACTAATAGCAACACCAGCAAGATGGAAAGCAAGAGAGTGACCAAAAAAAGAAATAAAAAACAGGATTATAGAACTTCTGGCTGCAGGAGATTCGCTCTTAGATTTGAATGAAGAGACAAATCCAAACATTTCAAGGCAGCCATCGCTTACATGAAAAGATATTCAGCGCCAGCAAATAGCCAAGTTCTTAACCAGAAGAAGGCAGTAGCAGGCCACTTAGTACATAACATAAGAACAGTAATAAGCATCCCAATTAGCCTCACTCTACTTTAATCGAATCGATCTAAAGGTCAGAAAAATACAGGCTTGAAGGTTTGCAGTTGAGGTTTTTAATTCCATACTTAGAAACTTCTCAGATGAAAATTCTCTGTATGATTTCCAGGATGGTCATTGTTGACAGATAAAAAGAGGCCACTTTCTTCTTTTATCAGTGATAAAGTGCAGGCTAAATATTAACAAAGGGCACTCAAGTTCATGACCTCATCGTCATCATCAAGGGCTGAAACGAATTCATTCTTGTATATGAACTCCTAATTCATTGCATAGAACACTCACACACGTAGAGAACTCTCGTTACTTCTACATTGTGACTAGGGTGGGTAACTCTCTGCCAAACTCCCCACTGTAAGTCTTGCAAAAAGAAGCCAGACTAACCTCTCCTGCCCGGATGAAATCTGAAATGAAGCATATTCCAAAACGGCATCTGAGTCTATATCGCCCCCCATCTCAGAAACTTAGGCACCTGAAAAGCAGGAAAAATAATGTTAAGGAGTAGAAAACTGTACGGATACATCCAACATTGTCATATATGATATAACTAAGGAAAGTGCAGGCACAGAGAGAACATGGAAAGCCCAAAACCATTAACGATAAATCCCACTGGTTCCAAAAGAGTAATTTGCTTGGACTTAAGTCAACCACCGGCAGTTTAGATGAATCAGGAACTTCGAGTGTCAAATCGAATGAGAAAAGCAAGGCCTGGTGCAAAGTATGCAACAAACAATCAAAATTAGCATACTGATGAATGCAAAATCTGGCAGACCTCCTATTCTATAAATCCATGTTTGGTGCAGCTACTTACACGCTATACCCTCTTAACATTGACATGTGCTTGTGGATATCACTTAATGATTCGTAATTGAAGTAAGAGTACTGGTACTTCAGGGACAACATTGCAGCCAACAAATCCAATTAGGAAAAAAAAAAAATTCGGAAACCCGTTTTGCCCAAATGCTTACGGCTCAAGCTTTTGGACATAGCACAACTTGATGCCATTTCACACAAGAAACAACCAAGAGAGAAACTGAATCAACCCCAAGCAAAATTCAGTACGGCAAGCTCATTCCCACCGGGAGCTCGCAAGCAGATGCACCCATTTCAAGCGCTGCAACCGTATACTCACAACTGAATTTCCTCAACCGCAACTGGGACGAACTCGATTCAGTTCAGATCTAGCGAATCAAGAAGAGAACGCGACCACCACCGACACCACTCATGGAGGCACAAGTACAGCGACCCAACACACCAATCAAGACAAGGACTTTCAAATCTTGACCGAGATGCAATAAGCACCCTTTCTGCCAAGAAAATGCCAGCGCCCTCTAGACCAACAAAACCCAGGAACCCAAAATGCAGGGCGCCTTGCAAAAGCTCACTCAAAGACCCGCAACGCCAAAAAAAAAAAAAACAAACAAGAAAAGGAAAATGGGGAAGGAAAAAAAAAATTCAAACTGGAACCTTTAACGCGAAGACAGAAGAAACAAGACGATGGGATTTGTGCGAGGACGAGAATGCGCGCTATACCTGAATGGATTTAACAATGGCGAGCAAATCCGAGGGAGAGCGGGGCAAGGGTAAGACAAGAAAGAGAGCAGCCTAAGCTCCAGAGAAGCAAGAAGAAGAAGAAGCTAAATGCACTCGGATTTTAAAAAATAAATAAATGAAAAAGTGGGAAAAACAAGAATATATAAAGCGGACAATAGCGCGATGATTGCGTTCTCAACTTACCATGATGTCACATAGGAGTATTACGGCAAGTGGGGCACGGTTCACGCGCCCGACCGGCGCGTGCGCTTCACGCGACCCTCTTTGAAGCCATGTGGTCCTATCCCTTTTTTTTTTTTTTTTGAAAAAAAATCACAAAAAATCTCAAATTATATCTATCGCGACATATTTATCTTAAATTTTTGTACATGTGCGATATATATATACCACCCTCTGTCAAGATCCCGTCAATGAACATCATTAAAATCTGCCTATAAGGACGTCGGAAAGCAAATTGTGTCGACACGGCGTCCACATGGCTTGAGTAAAATAAACACGACATTGGTTTTGAATGAAAAAATTCATCTGGCAGAAATATCGACAGAGGGTAAATGTGTCACATAGGTATAAATTAAAGTTTATGGTGTTTTAGGATTTTTTACGTCACAAAAAAATTATAGGGTAAATATACCACGATTATCATGATTTGGGGTTTTTGGTGATTTTTCGCTCTCTACTTTTCATCTTTTCATTCGATTATTAATTATAATTGCAAAGGCCGCATGCTTGGGCTCTTGTTAAGAGGCCTTAATCTGAAAGTGACTGTCGTCGTGTCCACCTTCTTTAATAATATAATTAGTGTTCGAGGGACCCAATCTCCCAATGCCATAGGATTCAAATTCATGGAGCCTCTTGGAGGGAAGGGAATTGAATATTACGAATAATCAATTCATTGATTGCGATATTTGATTGACCGACAATATAAATCTCCAATAATGGAATCTTTGGGGGGGTTTTGCCACAGATTTCAGGGAAGTATATCCCCACACGGCTTAAATTTAATGAGTGAATCTGTCTTTTCTTAAGGACTTCAGTAGAAAGTTTAATTCTTCTTTGTTCACACCCCCCCCCCTCCCTCTCAAAAGTGTTCCCATATATTTTCCAGCCTCGTATCTAAAACAATTCAAATGCAAACTCGACCAAAACCCCAGCTCGTAAATTTTGGAAAAATAACGAGTAAGCTACATTTTCAAACATCGCCGGCACGTCGCGTACCCAAATTTAACCTGAGCAATTGATGAATTCCAGCAAAGACAAACCACAAGCCATAATGTCTAATTGAGCAATAAACACTGTTTGCATGCCCGATATAAAATGTTTTTTTTTGTTTTTTTACCAATTGTAAACGCATCCAGAGATTGATCCAAAAAAAAATGACATTGTAATTCCTGGGGGAACTTAGCAGAGCCCCACTAGAAGATTACCCCCGAAGAACAGGACACGAAAAAAGATGATGAAACTCAGCTAACCTTCCAACAAAGATTTAATTATTCTAGGACCCCACAGCCCCTTTCATTTGACTTGGCTCTTGTCATGTTCATATCCGAGTCGCATCAAAGGACGATGAACCTCCTCGCGGCAGATTTCTCCTCTAAAAAATCGGCCACATCAATTTCTTCTGGGCCTGGCTTGCAAAAAGGCTTATGCAAAGAGAGATAAAACTGGTATTTCTTCATCTAATCTTTGCTTCACCAGGAAATTTCCGCTTGCTTCTTGTTCGGCTGAGTTTGGAATTTACCCACTTCAGATGGGAATTTGCAGGGCAAGAGTGTTCCACAAACGCTTACACATCAATGCTTGGGTCAATAGATGGAAAAGCCTCTTGCAATCCCACTAACATGTGAAAGGTATGAAGAAGATAAGGACTGGGCAAGTGCTCAGAGGCATATTTGTCAGCTTTGGACCCAAATGCAAACTGGCAAGCAGACCCTAACACGTACTCCCTCCCTCTCTCTCTTTCTGGAGAAACAAAAAGGTTTAAAAAGTCATGGAGAGAGAGAGTTGGAAAACCGTAAAGCATCACACTTGTGATGGCTCCATCATCACGTCTTTGCGAGCCTTGCAATGCATGTGAAAAGCCATGTATCTCTTTTTCCTTCCACCTCCCACACGCCAACTGTGTACGAATAAACAAAAGTCGGCTATCCAAATTCCTTCAGATTTGCCGACCAAACATTCTCCCACACCCCCCAGCATAACAACTCTTCTTCACTACTTAAACCAGTAACACTTTCAATGAACGGCCAATATAATACGGCATCCAAGTCATTGAAGTCGATCCAGGTAAAGATGAGATATGACTATGCAAAAGCTGCGTCACATGACCCACCATGTGGACCAAGAAAGCAGTCAGTCCCAATTTAATTGAACTGGGCCCCCAAAATTTAAGTCGAATTAGCAAGCTTGTACGACATGGCAAATTCTTCTCCTGCCAATTTCATCTGTGAGAAGCGTCTTGGTTTTAAAGTCACGACCTCATTTCACAGCTATATTAGCAGCTTCTAATACTCTGCTTAAACGAAGTCATCCCGCAGGAAGAGGCTTTGCCTAATTTGCACGTTTCCACGTGAACAAAGATAACCATAAATCCAACAAGTAGGACAAAAATTAACAACCATGAGAGAGAAGGAAGACAAATCCTGAAACAGACGGAAGGTAAATTAGATAAGAGGTACCAGTCACTACATCAGCACTCTAAAATACAGCTTAAGAAGCTCAAACTTAACCGATACAGGAACTCATAATACACTTAGAAGGGTAATCGTGCGATGGCAGCACAATCATTATAAGCATTCGGGAGAATTATAATGAATCCTCGAGAAATTAAATTTAAAAACTTGAGAACAATCAGTTAGACCATACATGTACAAGGCCATGCCTATTGCCCGTATAAATTTCGTTTCGCTCTTCATCGTAGAAGAGCGCAGTGATGTCTTCCAAGGCTTCTGCAACTGTGCTCCTGATTTTGGAGGCACGGGCACGCTTCTTGGAACGGCAATCACCACTACATTCACCACTGCAACTACATTCATCCTCCACAGGGACGCTGTTGCTTGCTTTTACTTTAGCAAGGCATTTCCCCGTCAATATGTTGCTTACATTGATGGATCCAGCTGCAAAAACAAGTAATACTGTTAACGGTACACTGATATCTGCAAGAACATGGTCCAACCAAAATATATAGCCAGAGAATACACATCTGAATATGATAATGCTAGAAATAACCCAGCTATCCTTTGACCTCCTATGAAAGAGCAAATAATTGGATGATGCAGCCGCTTATAATGTCAAACTCGAGAGGCGAGTGCACCTATGAGTAGAAAAAAAGACTATTCCCCCTCTGATGGGTTCATCCACATCTTCCAACGAATGAAAAGTTAATACCAACATACCATGCAAAAGAACTCCACCAGATGAAACTTCCCATTCTTTTGATAGCTTGTTTTAATCACTTCTTAGACGACTAGTAGGGTGACAGTTCTCGGAATTGGAAAGACAGAAATGACTACTCACGTCAGGGCCAACATCCATACCAAGGCTGCCGGCACATAAAACGGTGGAAAGAAGAAATGACTCCCGCGTAAACTAATTGACCCAAAGAAAGCAAAGTAATGGGAGTTACCATTTCCTTCAGATAAGGGGTCGTCAGAATCAGCCTTGCAGTAAGAAATGATGAGGTCCTGATCACTTGTGATGTATATGTTGTTGGTATTGCAATCTGGATGCCACAAGAGGTGATCTTCAAATGACGTTACAAGCTCTCCACGAAAATTCCAAACGGCAACAGTTCGATTTCTAAAAGTCAGGAATAACTGATTTTCATAGAGGAAAATAAATGCCGATGGTGTCATGAACTCAGATCTGCTAACTTCTGTTAGCTCAAAGTTGCGAACCTGCAACATTTACAACAGTCAGCAGCTCGACTTCATAACTCCATATCAAGATATGCCTCATCAGTATATCGAGAGGGATACTTACATCGAGAATCTGGAGATTCTCGTTTTCTTGCTTGACTAGAAGCTTTTCGTTGAATTGTTCAATAAAATCAACCTTCTTACTCCGATGCAGGAGATGATTGAATGACTTGAGAACAGTACCATCCTCTATGGATAGAATCTTAAGAGGAACACAACCGCCAGTTTTTGTAAATATCAACAACATGATTCCCGGGCTATTAAAAAAAATACAAACAATCAACATAAGAGCATGATCACAAGAGGAAACAAGATGAGGAAGGAGTTCTTAAGTAACAGATTTCAAATGAGATTGAAAAGGTGAAGAAACATCATCCAGCTAAAAAAGAAAGTACCTTATCTTGATTTCTTTGACATTTTTATCAGATATGGAGTACAACATCGTGTAATTCTTTAGGTCAAATACCTTGTATATACTGCAGGACAGAAGAGGAGGTCATAATAAGATGAAGAAAATTATTGAACTTGATAATTCTCCAAAATCAAACTTCAACCAAATTTCCAGAGCGCAAATAAGTCCAACCATGGACCTGATCTTGTTTTTTACCTGTCTTGGGCAGAGTACGTAAGTACTTTCCCATTCACATCATCGAACTCCACAAAACCAGGCCATTTCAGCGATTCAGATTCAAAAAGCGCAAAGCCAGCATCGGGTTTTCCCCTCCTTATGTACCTAGACATCAAGAATCAGAATTGATATCAACGCAGTTGTGGCAGAAGAAGATACTGCATTAGACGTCCTTCCTTTCCAGAACTGAGAATATGTCTTTTTTCTAGCCTTGCTTACCCTTTGTTACAGCTTTTATGTGCTTCTTTAAGTTTTTAGGTTCTCTCTACAAGAGAACGTGGGGTTGGATAAAAATTTGGTGATGGGGAGGTTGACTTACTCAATCCTCGTGCTTCTGCACTTTAGGGAGCTGAAGTTATCAGATGCATAAACTGAGACTGTGATAAGTGAGTCATTGTTCTTGTTATAGAACAGACTTCGAATAACTTCACCATGACTGACATTTAAAAAGCAGATCCTTTGATTTGTCTCTGCATTCCAATAAAAGAGTCAAAAATTACAAAACTGGAAGAAATATCCATGGTTTTGGTAAAGAAAGCAAGAAAACCATGATTACTACCTCGGCTAAAAGCTGCACAAACACCAGATTGAGCGAGGGCAAAGATAATGTCACGTGCTGCTACAATCTCAATAATCTTTGACCTCTTTCTCAGAAAAGTCAGGACCATGGAACAATGACCCTTTGGGTCGTGGGTATCATATTCCTCCTGTGAATAAGTCCCACGATCATTCAAACCAGAAAACCACAATCGGCATATGCAGAATATCCCCATAGAAAGGCTTTCATCAATCTCATAAAATAAAACATTCGTCATCTTTGAGTTGAAATCCCACATCCTAGATATTGACAAGAAAAGCAGCTCTCTTGACTGACTGATAAAGATGTGGCAAGGCACCTATTTATGCAACTCAAGTAATGCCAGTAGATAGATTTTCATACTTTTGGCGCAATTTTTATTCAGAAACTAAATTTCATCTCCCAATCATATCGATGATCAGGGGAACGTTACGAGCATTACATGAAAAAGCCGGAATGAGGCAGAAGCACCCAACCAAGGGTCAATCCACATATAAAACCAAACATTTTGCATGGATAAAATCCATATCTCCCCGAACATTGCCTTTAACAAAGGATCAAAGGCATTCGAATCCGCACCCCAGCCACGATTCAAAATTTTAGGCATTCACCATAACAATCTTCACTGCCTTCCCCTACCTTCAACACAATCCAAGTTATAATATAACTGTTGACATTCACTCCAGCCAGAAACCAAATTTCTGATCGATATCCACATAATTCCACAAGTTAACTCTAGTTCACACCGAAACCACTGGATAAATCCTCCTTCAGACAGACACCCCCACTTAATAAAGACCTAGCAAGTCAAAGAAAAAAAGAACTGAAAAATAACAAGAACCCTCGGCACCATACCTGCAACCGAATGTTTCTGAACCGCTCCTGGGCGTCGGTCATCGAGAAAGCGCGGTCGCGCTTGGAACTGATCTCGCGTCTCTGGAGCTTCTTGACGCTGTTCACGAACCCGTCCCCGCCGCACCACCACCTCGGCCTCTTCTTCGAAGCCAGCACCCTTCTTCCGCTGCAGGGCCTCGGGCTCGCAGATATTCGCTTCCCCTCCATATTCCCCCCCCTCCTCTCTCTCTCTCTCTCTCTCTCTCTCTCTCTCTCTCTCTCTCTCTCTCTCTCTCTCTCTCTCTCTCTCTCTCTCTCTCTCTCTCTCCCAAGCGCGCACGCAAAAGCTTAACACTCCTAAACTGCAGAGATCGGCATGACCATCGATTCCACTCCGCCCCTCTTCTCAACTGCCTCGCCTCGCCACAGCTCTCGCGCTCCCCTAAAACCCTATTCCGCCCTCGCCCCCCGCCGACCCACGGACCGACCAGAACCCCGCCGGAAGTGGACGGAGAACAGGGTTTCCGACAGGGGAGCGAGTTCGAGTTCGAGCTCGACCCACTCCGCTGTGCGCGAGCGAGACGGGAGCGGAGGGAAATGGACACCGCGCGCCGTGCTCCCTACAAGAGAGAGCGGATGTTCTTCTCGTCTCGTCGCCGATCTGGTTTCAAATCTGCCAACTCGAGGAAAGCGAGAGGAGGACGCCATGAATTGGATTGGATCCGATGGGAGGCCGAAAGCTTTTTTGGGCCTTTTGCGGCTCTTCCCGAGCGGAGGCCCAGATCCCGGCCCATGTCTTGGCCCATCTCGCCATTGAAGTTCCCACGCTGTTTCGAGGTTACAAAGACATCTCGCTCCTGAATTTCATTTGGATGATCAATTCTGACCCCCCAAATGTTCCTATACAGTGCATGATTAATGTGAGTGGCGCCACCGTACCATCTTAATGCCTTAAGCTGATGACTGGAGGTGAGGGCTAGTAATTGAAGTGCTTCTGGATATAAGCGAATTTCCACAATCATAATGCAACTGTCGCGTTATGGTAATTTTGGAGTTGGTCCTCGTAGCCAAGCGGACAAACTCCGACTCCGATTCGAATTATCGAACAACTAGCTTGAATTATCAACTCCTATTCTCTAGAGAATAGGGTTTCCGACAAGGGAGCGAGTTTTAGTTCGACCCTCTCCGCATATTCCCCTAATTTTATATTTTTCATGTGAGAGTATGCTCTTTGCTCAAAGCAGAATTGTGACCTATCCTTTTAAGTTTTAAAATGACGATTTCTTTGGGTATCCCTAAACTTATTGTGGAAGCGAATTTGCGAGCTGCTTTTTCATTGCTCGCTCTCTTAACTTTCGTGACACGCTCATGTCTCAGATTTAGAATCTTTTAATGTATTTCTAGCAATTTTTGGAAACGAAACTCCTGTGCTCGGTTAGCAAATTGGGTCATTCACCCTTGTGATACGAACGGCACCTTAATTTTAGATAGGCTAACGAGAGATTTGATTTCTTTAGTGATGGTGTAACATCCCGGGAAAAAAAAACATAGAAAGAGATATTTGTACGTGATTAAACATTTTCATTTTCTTATCTTTTGATTTTTTATCGGTTTTTCATTCTTTTTTTCCAGCGCCATTGCAGAAGCACCGCCATCGCTTGGCCACAATTCACCGGAGAGAGCCGAGACGCGCTCGGCTTCGATCCGTGAACGGCGACGGCGAGCACATTCGCCGGCGAGAGAGAGAGAGAGAGGGGAGGAGATTCACGTCGAGCAAAAATGGCGTCCGTGGCCTCTTCGAAGCAGATGACCCATCACCCCAACTTCTCCAAGACCATGGAGCTGAGGTGGGCGAAGAGACCCACCAACACCCGCAAGCCGCGCAAGCTGCAGTTCCCGCCGTCAACGGGCCCGTCGTCGGTCCCCATCTACATCTCCACGAGGCCCGGCCACGTCGACCCCGGCGCCCTCCGAGACCTCTACGCCTCCTGCGACCTCTCCTGCCACCGGCTCCCCGACGTGGGTCACGACCGGCGAGCCCGGGAGGACGGCGCCGTCGGGCTCGGCAAGCTCCGCATCGCCCTCGCTCACAGCTCCGTCGTCGTGTCCGTCTTCTGCAGGGACGAGGACTTGTCGCCGGACGCGGAGCAGAGTGCGGCGGTGGGGATTGGAGGTTTGGTGAGTAAGATGTTGCCGAGGGTCGATCCGTCGGACGGCCGGCTGGTGGGATTTGGCCGGGCTGTTTCGGATTTGGGGTTGACTGCTTCCATTTACGATGTCATGGTATGATGCGAACGCTCTGTTCTTCTGCTCTTGTTCGTCGTGCGAGATACGCATGTCTAGCTTTTTGTTTCATCTTTGGAAGAACGTGTATGAAGCTTAATGTTTTAATATCTTGCGTAGTTATGGAAGTTTGTGAATTTGTGACACTGTTAGAAACCAATTCCATCTTTTCTCGAATTTCCTCCGGTCGGAGAGATGATGCTAACCAGGAAAGATGACATGGGGAGAAAGTTTCTGGTGAAACGATTGGGTAAATCAAGTATCGAAGCTAAATGGTTTTCGGAAAAGAGATGAAGAAGATTGATTTAAATAGTCAGAGATCATGTTGAAGACGTTCCCCATTTGAGTTTGACTGTTTCCAACTGGAGAGAATGATACAGGATAATAATCCTAGTCCTAGTTTTAGTCTTTACGTAGGCTACTGGGGTTAATAAGTGGTCCTGTGGTAGTCATTTGACCTTTAATGAGCTCCAGTCGTTGAGATCAGAAGTCATTATCTTAGATCAAGAGTTGATATTGTGTTACGGCTGCACTCCCAGTATTAGCCTCTATGTCACTTTGTCATTAGTTTTTGTTGATTTAATAAACATGGCTGGTTTCTATAAGCCCTACAATATATTCTCTTTTCCAGCTTCATTTCATCTCTATTTGAGCCTCATTTCCTGTTCTTCTTGCTATCTTGTGCTCCTCCAACCACGTCAGATTGGTATCCAAGCACCTTGTTGGAGTTTTGCCTGTATCATTCGTGCAGGGTGCATTGCTTAAAGTTAATGCAGATCATTTTACATGCCATATTGTTGGTAAAATTCCTAGTTGAAAATTCTCGAGAAGCCAACGATTCAGTTTGATGTAAAAATAACTTGATTGTACTTGCAAATGGAAGCAAGATGATTGTAGAGCTACTGGGGCTTCATTTAGGATGTTGTGCTTATATGCCAGTGATATTTTGTACCCTTTGAGTCTATCTTACTGGATATTCACATGGATATTGCTTTTAGTTTGTTCGAAATGACTATATACAATTATATGCATATAGTCATGTAATCGTGCCTCAGTGCCTCCCAGGTTATTCCTTCGTTTCGAGGAATGGGAATTGGCCGGATGATTGTCAAAAGAATTGTAAGGTCTGTTGGTTGATTAAGTTCTGTTCATTACAGAATAATTTGGTTAGCGAATCCCTTCCACATCCACTCTGGCAATTTTCAGTTAACTTTAATACTGCAACTTCCTTGATTGATTTGGTTTGCTTCATTCTCCCTGATCCATTACAGTTGTTACTCCTCTGACTATTGAGGATAAAAAAAATCTATGGATTTTTCCCTTAATGAAAGAAACAACCTACACTTTCCCTTGGTTGGAAACATGTCTACGGCCACCCTTATCAAGTACATGAACATCTTTCTCTGTTCTCTCAGTAAGGATTTCTGGTAGTCTAATAGAACCCTCATCCTTGCAGGATCCTCACAAGTAGAGACATATATGACATAGCGGCTCTTTGTTCAGAAAATGAGAGGTAAATCTACTGTCCCTGAAATTTAACTGTATATTCTGTAATTGCTTGTACCGGGAAACTTACAGGAAAATTTTCTGATACTTTTTGGATGGTGCTGACTGCTGAGTTCCTTGCTTGCTTATGTCCCCAAATGTTTGAGTAACTTGCATGACTTGTGTTAGGTCTCCTCTCTGTAGTACTTGCTTATATGATGATCTAATGACTTGCACATGAAGCATAATATCATTAGCTACCATAACATTCAAAGATCCCATTAATATCCATATGAAATAGCAAGATTATTTGGAGTTAATTACTGGGTTTTCCACATCATTCCAAATTCAATTTGTTTACTCATTTTTTAGTCAAAAGAGAAGTGTTGCACTAAGCATTCTCTATGTGTATATACTAGTACATTAAAAGGCAGCCAGTCAAATTTTTCTCATGTACTTTGTTCAAGGCCACTTTTTGAAGCATGTGGATTTGGAGATGACATTTTGGGCTCCACGACAATGATGTATACAAGGACTCTATCTGATGGCCATGGAGTGGTCAAGCCTGCTGGTCGAAACCTTTTGCTGGTCCCAACACCTAAAGATCACGCTGCTTCCTAAACATCTACCAACTCATTGAACTGACAACTCACCATTGTATAAGGCGGCGGCGACTTTTGGAGTTCTCTGTCTACTCTTTTAAAGCAGAAGTGAGATTCTATGGCCTAAGTCAAAATGGATGCTTGTTTTAGTGAAGCTGTTGCACAGTAAAGAAGATACATGTACATACTTGAATTCTAGCGGCAAAGATTATGTAAAATCAATGTGTCCGGGCTATGGTCATTTTGTTCTGTTTATACAATCAGTTCAAGTTAATAGGGATGATGTATTTATTACATTTCCTTTTTTAAGGATGCTTTTAGTATTGTTTTTGGCTGATCAAAAGAGCCTTTACTTACAAGTATGCTCCGCGTTTAGACTTAAAAATTACAGAGGCAGCATCTGAAAGGTCTCCCCTCATAATGTTGTTCACGCGTAAGAATTCCCTGATATTCTAAAGCTAAGTATTCTTGCATCCGATGCAAAACACCCTCTACCTTTCTTCTATCCCTATCAACTTTATTCCTAAGACCTTCCCCAAGACAAGATAATATCACTCTCGCATTCCTTCCCAAACTAGCATGGGGAAGATCTGGATCGAAATAGGATTAGTTTCTGCTCGAGGGCTCAAACGACGGTCGCTCTTGAAGCTCCAATGGTTTGCCATTGGTTGGATCGATCCGAAGAACAAGTATTGCACCAAAGTCGACCACTCTGGGAATGCGAATCCTGCTTGGAAAACAAAGTTCGCTACATTGGTTGATGTCTCTAACTCGGAATTCCAAGACCTGGCACTCCATGTAGAAGTTTATAGCAGAGAGCTCATTTTCCTTCGAGAAAGGCTCCAGGGAACAGCTACTATTGTCCTGAGAGAGTTTCTGGCAAAGCATGCAAAGAATTCTGATGTTTCCAGGGCAACCATTGAAGAAGTGGGGAGTTATCAGCTAAGAAAGGAAAATTCCAGCAAACCCCGGGGATTTGTCGATATTTCTGTTCGCATATCAGAAGAAGGGGCTGAGTCGCATAATCACATAGGTTCTTCACAAGGTTCCTCATTGAAAATATTGCCAAAATAAGTGTTTTATTAATTCTGATCATTCTAGCTGAACAAGCTTTAAGTCTTGTGAAAAATATTTCCTCCTCATTTGCTACTGATTTGCCCCTTTTCATTTAAATTTGTTTCTTCTGGTGGGAATCAACCAAATTATGTTACTTCATCAGTGTAAATTTGTAGGAAATGGAGGACTCGTGCTCATGGATCATGGGAATCACATAACCCTGACACATGAAGATACGTCAGCTCAAGCCTTCCCGCCGCGACTGCCTATAGTTCGACAAAGTCGAGAAAATCATCAGCAGACAAACGTCCCGGTAAATCATTCAACGCCGGTACAGAGTAACTCTCAGAACCCATCCGTAGGTGGACCGAGCAATTATCCAATTAGAACAACTCCGCCGCCACCACCGCCACTGCCTCCACCGCCACCTTCAAATGTTGGTTTCATACCCACCTTTCTTCCGAGGACAGAAAATCTGCCAGGGGCTCGTATGAACATGTCTCCGTCTGGAGCAGATGGTGGACAAGGCAGAGGACCAGGGTTTGGAATGGGATTAGGCGCAGGAGCACTCGCGGCTGGTGCTGCCATTTTTGGTGAAGACTTCCTGTCAGGATTTGATGTTCCTAGAGGCTTACAGGATGCTAGTCTCACTGTGTCAATGGATCCCCCCTTCTGATGAAACAGCGTAAAGGTGATCATCTCATGGCATTGAAATTGTAATTTTCTTGTTCCAACTGTATGGGTGAATCTGCATAGCTAGGCCATTTAATGATTTGCTAGTCTTGCATAAGTTTAATTGCGCCAAACCCTGTCGGACGCTCAAGCAGAGATTGTACAAGAAAGACCTCAAGCACAGCTTATTGTACAACATAGCAATGTCATTTATAAGATTTCGCCACAGGCATTGTACAGATTAATACGCAGTACTAAGCTCCCAAATAAAAATAATGCATGTCAATTTGTGTAATAGAAACAAATAATTTTCTTGTTTCACTGACCTAAATATTCCAAAATAATTGGCCAACATCTGGATTCTAAAACGTGGATGCGACTTCTAAAGAGGCGGAGCACCAACTACTTCAGCGTTTAGAAGACCAACTCTTTCTCAGTTGATCCATGATATCTGCTTGAAGCAGAAGGAGGAATGGTCTTCTGCAACTATAAGAATACTAAGACACAGCTTGCAGAATCTGTTGCTCCTGTGAACCCCCAAAAGCCCTTTGCAGAAACTTCTCAACAGCAGAAACAAACTCTTCTACTTTTTCCTCATGGGGTAGGTGTCCACATTGCTTAATTACTTCAAGACATGATCCCGGTATGGCTTGTGAAAGTCTCTCGGCATTCCAGGATGGAACGAGCCGGTCATTGTCACCCGTGACAATCAAAACTGCATCGGGAGAGGCAAAGACATTAGGAGCAAGTCAATGAATTGCTCATTCCTAGGCCAGTTGGAGATTGACACCCCAGTAGAACTTCTTTCTTGAGTGGGAAGTAATTTGTAAACCAATATCTGAATTCACTACCTTTCGACTTCTTTCTCTTCTTCAATACTGAAAATCTAGACCAGCAATTTTCCTGGCCTTAGTTTGGCAATAAAGACATGACTACAATAGCGAGATTGGTTGCTCCTTTTCAGTAGTGCAAAGTAGCTTATTTAGAATGAAGATTCAATGTTTGTGCAGTTTAGACCCTCTGGAGTTGGAAGTATTCATGGAAATGAAAACCTTTTGAAGACTTAGATAGAACCTGCAGAGAGGGATTATGGACTGCCTTGGCTGTGATAGAAAAGAGCATTTTTATCAGTCCCCAACTTGTAGAGCCGCTGGAGAAGGTTTAGGAGGTGATGATTTTCGCTCCAATTACATTAGGCGTGACTAGCCAACAATCTAGTTTATCTTAACTGAAACTTTGGTTCCCCTCAAGATAATTGATGTCCCGGACTTAGCATAGCTGATCCAAAACTAGAGTAGGCTTAATTGTGATCAGTTGGTCTCCTTAACTTGTCCTCACCTCACAGTCCTTATCTCCTCCCTAGTTCTGGCCAAGTAGCCTTCCCAAAGACATATTCTCTCAAGATTACACATTACATATAAGGTTCGTGTTGTCACCTGGACAAGAGATTTCATGCAGTCTTTCTGCAAGTGGAGGTTTTGATTCAGAATCGGCATCCAGAAGCATTGCAGTGGTGTACTCCAGCAGAGCTCTGTCCCAATACTTACTCCTTAATGGCTGAAATGTGGTTTTATCAATAAAATGCAGTCTCGTTAAAGCGAAGGAAGTTAGTTGGACAAAGCACTTTTAGTCCATTTCCCCTCCAACACAATAAAAAGAAGATCAGAGTTATCATGACATGACCAAGTACCTTTGTATATCCATGCAGGACATGTTCGTTGATTTTGTTTGGATCATGCCATGCATTTCTAATGGCAGCTATACCAAATTTATCAATTACCATCCTTACCTGAAAATCACGAAAAGACATCAACATTATTATAGCAGAGAATCTGCAGCTAGGGATCACATAATACTATCTACTATTGTGTATTTACCACTTAACTGTCCAGCAATGAGTTTCTAACATATCTAAATCAGAAGATTTATATCACATTGCACATCCAATGTTGAAAGAAAGGAACAGGGTAATAGCCCAAGTCACTATTGAGCCCACAACCCAGTCACTTAAATGTGCAATAATATTAATCTTTGACAAGCTACAAGAAAAACATGAGGTAACATCTCCATGAGAAAAAGAGACTAATGCAACAAGCAATTACTGCTGAAAATTTGTGCCACAGATTACAACAAAAGGAATAACACGAAACAATATGAAATTAAAACTCTAAAAAGATTAAATATCAGAAGCGAGTCTAGAAAGAAACTTTACCAGCATAACAGCAAAAGCAGAGCGCAGGAAAGTCGACAACAGTTTCTTATATAGAGTGGAAAGCATGCCTCCCATCCCCTTCACCATTTGCACTAGCACCTCTGAAATGGCATTAATGGTTTGTGACAAGAATCTGAAGATTCTTGAGAATGGGTTTACTGCAACATCCAAACCAGATGATCTCTCTTCTTTCTTGTTCTCTCTTCCTAGATCACTACCTTTGTTGCCTCTACGTGAAAAATATGGTGCAAGAATAGCAGGTGCTACAAGAATTAGCGCAGCAACACGTTCTGGAGCCTCAAAGTATGTATTGACTGCAACAAGGCAACCAGCGGAATGCCTGAATAACAATTTACTTCAAAAGTTCAGCTGTCTAATACCAACGCATCGCAAAATGACACAACAAAAGAGGGAAAAGAATTCTCCGGCAATATTTGGCATCCGATGGGTTGTGTGGGCTATTTCCAGATAGGGGGAGAATTATATATATTGAATACCTTGTTGAGAGCTGTGCGCATAATCAAATACCTTTCCTTTTCTCTAATTCACCAAATTGGAAATTGGCCAGTTCAATGACCACATGCAATTTAAAAGAGAGGTGGATAGGCAACAAACGATGTATAAGTATAAAGAGAAATACATTACCTACCCCACCAAAATTGCTCTATCTGATGCCAAGAAGTCAATGAAATACAAGGTGGCTAGCACTGAAAATGCCATGGAGTATGGATTTAGAGGTTTCTCATCCTTGCTTCTAGATGAAAGCTCAACAGATTTAACCCTAGATGTCAATCCAAAAGCCGGTCTATCGAAAGCAAGAATTCTGGAACCAGTTAGCCCAGCCAAATGCTTCATAACCCTATTCCAGGAGAAGACAGAAGCTCCAAACCCGTGCAACAAAATCATAGGAATATGGGGCAGTCGCGCATGACTCGCCGTTTCCATAGAGTCACGTCCTTGCGATGCCACATCATAAACCTTGTGGTGTACGTGGACACCTTTAAACTCACAAAAACGACTGTCGGGATCCGCAAGGAGTGCCGGGTCCACAAGCTCATCTTGATCTATGCCAGCGACTTCCTTCTTCTTTTCCTTCTTCCTCACATCCAACAATCCCTCTGCATTATCATGTCTTAAAGAGTCACTCTCATAGCATGCCACTCGATTGCGCGACCACTAAAAAAACCATCAATTTCCATGCTTCATTCACTGTTCTGCTGAACGTATAACAAAGTAACAAAGAAAAAAAATTTGAAACTTGCTGTCAAATTTTTTACTCTGCACCCCATGGACACTCCAACAAACATTCAATGCTGTGCCTTGTGCTATATAACCAACTAAACGAAGAACTTCAGAAGAAAAAGTCCAGCTAATCATCGGTTTGCTCAACAATTTAGCACGCGCAATTCAGCTCAAATTCTCTTATAGTTACAACGCAGAACAGAAACCCGAAGAACACTGACTTACACAGATTCACCCAAGAAAATATAAAATTGACTCAAAATTACAGAGACTGCCGATGGGAGTACCTGAGTATTCTGCACCTGAGCCACTCACCGAAGAAGTAGAAGCAAGAGCTACAAGCTTAAGATGCGAACTTGAGTTCGATTTCGCGTGTTGCCAAGACAGGAACCTTTTGCTGGTCTTATTCTCACCCTTGACTGCCGAAGAAACATCACCTCGTAAAAGATTAAAACTTCGACTCTGAAACACCCTCAAACTCATCTGGGCTGGCGTTCTTTGAGCCTTATGACGATGCAGGAGTCATAAAGATGCAGTATTTTGAGCGGAAGATGGATAAACTTTTAGGCCGAGCAATTCTTGACCATGATTGGCCAAGGAAAATGGAAATTCTTGATCTTTATAGATGCCCTTTTCCCTATTTTTCTATAATAACATCTGAATCGTGTAAAACTCTCCGCCACGCTTCAACATGAACCAGCGACGTCTTCTAAACGGATGTCCTTTACTTACTAATGGGTGAAAGAGAGCTCTACATTTATTTGCATTGTTTGTCACCAAGAGTTGCCCACTGAGAGAGAGAGAGAGAGAGAGAGAGAGAGAGAGAGAGAAAGAGAGAGAGCAGTTGACAAATGGATGAGGTAATCATTCATGGTAAACTTAGTGTATTAACTCCCTTTATTGAGTGAGAAGCTAATCTTTTAAATGATGAATATATCTTAAAATTCCGAGATACAAAAATTTCGAATTTTCCGCACTAATAAATAAAGTTAACTTATGAAATTAAACTCATGACAAAGATAAAGTAAAACTCACCTTTGGGGGCGGTGATTTTCATATTCTAAAATTAGTAGGAAAGACAATAGAACTTAATCAGCATTTTCAAGGTGCTTCTTATAAACTCTATGGAAAAAGTCATAAAAAGTTTCAAACTGTACCCACTGTCACATATTATCCTAAATTTTTTTTTGTGATATATAAAATTTCAAATTTACATATCTGTAACACATTTATCTTCCGTCAAAATTTCGTTAAATGATATTTCAGCCAAAAAAAATTATTTTTATTTTGCTTAATTTTCCATGTAGATAAATTTTCACATGACTGTAATAGAGTATAAATATGTCGTACATATACAAATTTGAGATTTTTTGGTATGATAGAAAATTTTTTAGATAAATGTGTGCTGTTTTTCTTGGCCTTTCTTATTCAGAAGACGAGCTTAACTAGACTCTCCAAAACAAAAAGAGTGATAATAATTCATCCCATCAGGCTGGATTGTGCTTTGACAAATTCCAAATTTGAAAGCTATAGAATTTATTTTGTCACCTGCCGTTTCTCATCTCTCTCTCTCTCTCTCGTAAATCAGCAGTGCCAGTCTCTGTACAGTCCCCAGCCGATAGTGCAGTGAGAGCAATCTGATCATTTTCCGCCGCTCAAGCCGGCCATGGATGCTCTGCTATGCAAGCAACTGGGCGATCCTACCCTCTCGCCAGTGCCATCTGCAATCGACAACGATAATGGCTCCCCGATTGTTCTGGACCCAAAACACCCGATCCCAGAATTGAAGACACCCACTTCAGTTCTCGTGCGGGTGAAAGCAACGAGCTTGAACTACGCCAATTATCTGCAGATCCTGGGCAAGTACCAAGAGAAGCCGCCTCTCCCTTTCGTTCCCGGCTCCGATTACTCGGGCGTGGTCGAGGCGATCGGCTCCGGGGTTTCCAATTTCAGAGTGGGTGATGAAGTTTGTTCCGTTGCCGCTCTTGGGTCGTTCGCTCAGTTCATTGTCGCCGATGAGTCCGAATTGTATGGATGTTTTTCGCTGTCTTGTTGTTTTAGCTGGTTTCGTTTTGTGGGGTTGCTTTGGCCAGGGATTTTTCGTTGTTTTGAGTGATGAAAGGTGTGATTTTGTTTGTCGAAGGTTTCGGGTTCCGGAAGGATGTGATCTTGTGGCAGCTGGTGCCCTTCCTGTTGCATTTGGAACTTCACATGTTGCTCTTGTTCACAGAGCTCAGTTGACCGCTGGTCAGGTATATATACTGTGAACGATTATCTTCAAGTACTTTTTGGTGCTCATTGGATTTAGTTCGGCATCTCTCGCTCCGGGTGATTTTAGCCACACGTGTTCCGTTTAGTTAATGCCGGTTGTGAATGATCAAAATGTAGGTCTTGCTTGTTCTCGGTGCAGCTGGGGGTGTTGGAACTGCAGCGGTGCAAATCGGAAAGGTTTGTGGAGCCGTTGTTATTGCCGTCGCCAGGTATTGGCCATTTTCAAAATATATGCCCTTGATTCCTTGTAGATTGGTAGTCTTCCATCGAAATGAATTTGCTGCTATACTATACTGGAGAGTAATGAAAGTGTTATCCACTGCACGTGCGAATCTTGTAGGGGAGCTGAAAAGGTGCAGTTTTTGAAGTCCATGGGTGTCGATCATGTAGTAGACTTGGGCAATGAGAATGTCATTTCAAGTGTCAAGGAGTTCCTCAAGGCAAAGAAGCTTAAGGGGGTTGACGTATTGTATGATCCAGTAGGAGGCAAGCTTACAAAAGAATCCATGAAGCTTCTCAACTGGGGAGCGCAGATTTTGGTTATAGGGTTTGCTAGTGGTGAGATCCCATTGATACCTGCAAATATTGCTCTTGTGAAGGTACGCCGGTTGTAACATTTCGTCTTTGCAGTCAAACTATCTTGTTTTCTTCTCGTTTATTTTATTTCTCTATTTAATTGAGATGCTTGTCTTAATTTTCGAGTGGAAACTTCAAGTGAGAAGTGACGGAGACTTGTGGGTTTGGAAGTATTGACTGAATGGCTTGCTGAAAAATTGTTAAAAGCTTATGTCTCATTCGTAGCCTGAATTCAGTTAATCGTGGACATGATTAATTTTCAACTGAATCGAGGCTCCCTATCTTAGATAATCAGAATTGAAGGGATAAAGTGCTCCAGTCATTCAGTTTTATTGTGATGGAGATAGCTTGAAACGATTATATGTGAGTACGGCAATAGCTTCTCTTAATCATTGGGATGTTACCTTCAAGAAGGACTCGGGTCAAGTGCTGATTTGTGCTAGACCATTGCACGCTACACTATGCGGTGTCTGTGAGAGGCAGCAAAAGAGGTTCCTTTGTGGTTAGATTGTCTTGCTTTCTTCGAAACAGTGAAACGAGAGAAGACAAATATTAGCTCACCAAGCAAATGAGCCAATACATATCCATTGAGGAAACTGGCGAGTTTCCATTTGCAGATCAGTTTGAGAAGAAACTGGGTGGGTCATTCAAGAAGCTGATGTAGATATTTTCAATAACACAATTAAGCAATACTAGTTTGGCCTTCCCCTTTATTTGGCCTTCCAAATCAAATCACGGTGTGCTTCTTTTCAGTATATTTCCTTCTGGTTTAATTTAACTGGTTTGCTTTGATCCAGAACTGGACGGTGCATGGACTGTATTGGGGCAGCTACAGAATCCATCGACCCCGCGTTCTCGAAGATTCCCTTAGGGAGTTGCTCTCCTGGTTGGCAAAAGGCTTGATTACTGTCCAGATTTCTCATGCCTTTGCCCTGTCGGAGGTCAGGAGAACCGCGGACACTCAATATCGTTCTTATCTCTTTAATGAACTTCAATTCAATCTCTTCATGTTTGGCAGGCCAACCTTGCGTTCGCCGCTATCAAAGACCGGAAAGTGATAGGGAAGGTGATGGTCATTTGTGAAGGTCCTGGGAGCAGAAGATCTAAAATTTGACATGGCAATGAGGCAATGCTGGGATTCAGAATAATATACTTCGGAATAATACTCCTACAGCTCTTCAAGATAAGACTAGTGTATGTACTCTGCATTTGTTACATGTTTGGATCCTGTAATTCACCTAAGAAACGAATTTCATACCAAGGAGAATTACTCTGTCAAAATTTACTAATCCATCTGTTGGTTAGATAGTCTGAATGTCGCCCAGAATACCGTCATGGTCTGTTTTAGTCAATCCGACCAAAGGCGAAAGGACACTAGAGTAGGAATTAACGCTGATGTTTAAGTGGAGATCAAACCCAAATTTGGGCTAATTATGAGCAATTTTTCCCGGCCCAAAAGGCTTATGGCGAGGTTCAAACATGGTCGGACCACATGCTTCGGGGGCCATTCATAAGGCACGAACGCAGCCCAATTGAGAGAACCGAAAAAGGTGAAAGTTGGGATCGCTTACGTCGTCTCGAGAAATCATGAACACCAAATGTAAACTGATTTGCCTAACATCTCAGGTTTTCAAGTTACTCAAAGAGCACGGTATCCCACTTATGCTCCCAAAAAAAATTTTACCATCGATTTGATTGAAGAATCGATGTCGAAATAAACAGGTTGCACTTCCAAAAGTGCAAGTTTCGTATTCAACGAGCGACACAGAGTGGATCGAATAATTATCCGGCGGATGTGGGGTGGATGCTATGCCCACCAAGAGGACTGATCGAATATGCCCTGAGGCTCCAAACAGTTTTTTTTTTCTTTGTTAACTAAGAGAACGATGCAAATTCAAATTAATATTTTGAAAGATGTACGGAGGACCCGAATTCAGAGTCTCATCCAATGTGAAAAAGGACAACAATTTATGAGAACATAATCAATCTTAAACATAAAAAGAATAGGAAACCTTTTTTCATCGCCTAATGTAAGGATTGATGCAGAGGTTTCATCTTGAAAAGAATGCACAAATCCATATGTTCATAACTTCCGCATTTCTCAGATTACTAATCCCTAAATCATATTTCGCCTTGACCCCCAACCGAAAGAAGAAAAGGATGCAACAATAGCAATGTTCAGACCATAAATGATACCGGAGCGATCGGAGAATGAGAAGGAAACTCGAATTGCAACGGCGATGGATGGACTCATCGCTCAAGGGATCTGGCCCGGGATACACGGCATGTGACTCACCACTCGATAGAATTTATCGAAGAAATATACAATTTTAGAGGTACTCTAATCCAAGAGACCAAATACGAAATCACACTCTAACCCTCTAAGGGACCCTCGAGGAGTTTATAGGGACTCAACTTGGAACAACCTTCCAAGCTAGGTAAATTCTGAGACATTTTATCTCTTATTTTCAAAGATGAAACCAAGATCCCCTAAACAAATCATTAAAAAAAAATAGATCAAATTTTGACTCAAGACGACTGTAGGAATAAATTACAATGCATAGGACCCAACAAATTCTTACAAATTAAAAAGGACTCATTCTCAGATAAAACTGAGCAACGCCGAGTAATTTGACCATAAATTGATCACACGGGCCTTTTCAATCATATATTAAGAGACCACATTGGAACGCGAAATCATCATCTAAGCTCGGAAGAAAATGACCCTTGGAATTCAATCATCTAAGCTTGACCTCTAAACAATTGCATTTGGCATTGGATACGGCTTAGTCCTCTTAAAATGTACACCATGAGTAATCAAGATGCATACAATTTTGTTGTAAACCAATGTATGGGCCTTCAAAGTTCAACCCACCCAACATGTTCTGAATCTTCTGATCCATGTACTGCTACAATTGTTTACAAAAGCCCAAAAAAAACCAAAATAAAGGAAAACTAGTTACAGCCTGTTCCAAATTCTTATCACCGTAATATATATCCAAAACAGGAACGTAGAATGAGGAGGTCCCCTCTCCATAATTGGCAATGTCACATGGACCCCAAAACTTAATTAATCTAAAAAATCAATAAACAAGAAGCACCTCATAACCCTCATCTGACCCAGAAAATTTCAAGAATAAACAAAAAAAAAGGGTTTCTTTAAGTTCTAATAACCAGCTGAACAGTATCATACAGTCGTGGAAACACCTCCTTCCCCATTTTGGACCTTAGTGTAAAAACCAAAGACCCTACAGGCACAGTTTCAGATGCGCGCTGGATTAGAAAAATGGGCTCGTGTGTACTTCACATCTCGATGCACCCAAGCTATGCTGAGGTCCGAAAGCCTTAACAGCAATGAGCTTTATCTGTACTTCGTACACCCAACTGGTCCTTTTTTAAAAAAAATTTAGGCTGTTCGGGCAATGTCTGAACAGAATCAAACGTTCTTTTTTCCAATAGAGAAAACAATTTAAATGGATGCCCTTTTAAAAGGTGAGCGTAGGGAGACCCCAGCTTGGTTGGTGGGCCTCATCCCTGTTTAAAGGCAGTAAAAAGATGGATTCTTTCCTCTTTCCAAGGTGGGAAAGGAGGGCTCTGTGAAGCGAAGGGACATGAAGCTAAGGAGTTTCCACCAATATGGTAATTGGTAGCCATCAAAAGAAGGAAAACAGATTAATTAGTGAAGTGCCCCATTTAGGTTTAGCTAGACAGCTCCAAGTTTCAACATCAAGTAGGCTTAATGGTGACAAACGAAAGGAAAAGCAACGGTGATACAGCAGGCTGTGCATTAAGCTAGCTCATCTCCTTGTTACACAGTGGATACAATGTTAATCCTTTTTGTAAATGACAAACAGGTGGTTGGAAAGTTCACCGTTTGGATTATCAATCCTTTCTAGTTTCTTTGCTTCGCCAGAAGAGATAAGAAGAGAGTTATGGTGGTTTGGTGTCCCAGTGAATCCATTCTTTTCTCAAGCAGAAAAGCTCCTCTAAAACTATAACCACATGAAATGATAGGAAACTACATCTGAGACTTTCTCATACTCAGCAATCACAGAAGGTAATCACTTCATGCTAATTCTCGAAAAAGACAGCTTAATCCGTTTACTCTTGCCTTCAGCAACATTTGATGCTTAAAAGCAATGCTTTAGCAGCAACTTTGCAAAGCAAACATCAGAAAGAAGAGCTTCTTTGTGCAAATTTGTCCTTCTCGCTCTCAGTCTTCAAGAGCATGTAAACTCCCACGGGCACATTGGCTTGCCAGTTCTTTTCTTCCTTTGCTTCAGCGTACAATTTAAGGCCGGCCCTATTTACAAGTGTTGCAGAGAAGGACAAAATAAACATATTACAGCTTTTTCACATAAGAGAAGATGAATTAATCGATGTAACAAAGGCTACAGTGCACTTGTACATTAAGAAAAGCCAAGTTAAAATGATAAGGCATCAACCAAAGGGCAGCCATCTCCATCTCCACCGGTCACTTGCTATTGGCCATCAGCTCCCACCACCGGCCATTGCTTCTAGCTACGGTCATTCCCTCCATCCTCGTGAACCGGTCACTTTCAAAAGTTTCTTACCAGTAGTTCTGAGTACACATTGCATGCAACAAATAGATCGATTTTCATGGAAAGAAACTTCCAACAATGACAACAGAGATAGCATTAGGTTTCTCTATTTGGCCACACCTACACACGCACTCGCAGAGAGAAGAGAGAGAAGGAGCTCCCTTCAGTCCAAGCACAGAAAAAGAGGGGTGCAAAGTATCTCCCGCATCATTCACACAGTCACCAGTAAAAGCACAAACTAATTTGCCCCATTTTCTCTACTGTGTGATTGAATGAATGAGTCGGCAGCTATTTCAACCCCCTTTATTCCATCCATGAGTGGACTGAAGAAAGCTCTCTCTCACAAATCTTTTTGAAGCCAACATCACTCAGATTTTCTAGCGTTTTGCTTTTGGCCCGAGCCTGCAAATGTATGTGCATATATAGCAAGCCAACATCACTCAGTAATATATTAACATCCACGCATGCATTAGCACCACTAGGTAACATGGAGAAGTATCAAACAGAGAGTCAGTGTTCAAGGCAAAGACGGTAAGGAAACACTGCATAATTTGACTAACAATGAATACTCGCGATCAGCAAAAAGAGTCTCTACATCAATCATACTCAATAGTCTCTACGAACCCTTCAATGACAATATATCCAAGAAAATGAAAACCCACCACGCACTTGGAACTGGCGATTCGAGACCTAGTACTACTTCACTGGTTTCATCATTTGGCGCAAGCCAACATGTGTGAAGTTATTTTATTGATGTACTTAGCAGATTAACGTTTTTTATTATTGGACCGAAAGGGGGACAGATTTCCGAAGACAAAAAGATAGGAAAAATCTTACCTCCAGGAAAGAACCCTCCTGCTAATACACCCAACTGTTGAGATGAACTGAACTCAAACCGACGATATATGGAAACTGAGTAAAATCTCGAGGAGATAAAAAGAAATTATCATTCAAGAATACCTCAGATAAAGATCTCATTCATAAGCAAATTATATAAAGAACGGATCAAAGAAGTACTTTTGGAAAAAAAAAAAAAGAGAGGAAGATTTCCCCGTGAAGACCAAACTAGCCCTAAGATCATGAGCTAAGCACAGGTACAACCTAGTATCTATATATGCATATATATTTACACTACACTGTGGAGCATTCGGATTTTCCTACAGTTAAATCTTGCAATCTCAAGAAGCTAATCTTTTTGTCTCCTTGAAGAAGGAAGACGGATAATCAGTCCCACCACGTCCACAACCACATGAAACAGCAATAGAAAACACTGAAAACCTTATCCGTGTGGAAAAAAGATCTCCAGCTACTAATTGGAACAAAAATCTTAAACAATCACTTGAATTGACAGCTCATTAATTACTCAAGTGAAAGAGTAGCTGAATAATTTATGAAGCAGAAGAAAGCATGAAATAAAAAGAAAACCCTACACTCACCATGTCTGATATGATCTTTTTCAGCAACTTTCTATAGGGAGAGATTTTTGTTTTTGGTATCCAAGTCCATAAGCACAAACCCATTACGCATAGCTACTTGAGCGGAGAGAGGGAGGGAGCGAACAATTATACAGCAAAAAGACAAAAGAAAAATGAAGTGTGCAGGCAAAAAACTAAATGAGGGAGAAGATAATAAATGATGCAAGTAAGGACTAAAATGAGGGAACTGTGTTGTTATGCGAAAAGAAGGAGAGAGGTCATTGTCATCATGAGAGTCAGAGACAGGAAAGTGACTCAAGATCTTCACAAATCTAACACAGTTCTGTTTCTGTATATGACATGAGAGAGAAAGAGAGAGAGAGAGAGAGAGAGAGAGAGAGAGGGTTTCGTTGTCTTCAGTCTCTTCAGGAGATTTCGGAGAAGAAGAGGGTGATGCAAGAAGAGAAATGTGAGGACACGAGGGTTCTTGCTCTCCCCTTTCCTACAGTGTTCAAGAAATAGGGAGGTGATCAGGGGGAGAGAGAGAGAGCGAGAGAGAGAGAGAGAGAGAGAGAGAAAAGAGAACAGATTAAAGAAAAAGAGAGGTTTTACGCACAACACAACAGATGGATTTGGGAGAAAAGAAGCGGAACGGAGGAGGGGTGGGGTTCACCTTGAGTCTTTGGCTTTGACCATTGAATGCTTTTCTTTCAGCTTCGATATTTATATTGCAAAATATATTTAACATGAAAGACCGTAAGTTAGTAACAGGAAATGAAAACTACATTTTTATTATAGCCTATACTGATGCAAGTGGCCTTTTGGAATAAGTGAAAGTACATTCAACACTATACAAAAAAATCATTGCACTGTTGTACTAATTTTGTATTTATCATTATATTGGTGCACGATCAATTTTTTCATTTTAAAATCAATTTTAATGAAGAGTATTGTGCTTTTGCTACCCTCGGCTAGTGTGATTTGCACGTGCTATCTTGAAAGGGAGAATTTATTCATTTATTGATAGAATAAATGGAGTTAACGAAAAAGAAATACTTCCATCGCCATTTCGATCCCACATGTGGAAATAATATCCTAAGAGTGATGATAAATTTCTCTGCCGTTGAAATAGAAGTCCATAAAATCTTTGCATGTATTCTTTAACATTAAATTCGTCATCTGCAGGTCATGAAATTGTTGAATACAACTTATTGTTTAATAACCTGGTCAAGAAAGGACATGTTGTCATGTGATTTTGTATTATGGGCGGTGGATTCCTTTATATTTACTGAATGTGAAACTAGTTAATCTTTAGATCCCAGGATGGAGTTCAAGATAGAGTACACAAAAAAAGAGTACAGTATCAGCATTAGAAATTTTAAAATTTGATTCATGACAAGATGGAACGAGCGAAAAATGCAAAAAGTATAAACATTGCGTGGCCGTGAAAATGCTTGAACATTAGATAATTTCCACATTTCATATATGATAAAGTTCTTGATGAAGATTCTTGAAAACAAAACGGCTTAAATCATCATTAGCTCAGTATTATGTAAGCCAACAGCAACCTTGTCTAAAGCTTCTCATCATTCCATGAGTGCCAGCATTAAAATTCACACCTCCACTTTTTTTTATCATTTTTTTATCAATCTAAGTCCATATTTTTATCCGATAAAAGATAGGTCATTGACGCGGACACCGTTGACATCTAAGCCAAAGAGATTTTCCATCATACAATGCAGTGCTTTAACAGAAGAAAAAATGGAACCAACGTCCTCCATATATGAAAGAGCTATTGGTGCACTAGCTTGACACGTCTACTCCTAAAAAAACAAAAATGAGTAGTGGACGTTTTCATGTATGTTCTATCTTGCAACCTTATCCTACAGTGTCCGCTAATTATAAGCAATAGTATCGAAATGCGTGGATCAGATAATGTCTATTTAACAAGGAAAAGAGGAGTTCGAAAGCGCTGGTCTGGGAAGGACAAGTGGAGCCTCCTGGAGGACCCTTTGTCCTGCCTCTCCAAATAATTAGAAAGAGTTCTTTTATAACAATTTTCATCTATCGAGATTCTTGCTATCTCTCGATGTTTCAGCATCATAAACTAGCCCTCGAAAGCAAGGAACTGAAGAGAAAAGTGTGAGAGATCGCAATCATTTTGTTTGTAAGTGAACATAAGCTCGAAAGGATCAAAATCACTCTTTGAGTACGAGGGTTAGAGTCCAAATAATTTCATTGTTTTTCAGTCCGACATTCCTCTACTGTCTTTTTAAATGACCAATCTACATCCCAAAGGACAAAGAGGGCCTCCATGTATGTATGTGGGTGTGGCCACCACTCGTGTATTGCAATGATACCTCTTAGTCTTGGAGGCCAATGATGGTGTGTATAAGGGAAGAACTGTGCGCGCAACGATGAGCAGCCTCATGTGATATTGGTGCAGGGGGATAGCTATCATGTCCATGTGAGTCCATGACATTCGTGTCAGGTGCGCACCACTTTGAATTCAACCACACGACAGACGACACCTTCATTGGACCCTATGTTGGATTGGACCGTGTTTGAATTGGTTTTTACTTAGCTGTCCCAGCAACCAAAGCTCATTCGTGCGTACTTCCCATCTACACTGCATCTCCTATTAAAAAAAGTACGTGAGCATCCTGTCAATTTCACCAAACGGATCGAAGATTGGATGCGTTTTACCTACCTTTGTACGAACGAGGAAAAATAGGGTTAATCCGTGACACCCGGCAGCAGCAACCCACACGAAAGTTCGTAAAACTACGACTTGCATTAGCCCGAACAAGAGAAGAAGTAGGTGGTTGGCGGCATACTTCCCGCTTGAGTCTTTTCATGATTGTATGAAAGCTGAAAATATTCTTTTTTTTAGTGGCTTAATGCACAAGATTGAGCTCTAGGATATGTGAATGATCCATGAAGATGGTTGGGACCGCCCCGAATTCGACCTGATGCAACTCGAAATCTGTACTATGTTTGCATGACTAGCAGATAATTTAGATGAAAGTTTGAGAATCCAAGCTCCGGCGTACAAGATCGAGTATGAATTGCAATCTCGTATCCTCCACGACGAGCATGTCAACATCATAAAGTCAACTTATAGCCGGCAGAAACTGTATTGCTAGGAACCAAAACAAGAACACCAGAGAAAGAGAGGCTGGCTTCCATTGTCAAACCTAGTGTGAAGTATGCAGAAATTTTTACAGGTTCACAGAACCAGCCACTTTCCATTTCCAATGGGCACTTAGAAACCCACATTTGACCACCGCCTGCGCCTTCCACCTCCACCACCATATCCGGGCGGAGAAAAAGCGAGAGAGCAACCACTAAAAGAAATGGGTGGACCACAAGAGCATATCAAATGGGGTCGTCATGTGTGGTCCCTTTTGGCTTTTTCGTCACTGAATTTTCACCAAACACCCTCATATGTTTCACTTTATCACTACACTGCAATTATCACTTTCATGCACCCACGAGATATACAAATCTCATCAGAATAAAATCGAAAGCCTTCAATTTTCTTGTAACCCTTAAATGGGTTCTCTCGTTTTTCTGGTATGAAGCACGTGAAAGATCGTTGCTGGATCACCTCGTTCTGTGAGTGAGGGCAAAAACAAACTGAGGCCTTGTCTCTGCCCAAGATAGTTTTAGGAAGTTGACCCAACCGTGTCTCTACAGATTCTTTTCTCTATCTTTTAGGCCGATGACGTTATCAAATTCTTAAACTTGGTGAAAACAGAGAGAGACAGGAGGAGGAGGAAGATGAAGATGAAGAGAAGACCCCCTTTTCAGATTGGACCGAGATGCTTGTCATTCTTGCATGTTTGCTATGATATATTTGCCCATTGAAACAAGTTTTTTGGACTCGTTGATAAGCCGATTCCTTTGATCATTATGATGGCCAACACTAATTGCAACACAGAAAGCTCGTACATGATCCATTTAGGAGCATGTGTTTTTGAATCGTCATAAAAAAGGAGGCAAAGGAAGGGTTATCATGGAGGATGATCAACAGGGCTAGTTTCTTTACATCTCCAAGAACAATTAATAAGAGGGCTAATTATGTTACATATTATTTCTTCATAGCCCGGATACAGTATTCATCAAAGAACCCTCCCAACTTAAGCCCCACTAAATAAGGCATCTGGAAAATACAACACGCTTAGCTAGGAAAAATCGGGTAGCAAGATAAATATACTTTGTGCATTTCTTGACTACAAATCTCCACAGGAAGGACATTCATTCTGATTCTATTTGTTCCCAGTAATCGGGAAGTTCCCTAGAAAAGTTAAACTCAATACTGACTCGTATGAGTGGTGTGATGCCTAGCTACTAACTTCCAGACAGCTTACTCTTCCAGGGCAAATGATGAGAATTTGTGGGGAAGGCATATTTACTTTGTATACAAATGGCATGAGATCAATGCAGAACCACTGTTTTGAAGAAATATTTCAAAACAACTGGAAGAATAGACTTGTTGATCCATCCCCAAACGACTGCAAATCTGCCTGTCTAACCAGAGCCCTGCATAGAGGGCAAGTCCTTTCTCTCTCAAACCTACAAAGAATCGATTCCAACCTTGTTAAAGAGGGAAAGTAGATAGCACAAGCAACAAAAGGATAGTGATTCATGACTTTAATCAGCTATCAGAGCTCGGGAAAAGATGGCCTGGCAACAAAAGTTTAAGCATCAACCAAAAGAGCTCTTAGAATTACTGCATGTACTCACGCGTGTAACATGATGAAAAAGCGTGCAAAGTAACAATAAGTATACCACAAGCATGCCCCCAATTTATCCTTTTCCAGGTATAACAAGAGGGGGTTTACGGGAGAAGCATCCCAGAAACAACAGTTAAGCACAAGATTTGGAACTTTAATATTTTCTTAAATAGGAGCCAGATCCTGCAAGATTTATTCCTTTAGCTCTTTTTCCTTTCTTGCAAGAGAAACTTCTGCTAAAAGTAACAAGTTACCGGAAAGGAAACTGTGTTTGGAATCAGTAAGACAAGGGTAGACAAAGTAACGGATTTATGCCCAAGTAAATGATAAATCTCGGAGCTTTCTCCAATCCCACATGCTAAAGCTACAAAAAAGAACTGTCTAGTCACTCCGCTATTTACGCTAATATCTAGCTCATCACTTATCAAACAGTTCTCACAAAATTACCAATGCAAGAGAACTTTGCTGAACCCATATCAAGCAAACTGGCAAATCAATTATGATAGCAAAATATTGACAGCATGAGCAAGAGTGAAACAATCTACTTACCATTCCGAAACACATTCCTCACAAAAGATGTGTTTACACTGCAACAATATCGGAGCGTGCATCTTCTCCTGACATATAGCGCACAGGTCTCCAGCGGCATTGACCTGCAGTAATATGAATGACCATTTCAACTTCTACTGCTAACTTCACAAACAAAGATAACATCGTTTACTTAAATAATTATTTAGAAAGGGAGGCAGACTGTCAAAATCTAGCTAAAATACTCTTGGGAATGCGCAGCAGAAGCCCGATACCTTTACCTGGGGCGATAGCCAAAAAGGGAGCTCAATTTCGAGCCCGTCAACATATCCAGTTGGACCCACATTCACTCAAAAGCTTAAGCCAATGAGTTATGGGCCAACTAAGATATATTAACTGCTTAACACCACATCAATTATCCAATGTGGGACTTCTCTAACGCTACTCACACGTGTATCTCAACAATCTCCCCCTCACATGTGAATGTGTTAGGTTTGCTCCCCCTTAATTTAGGTATTCTTCTGCATCGGCTGCATCGGCTTATCTCAACTTAAATCTCCAAGTCATTGCAATGCACCCGTAACTATACACAACAACCATCATCAACTGCTAACTTGGGATTGCATCACCCATGGTCTCTATCTCGCGTTACTAGACCAACTGTCCACGGTCACTTATCGCCAGACCGACCGTGATGGTAATTTCCACCCGAAACAAGCGTCGATCATGAGATTTCTTTGTTGAGATATTCACCAAACATTGGAACAGATTGGAGGCCCATCAATCAACCATCGGCTCTGATACCACTTGTTGGAAGCACGCAGCAGGAGCCCGATACCTTTCGCCTAGGGAAATCGCCAAGAGGGAGCTAAAGTCCGAACCCGTCAACATATCTAGTTGGACCCACATTCACTCAAAAGCTTAAGCCAATAAGTTATGAGCCAACTAGGATATATTAACTGCTCAACACTACATCAATTATCCGATGTGGGACTTCTTTAACACAACTCACACGTGTATCTCAACAAATACGATGATTTTTTATGAAGCAAAGTGGAACAAAAGCCTTATTAAGCTCCTTCCCCATGCCAAATAGATTAAAATTTCTAAGTGAATGGAAATTTAGGAGACATTCACCGATGCCCTGTACCAACAAGATCATATTTCTACAAAGTGAAATAACAAATGCATCCACAAAAGTATTGCCTTTCCAATAGTTAACAACCACGAAATTCCACAGAGCTTCACCGCATCGATGCTACTTGAGCGCTCTATTTAATCTCTTATTTAGAGTATTAACATGGTAGATTTCAATTGATCCATACCTGCTCTTTTGTGGCATAAGATCCATAATGCACTTCCTTGTGTGATAATGCCTTAACCGCAGCAAAGAATGACCGGACCTGAACAGCAACTGAATAAAGTTGGCAAAATGCTGACAAGAACTTGTTGTAAGCTAGAAAAAAAAATAAGGGAGAATTTCTAGAACCATTGGAAAATAGAAACAAGCAGGCACGCGAGATTATAGAGAAGTAAATAGAACACCAGACCTTCTCAACAACAGATGTTAGCTTGAATGTCAAGTACAACCCAGTTGTCAAAGATGAAAATAGGCTCCCATAATCTTTGTTCAAGAAAAATCGGTACCAAACAGGAGCTGGCAACAATGCTCGGTACAGCAGCATTGTATATTCAACCAGTGTCAGCATTTGACCCTTGAAAAATATCAACCATTGATGAGAGGGCTTACACAAGACAGAGCCACTTGCAATGCTACACTATTAAAGGAAGACTAGAATGAGGAAAAAAGTGTCTCACCTGACGACGGAAATTATGGCCCCTGCTATTCTTGTAATAAATAAGCAGCAAACACTTGACAGACATAGCCGCCTGCCTCGCCATTATATCTGCAAGCATCATAATCATTGCAAATAATCAGTCATCTTACCACTACCCCAAAGGTAGAGATCCAGATAAAGTGGTTATAGCATTTGACATTAGTACGATAAGACTGCAGTGTAATGGCAGATGTCAAGTAATATAACAAAGACTGAAATGTGAGACTCGAGTATTACCCAAACGACCCACCCAGATCCTTATATCACAGGAATGGGAAGACCTCAGTCAAACCGGAAAAAAAAAAGTCGGCCTTAATGGGGAGGATACACAACATGGTGAAATTTCAGGACCAGAACCAAATCACCACAAATTTACCATCAGATAATATAGATGCTAATGTGGAGGTTCAAGCAATCAACAAGCATTCAATGAAGGTCTAAATATATGTATACTTACCATTGAGCATGATCATGAAGATAGCATGCCAGAAGGGTGGAATTGCCTTTGGAGGAAGCATAAGCAATGGATATAATACACCATCATTGCGATACCACCAGTAAACACCAACCACATAGACTATAAAAATAACAGAAATGCTCACGAGAACAGAACTTTTCCTCTCACCCTGCAGAAACGAGCATTTAGTAAGTGCTTCCAAATAATTGTCTCCAAAAAATGCACTTGAACTACTTGTTAATGCTGACCAAGCAGAAAAGCACCTTTAGAGCAGTCTGCTTCCGAAGAATGTCGTTTGACTTAAACATGACAGCTGCAATCCATATTGTAACAAAGAAGCCTGCGTGTAATCCATAAACATCCTTTAAAAAATGGCAAGTATCCAACTAATATCATATATAGCAGCAACTCAGGGTTACATTCGATATCTGATGACAAGAAAGATTCACAGAGTGGCCTAGCCGTATAAACTGAGGAGTTCTTAGCTTTAGCTGCAACCTCCATCACGATAAGTCAACCCTAACTCTAGCAGCCCAAAGATTCACACTCTGCCTAAAGAGAGGAATTTATTTCCAAGCACCCCAAGTAACCAGCCAGATGTTTATCAATCATAGTATGAATGAAATACTCCCAATAAGTGGTTGGAGTGTTTCTTCTGCCATATAAGATGAGGCACCCTTCTCTACCAGGACCAAGCAGATTTCAATTAATCAAACATGACCACGCCGCCCCTTCTTTCCCCTCCCCCCCCTTCCCTTAAAAAAAACAGAAGACCCGATCACTCTCCCAACCACGTATCCTTTCCCTGTGTTCTCTCATCTAGCCCCTTAGCATTAGGTCCATCCTTCTCGTAACATGACGACTCTTGATGATAAGTGACTAGACAATCTAGACACAATGCCGGCGACATCATGCGTTACTATCATAACGAAAATCAAAAGCGGTTCTATTGTGTCATAACCCATACATCTTCTCTATGTGCTTATATTTGCAGTGTGAAATATCCGATGATTATTACAAATGGTTGCATCACTTTATGGTCAAATCCCCTGAACCTATCGTATTCAAACAGCAATAACATGAGCAACATTGTCATAAAATCAAAGGAGATATTCTGAAGAAATATCTGATTTGAGTACCTTGCAAATGCTGACGAATGAACACAACCAACAAGAGCAATGAGAACGGGAGTATCTGCTCAATCCATCTCCCGACCCGCTGCAAATCATATCTCTGGTAACCAGAATCCCTAGAACTATCAGCTGAGTCCATGACATTCGCCGACGAAGTAGAAGCAGCCTCCAACAATAAATCGTCACTCTCTGCAGCAACATCCATCAAATCATCACACCCAATTTGCCCTCCATTGTCCCCCGTATTAACTCCACTCCGCCCCTCACTAGAGCCAATAATCCGAATCGATACCTCCTCGCCACTGCTGCCATTTCTGACATCAGAATAAGGCGATTCCGTCTGAATGTGACCGGCACTCGCGCCGAGAACCGGACTCTCCGACTCGGGCGCGGTCGGCGTAGACGGGATGATACCGGAGTACTCCAGTATAACCGACAATGGCGACTGAAATAAGCTGAGGGATGGGAACTGCACACCAAATCTTGCAGCGGAGTTGCCGTTGCCACTAGCAGTGGATGAAGTACCAAAGTATACATCAGAATCACTGGGGGTTTCCATCCTTCTGCCCAATTTTGCAACAACCCAAGTTCTGCAATATGAGAAATTTCAAACAGGGCAAGACTCTCTGCAGGCTTAAACTTGAAGGACCATAAAGCGAGAATCAAGAAAACGAGACTGATATCAGCAAAGCAATCACATTGCAGCGGCTTACGATAAAGGGAAACAAATCAGAGCAACAATGGAACCTGACGAACTTACATTGAATGCGGATGAAGAAAGAGGACGGATGGACTCAAGAAACGCAAGACCCTGATCCCAAAGATCGCAAATTTGTCCGTCTCTCGCGCAACTGAGAACTGGGAAGTGTGAAACGGAGCTTCTTTTTTGTAAACGAGACGTCAATTCAAGGCCCCGAGGCCCTCAAGAACGAATCTTGACAGGGAAATGACGAAAAAGGAAGAACTTTTGGGAGAAGTAACATCGAAGAAATAAATCCCATCAAGAGAAGTTGGCCATTATAACGAATCATGCTCCAAGATTTGCCTTAATCGAGACAACTTGCGCGTAGCCAGTTCCTTTTGCATTCTACCCGAGTTGTCCGTTTCCCCGTCTTTGCACTGGGTAAAAGGAAAAGTCAAAACCCAGGAGGTGCACACGTGGATTTATTACGTAATTAGCGAATTTAATATGAAATTTAACGAGTTGATTGATTTTTAAAAGAAATAAACTCATTGGAATTTCAAAAAAATTTTAAAAAGTAAAATAAAAACATCAGAACTTACGACGAAGGTGCAATTGAATCCTAAAACTTTTAAAAAGTACAATCAAATCCTACAACTTGTCAAATTGGAGTTCAATCAAGTTTTTTCGATTGTACTTTCGTGACCAATTTTTGGATTTTCAATGTAAATATCTCTTTCTGAAAAAAAATTGCGAATTTTATTGTTTGGCATATCGTGATTGGTCTTCCGTCTGGTCCTATTTTTGGGACGAGAATTATAGTAACAAGTTCTCATGTGTTGTCTAATGAAGAAATCATCTGACAAAAGACTTGAAACAGAATACGTAACGTGGTACTTAGGATGTGCTTGCTGACTCAATTCATGCGTGGGAAGACCTTAGTGCTTACCTGCTTCCTACTCGTCGATGACATCCATTCGCAGCTCCGATAATGATCCAAAGATGGTCTCAATCATAGTAATTGCGTTCACCAATATACGTCCACGCCCCCAAAACACTCCAACTCCATCCTTTAATGCAAAAAGCGAGCACCAACTTAACTTTTTATATCGACCCATCTAAATTTTCGAGTCGAATTGCACGAAAAATGATGCACTGAATGCATTGAATGCCCTCTCTTTCTGTGTTGTTTGGATGCTCGGTCTCACATGATATATGACTAAACCCATATATCGTTCGTATCCGAGAATTAGCGAAATACGCGTGTCTATTTTAAAGGAAGAATTACTTGTTGGATCCTATGGATCGAAAATTAAAGTGCGAGTGGGTAGACAAGCTAGGCTGGCCAGGCTTTATCCACACTCCTAATGTTGACTTTTGGAGTGCAATGGAAGCTGCGCATCTGCCGTTCCCCATTATCCCTTTATTTGTATGATTGCTGGCAGGGTTTTACGTGGGATCCAGATCGCTCCATCTCCATTGCATCATTTTGGGGTGGGAAATGATGAAGCTACTCTCCAATCACGACGAGAGCGACGGAGAATTGCACGATTACTACCTACTACCGATGCTGTGTAATCTTTTTAGAGGTGGCATCTTTCTATCAGGACACGATAGTGATAATTACCCAAAAGAAAAGGTCATAAATTTATAGTACACGGATACCAATTCAATCGTAAATCTTTCAATTTTACTTACTGAGTCATGAACTTTTTGACGAAATGTCAATATAATCATTTCAATCAATACTGGCTGGAAATTATTAACGTGGATGCCGATCTTTCTACGTGGTACAGCAAGTGTTGATGTAAACAAATTTGAATATTTTTTTTTATTTTGATATATTTTTTCTGTTTTCTTTTTCTTTCTTACTTTTCCGTTTTTTTTTATTATAAGTCTAGCGAGGGCCCCTCGCCCAGTGGCCGATGAGGGTTGGCCTGCCCTCGCCGGACTTAGTAGAAAAAAAAAGGAAAAGAAAGAAAGAAAATAAAAATGAAAATCTAAAAAAAATTGAAAATTCTAAAAAAAATTCATGTCAGCGCCAGCCATGCTACGCAGGACGATCGACATGAGTTTAGCAATTTTATAGCCAGAGTTTTCCAGAATGATTACATTGGCAAATCATCAAAAAGTTTAGGACTCAATTAACGAAATTGAAAAGTTTAAAACTGAATTGATATCCACATAATAAGTTTATGACTTTTTTGGTAATTTTCCCAACATAAGAAAGAGGATATAGGCGCTCTAAACTAAAGTAATCTTGTTCACGTATCATTCTCTCTTTTCTCCATCATTTACAAAATCCCCGAGATATAAAGATGCAGTCAGGACGTCATTGCCTTGCCATCCTTGATCATAAAAGCACGCTATATCGCAAAGAGTCTTATTAACAAGAGCTCTTAAAGGCGCCGATTATGTTATTAACAATTGAATGGTAAAGATACGGTTTTTTCTCTTGTTAAGCGTGAATTCACATACTTCGCTGATATATAGTTAATGCAATCGGCATGTTTAGATCCGGGACGCCATCACTAGAATTCTATCAATAATAACGAGTGCTCTCTTATTTCACTACCGAAATAGTACATACGTGAATATCTACCGGAAATAGGTATTTCATCAAGAGTGCGAGTAAACCCAAATTGGAAATTCCACGTCATGTCGCCATCCAAATTATTAAAAAGAATATTTTCACTCGATTAGGAACGGTTCGAGAACAAGGCCGTCCGTGAGCAAGCCCGATGGTTGAAACTGGGCTTGATTTTGGGCCTAGACGAACGCCCAAACGGCATTTTCTTGGGCCGTGCCGGGCTCGGCCCAATTGCCACCTCCACATCCGCGGGACGAAACGGAGGGTCGTATTGGGCGCCCCGATAAAACGACACGTCGTTTGGTGCTGATGACCAACGGGGTACTTTTGGCTATCGCCACGACAATCTACACGGTTCCAGAAAGACTGCGAAATTAGGGCAAAAGAGAGAGATCGCGAGAGGAGGAGGAGGAGGAGAAGAAGAAGAAGAAGCAAAAGGGAGGAGGAGGAGAAATGGGGAAGCAGCCGGTGAGGATGAAGGCGGTGGTGTACGCGCTGTCGCCGTTCCAGCAGAAGATAATGACGGGGCTGTGGAACGATCTGCCCAACAAGATCCACCACAAGATCTCCGAGAACTGGATCAGCGCCACCCTCCTCCTCGCCCCCCTCGTCGGCACCTACACGTACCTCCCTCTCTCCCTCTATGCGAACATGTTTTAATCGAGATTGAATTTTGATTCGATTAGCGTAATTGGGATTTGAGCTACCTGTTGTGGCGATTGTGCGGTTCGATGATTGGTGTCGGTTTTTGCGTGCTTGCGGGATAGATGTTATGGTTGGGTCAGCGATTATGATTAGTTTGATCTCATTTTAGGGTTAAATTGTTGGAGGAGCTGATTTAATTGCTTGTTGAGATTGGGGGGGGCGGCCTTATGTAAGATTTTTCCTTGGACTAGTAGTCGAAGTTATTCGAGAGATTGAATGCTTGTTTAGTATGTGAAGATCGAATTTCAATGCTTATTGAGCAGTTGGGATTGTGTTACTTTTGCAATGTGGAGTGTCGCGATGACTGGCTGGGGGCCAGCGTCGGTGTTGGCTGATATCTGTGGTGCCAAAGTTTCAGCTATCTAGCAACACGCGGAGGGCATGAATTTGCACCGACCATTTTCGCATAAAAGGTGGAGGACTCTCTCCGATGAGATGTGGATGAGAGAGGATTCAGAAGCTGACCTGCTCGTTGAATTCGGTGGTAGATATGATGCAATTTTTTCGAGAAACATCATGTCGGAAGCTTAATGAATTCTCTGTGCAGTCGTATTACTCGAGTCAATTCACTATGAAGAAAGTCCGCTAAAATTTGCAGAGTCAACAAAATGAAGAGGGGACTTTCATGGTTGGCCTTGGGCTTTTTCAGTCGATGAGTAGTGCTGACTGCTGAAGCTTTTTATTCCTGATTAGTGCGTAAACTCCACTTTGACTGTGAGCAACTGGTGAAAGTAATGGATCGGTGATGCAAGAGCTCTACCACTTAGATGTAAAATCCATATGATCGTGAGGATTGAGGATTCGTGTGATTAACTGTTGCTCTCCCCAGTGTTGGAGACTTGAGCTTATTCTCTTATGCCGACTGATGTTTCGGGGAGAATACAGTTGTTTCCAAGTATCGATAAACCTCCAAAATTTCGAGACTTTATCGTTGTCGATGCTTGATAGAGATTTGGCTTCATGGGTTTTTGTAGCTTAAGTTTGGAAAATAGCCACTAACATGACTAATTGATTAGTCTAAAGGTTATCCATGTATGAATGATGATCTTTGGTGTTACGAGAAAGAATTGGCAACATGTCGTCTCATATGCGTCTCCCACTTCTCAATATAAGCGTGCAAATCCGTTTGAGATGCTTCTAGACTTTGGAAATATGTGTCTTTCGTCTCATATATGCGTGTGCAAATCTGTATGCCTCAGGAAATGTGTCTTCCGTCAATTTTATTGCTCGTGCTATCTGTGTTACTGTGCTCTACTATTCACATTTTTCTTTCAGGCTTGCATGGGTCTTCTGTCAGTTTTATCATGTCGTCCTAAAACTTTTGCATCCTTTTCAGTCGTTATTCTAGTGATGTTCATTTGTTCTCACTTGTCTTCTCCAATTTTCGATGATTGATGCAGCTATGTCCAAAACTACAAGGAAAAGGAGAAAATGGAACATAGGTATTGACCTACATTCGTGGAGCTCGTGGCTGGCTGAGAGGACTTACAGGATCGTCTTCTCGAGATGCAAAAATTGGAGCTGGGGATTTTGAAATAACGTTTCAAAGTTTTCTTTTTGGAGCTATTCTGAATAATTTCTCGTTGTCTCATGACGCGTGACGCGTGCGCAAGAGATGGAAAATTTCTGGAGAAAAACCTGGACTGGATTTCAATCCTTTTGTGATGACGACTCTTCTGATGCTGTAGTTTTCATTTTCTTATGTGAAACCCTGGATGATAATTGCTTGGAGTCAAAATAGCTGGAACGAATCTATGTTGGGTACAGTTGTTTCTGGATAAGTTCTCCGTTTTTGTTTTCACCCACGTTTGCTCATAGGGCTATCTATCCTCAGTTTCTCCCGTCTTGTTTGGACCTGCGAATTTGCGATTGCCGTGCCCTTGAGGAGCTATGGGATTCAAGCTTTTGGACCATAAATGTAACATGGGAGCTGCCGGTTTCCAATCTATTCGCGGCCTCGTTTCTTCGTTGTACTTGTCAATTAACTTCTCACGGCGGGGTGCGTCGGTCTTTCCATGCAAACGGGTTGCACGAGATCAAAGCGCGCGCTAGTTTGAGGGAGGCGTTGGACTCCTCGTTTCATGGTTAATAAGCTTCTTTTTGTCACTTAGGTGCCCATTTTGAACTTTTAACACATCAGATCTTATCGAACGAACAAGATGAATCTCTCTCTCTCTCTCTCTCTCTCTCTCACTATCTGTGTGGAAAGATGCTTGCTTTTGGTAACTGAAGCACAAGAGAGAGAGAGCAGTAGCTCATTTTCGAGGCTTCAGAAATTCAAACATGGGCCTGCTTCAGGCCCAGGCTATAAATTGAATCGGAGAAGACGAGCTCAAAGAATGGTCGTCTTCATCGTCTTCAACGCTGACCGCACCACCGTCCAGCATCAACCCATCGACTGGCATTTCCTTCGATCCTGCAAGTTGCCGGCGAAATTCGCATCGTCTACGCAAATACACATACGATGTCAACAAAACCCTCGTCGCGATTGATCCAAGGCTTTCTGAGATTGCATCGCCACCACCACCATCAGCTTCACCTACCGAAATCGCCCCCTGCCAACGCTCATTCCTCCTCCCACTTCGCTACTGCAGCCGTCGATCCCGCCGCTCGCTCCTCGCCCCCTTCTTCTCTCTCTCGCTCGTTTCCTTTCTCCAATTCGTCGAGCTCGGCCTCCGGCAGCGCGCGAAATTCGTGCAAATCTAGAGCATTTAGTAACGTGGCCGCACCTGGGACGCTCGCTCCTTCGAGGTCGGCTCACGTTTCTCAGAGGACGGGCCAAGCTTTGCCGAAGAGTTTCTCGCCGGCGGAACTCGGTCGGTTGAGATTGAATTGTTATGGGGTCCGGCATTTCTCGTTCCAGAGCTCCGGGAATGGGGGTTTTGCGAAGAAGGTTTTCGAGAAGCCGGCAATGTCGGTTTCTACTACGCTGAGTAAATACCGGGAGGCCATTGGGTTGCAAGTAGAGTCGTTTTTGAGGAGCAATTATCTGTTCCTTGTGGGTGCCGGAGCCGTGATGGTGTGCGCCTTGTTGTGGAGGATCATGTTTGGGATTGCCAATACTTTCGTCGGGATCTCCGAGGGGATGGCAAAGTACGGGTTCCTCGCCCTTTCCTCCGCTATTGTCGCCTTTGCTGTGAGTTCGTGAATTTCCTACTTTGTTCATTTATCTGTGTGATATAGTCATTTCTATTGGCTAGAAAGGTGTAAAATTGTACTGGGAATGATTGAATGCCTGTGCTCAGCATTTCAATCTCGGTGATTGCAGTACTCTTAATTTTAGTCTGTCAGTCTGTATGTAAAGACCACGATAAGAGCGAGACCCTACGGTTAGGAGGACAGCATTTGGATGGTTATGTCACCGCTAAATGCTTAGCATTTCCCAATTGGTATTGGAGCACGAGATTGATTATTCAACCTACCATTGTTATAAGCAAGGCAAGGACCTCGGATTTCCTGGTGACTGCGATCTGCCGCAGTTTGTCGATTCTCTTTGGACAAATCTGTTTTAAGTGAGCAGCTTCTTTTGCAATGTGGCATTCTGCTACAGCGCAGGTTCTGCCGCTGGTCTAGCTTTTTTAGGCAAGTTAACGGGGAGTGGCTGTAAGTGGAATACTGTCCAGCATATCAGTCTTTCAAGTTCTCGATTCTCCAAGGCGACTTCTTTGTACGGTTTTTGATGGGTTCTAGACAAAATCTTGAGGCCATGAGTTGCACTGTTTGCCTAATGAATTTCTTCTGGTTATGCGGCTAAAGATGTTGGCTAGGCAGGCTTGCCAAGTGATGATTTTCTGTAGTTGCTGTATGAAGCAGGCAACTGTCATTGTGAACAGAACACAGTATCATCAGCAAACCTAGTTTGGGATATTGAAGGGCTTGTAACAAGTTAATAACCACGTAGTTCTGGGCCCCATAATTCCATAAATAGTGTGTGCTAACTCTTTTTTACCAATATGATCAATCTAGAATATCATCACCAATCACTTCGAGGTCATAAGACCGTAAAGTAATTCATGTCTGTCATGATCACCTAGAATTGGATACATTCTGAGCATTCTTTGTTTTGCATCATGGGTTTTGTCAATGTCTACATGAGAAAACCCCTCCTTCCTGCCATCGTGTAATTTTGGCAGATTATACCACTGCAGTTAATCTTGTCCCGTTTTGCTGATTATGACTTGTGACTTTTGTGTTTAAGGGCCTCTATGTGCGTGCAAGATTCACGATTAATCCAGATAGAATTTATAGAATGGCCATGAGGAAGCTGAATACACATGCTGGAATTCTCGAGGTAATGGGGGCCCCTCTCACTGGATCAGATTTAAGAGCTTATGTGATGTCTGGTGGCGGTGTTACCTTCAAAAAGTTCAAACCCAGGCTCAGAAGCAAGCGGTGTTTTCTCTTATTCCCTATACGAGGTTCAGAAAGAAAGGGCCTAGTCAGCGTTGAAGTGAAAAAGAAAAAGGGCCAGGTTTGCACCTATACCTACTGGCCTCCAATTGGTTGAGCATAATTTTAGTGTTAGCTTGAATTTACTTTCCATTCCTGTCTGCATTCAACATCATCTTGCTGTTAATTAGACCTGGCTGCTTCACGTAGAAAACTTGTTTTTGTCAGAGCTTCTCAAAAGCTTATGTTATTTGCCCTGTCAAAGAGAGATTATTGAGTCTCTGTTTTTAAAACCTCTTTCATTTAGTTTTTTGTTTTATTTTGTTTTGTACATGAGATAAGGATGAATCCTGTTTCAAACTACACAGAAATGTACGAGAGAAGAAAGGGGGCCTGATGCTACCGTGCCTGCCTAGTTCAAGTTTTGATCACGATGCGTGGCTTATCAATGTAGCATTCAAATTGTCCAACTGAAAAAAAAAAAACTGTGGTATCTAAATTTGTGCAACTGTGTTGCTCTCAGCACTTTGGGTTCCCTGCTTCTCAGTAGGGTGGAGCCATTTGAGACAGTGCGGAATCTTACTAGGCTAGGCTGATCAAGTTTCCGGTCACTCTTATTGAAGGAGTTCTGGATAGTTAAAAACTTGTATAGCATATACAAATACATTGAGGAATAGAGTAACAACTTCCATTTATTTATGATTTCATTTCATCTGGAGCAGAAAAATATCTCTGTTGCTGGGAAGCAGTCTATTTTTCCTTTTTGTGTGAAGATAAATGAATAGTTTGAGTACTGAGTATTGAGATTCTTATCTCCTTAAGATTTGTGAGGAAAATGAAATGGCAGTCAAGTCATGCTAGCTGACGTATGTCTCGTGCTTATTTGCAGCATGATGTTAAGTTGTTGGCCGTCGATGTTCCAATGTCATCAGGACCTGACCAGCGGTTATTTCTGATTGGTGACGAAGAAGAATACAAGGTTGGTGGTGGCTTAATATCTGAACTGAGAGATCCGGTTCTAAAAGCAATGGCGGCAACGAAGGAATTTGATGATCTTGATGAAATTGAGGAAGAGGAGGATGCTGAAAGAGAACTTCAGGAGGCAGAGAAGAAGCATCGCGAAGAAATGGAAAAGCTTGAAAAGGCTGGCCGAGAGTGATTGTTCGTAAAGACTTTCTCGTTGATTTATACAGTAGGATGGCACGGGAGGCCCGAGTCATTGTATCGCACAGGAGGCCTGAGGCAGTGTGGTCGCCTTTCATGTGTTATCTGATGAGTTCTTTCATTTCTTTTGAGTGGTGAAGCTATCCGCGGGAAATAATCATCTTATCACTTCAACGTTCTCGCTTCTCTTGTAAGGTATCATTGGTTTGACCAAAATGGATAGGGAGAACTGAGATACTGTTTCTTGAAACTGAATTTTTCTGAATCTCAATTTTCAAACTTTTGTTGTGATTTTCGTCAGTCCGGGATTCAGCTACGATTAGCCTGGTCGGTGAATTTTTCTTGTTATTTGCATCTCCATTTGGCACCTCGACATGCTCCAAGCCTGCAGAATTTCCCGGAAGAAGCACTTCATTTGTGGAATCACTCTGGTTTTCAAAGTAGACACGTTTCGCTATGTTTGCTTAGCTTGAAGTTGACACAGCTGCATTCTTAGATGAATGCTTCGAACCAATTGACTACAGATTCATATAATTCGGACACTATATCTCTAGTTGCGAACGCATCTCTCGGTAGGATGCATCCGGCGTTGAAGCCGCTCGTGTCCTGAACTCAGCCAGATGGGGAGGATCAACTCCACGACGATTAGGAAATCGTGGAATGGCCCGAGCACACAGCCGTAATCTTTTGGAAATTGAACTGTTAAACTGAAAGAAAGTAGACACAGAGGAGAGACCCTTGCATTAATCCAGTCCACGTGCTGTGCTCTGATGTTAAATCTTGGATTCTATGATCTCATCCTCAATTCCCAGAATCACTCAGAACAGGCGCCATCGCCATCGTCTTCTTCTTCTTCTTTCTAAGCTTTTTTTTATCGGCTTTTTCTTCTTCTTCTTTTCGGCGCAAATGATGAATGGAATGAAAGTGAGCTGAGTGAAACAAGAGACCCGGATGACCAAAGTTGAGCTATCCATACATACCTGAAGCTAAAAGGGGATAAAAGAAAAAGATAGAAAACGGGAACAAAAAGAGAGAAATGGCCCATGCAGGTTTCGAACCTGCGACCTTCGCGTTATTAGCACGACGCTCTAACCAACTGAGCTAATAGGCCTTCAACGCTTTACTCAACCAAAAAAATATAAATATTTATTTCTTCTAATCTTATCATGGAAAATGGTTTAGAGATCTTTCATTATTACATGTACTTAGTGTTATTCAAGAGCAGTAGTAATTCCAGAACAAATGGCTTTGAGATAACGAGGACGCAGACTTGGTCCTGCTAGAATCAAGAAACCAAAGATTGTTCATTCATTCATTCATCCACAAGAAGCAGCCACCTTGACGAGCAATCCGAAGAGCAAGAACGGGGCGGAGAAGAAAGGGCTGTGATCGCTATCCAACGTGAACACTTCGCTGGGCGGCCACCTCGCGATCATCGCGTCCTGCTGCTCCGGCTTCACCACGCGATCCTGTGCCGTCTTTATGTACACTCGCCTCACTCTCTCCGCGCCCTCCTCGGGGAATTTCGCCGTCATCAGCGCCGTAGCCGGCCCCGGCTTCAATAGCATCGCAGCCAGCGTCGAGTCCTGCAAATTGTCACCATAAAGATCAAGTTCAATCATTGTATCGATCATTTGCTTTCTATATCAAACGTGACCCGACCAATGGCCAATTATGACATGCCCACATCCTAAAATTATGAACTCGAACCCCGCTCGAATTATGGTGATCGGCTCGACGTCGCTGCACCGAAACCGCACGTTAGTCGAAACATAAAGAAAAGTTGGTACCTCGATAGGGCTCATCTGATAAATGATACTGCGCTGAAACTCCTGCTTAATAATTACACTTGTTGGGGGTTTATCAGGTCCGAGCCCAAATATCAAATGGTTGACGTCCCCATATCCTGATAGATCTGGCGCTCCCTGTCAAGGATTGACAACACCCTTATCAATTCGACTTCCAACCTCCACATTGCACTTCCATTAATATCCACTCAGAACATCATGCAATATGCTCAGGAATTAACTCCTTATCCTTATCAGGCCAGTTCCACTACACGATCGACAAGAAGATGGACATTGCAATCTCACCCACAAAAGCAAAAGGGGAGAAGAGGAAAAAGACAATGGTGTTTGGTCAGTGGATGGATGAGAGAGAGAGTGGGGAAGGCGACAAAATATGCGGGTGTTAATTATTGAAGAGAGACCAGACATATCATATGATGCATCTTGTCTGGTTGGAATTCGAAAGGGGCACTGAGTTTCTTTGGCAACTGGAAGTCTTGGTGGATTTTGTTTTGTTTTTTTTTTTCGTTTACATGTTCGACAGTCGATGACTGGCCATTGATGCTGACTCAAATCTGAGGTGAGGGGCCAAGTTGCACGTTTGTAGTGCAGATTTTCCGGGAAATTAAAAATGGGATTTTTTTGGGGGGGGGGGGGGTACATAGTTAATTCATTAGAAGAATGGAAGACAACTATAAGAAACCCGGAATCAAAATCTGAATGCCTTTATTGGATTTTGTTTCCTTTTTTTTACTTGGTCCTACCAATCAGCCTCCACTGTTCCAAAGCTTGTTCATTGTAAGCTCAGAAAAACATGGTAATTTGGTGAATAGAAAATCACGTTATTGGGTAAAAGAAAAAACAGAACCTGACCAATCATGACAATATTAAATTTCCAACCTTTTCGGAATTGTGCTGCACAGCGGATGATCTAGGGGCCTAGGAAGAGGACATCCTTGGGATAACCGATCAATGAAGACACGGGACAGTTCATTGACATAACACTTAATTTGCTGCTTTGAAGGTCTACATACTCGCTCTACTGTGTCTAAATTTCACCGAACTTCAATTGTAGATTGGCATAACACATAAATTTGCAGCTTATAAAGAAACCATGTAGAGAGAGAGAGAGAGAGAGGATGAATGATTGAGAAGAGAAAGTTTACATCTTTAACGTCTTGTTCTGTGTGGAAACCATACTTGAGCATTGAGGCGGCCACATAAACTGCAACCTTGATTTTTCCGGGAAACTTGCCTGAAGCCTGAGTTACACTCAGCCCTCCTGCACTGTGACCCACCAAGATCACCTGTCACCCACCATATCCGAAATTCATCGTCAGATTATTAGCTAAAGATCAACTGTCACCCACCATACCCACCAAGAATTGGCTTCTTGTGATAACCCGGACTATGTAAAGTATAGGATAAGGACCTGTTCATTGTCCGGTAAGTTGGACAGGAAGTCCAGCAACGGCTTGTTGTAATCGTCGAAGGCGAGGACGGTGTTGGGGTCGGTGGGGTCGACGCCGCCGCTCGCGAGGTCGAGGCAAGAGACGGTGTAGCCGGAGCTCTCCATGAGGGACCTTATCTTGTACCAGCACCATGCTCCCCCTCCAATCCCATGCACCAACACAAAGTGGGCTGGCTTCTCTGGTGCTGCCGTTGCAGTCTCCGCCATCTTCACTTCCTCCCCCATTCACAGTCCCCTCTCTCCCTCTCCTCTCTCTCTCTCTCTCTTTCTCTTCTTCTTTGCAGAGAATGGATGGCCTTCTGCAAGTAGCTCTTGCAATTTATACGCGCAGCTGGAGTGGATTCATGCTCGTGTCGTGACTCTCCAATGAGCATGTCATGAGCTTGATTCGTGACCCTTTTCCCTTTATCCAATCACGAGCCTGAAGTAACACTGTAGCCATGAAGACTTGGCCCCAGATAACACCATCTTTCAGAAGGGCCATTCCTTATGATGGACGCATGATTGGTCCACGTCGAAAGTCAAAGCCACACGTGGCTGCAAGGCGCATCGGCTCCACGAGACCTCGCCTGTGCGCGCGCACCACTAGATCAGCCAAAAAACGAAAAAAGAGTCCTATCAAATGTGTCTTGAATATATTAAAATCCACCATTAAAAGTAAATTACTTTTGTTAATAATGTTTCCTTTTTTCAAGATGTTTCGATCGAACATTGTAATTTCCACTTTTAGCTAACTTGATAAGACCCGTCAGAAATCGAAATATTATTATTGTGTCTAGCGAAAAAATAAATTTATAATGGATTATAGGACATACCTTACACGGGATATATATAGGAAATGGAGATCTGTCCTCAAATCCAGCGGCAAGTTCATTATATTTTGATTCGCAAGATAAGATAAATTCAATTTAATAAAGAGTTTGTCGGACGGTTGCGAATTTTAATTTGCCTTTTCTTGAGTCTTTCTGTTTGTTTCTTTGTCTAGAATTGCAGGCTGACACTCTATCCTTGTTTTATTGTATTATTTTATATGGAAAATTAATCCGTTGCCTAGATTATCTCTTGTTTATTATTTATTAAAACCTTTTGGCTAGGAAAAAGGAAATCCTTTTGTCCCTGTGAATGCCGTCAGCGAGGTTGACAATTTGTCTATAAATAAATCTAATGAATAAAATACTTTTTTTTCCTGAGCGGCATGTTTTGAAGAATTTGTCAAGACCAATAGTCATTAATATTATCCTGTTACGACATAAGAGTAATCCAATAAAGTTATTGTATTTGTAGCGGAACTCTCGAGGTCACATGAATAAATCCGACATGAAATGGTATGAGTGTTTTTTTTTTGAAAATTTCAAATAAGGACATGAAGTGAAGCCGTTTTCTCAAAAAATAGTGCTAGATGGGACCTTGTTTCAATTAAGGATCTACAGTGACCAAGCAAATCTCAAATAAAAGTCCGAACTCATAGTCCACCCAAATCTTCATTGGCTGACTTTTTCTTACTAGTAAAATCGAGACAATTTTGTCCAAAATTTTTTAATTTTACCCTTAGATTCAGGCGGAACAATTGAAGAACTAGAGGATTGTTATTTGGAAGAACAATTTCAGAACAATTTTCATCCAAAAATTTAATGCCACCCCAAGTCTATCCACCCACAACAAATCGCTCCTCACCCTTTCAAGTTCTTTGTCGCGAGCTCCATCCTCGGTCGGAGGAGCGTGAGCGTCGATTCCATCTAAGGAGTTTGAAAAAGCTAGGGATTTTCGATTCTACTTCCGATTATTTTAGTTTGTTCGATTCACTCGATTGGAAGGAGGGTCGACGGTATAGCTATGGAAGGAGGGCAATGGTGCGGGATAGCGAATGAGTTGAGTTTCCGGTGTTTGTTGTGGTCACGACGATGCTATGGGGACGTTTCTATTTGCGGAGAAGGCACGGGTGATGGCATTGTTTATAATTCGAGTGCAAATGAAAAATAGCACATCAGATTAAATGAATTATTTAGAAAATATTTTCTTAAAATAATTGCTTACATATTTTGAAATAGTTAGCTGATGAAAATTTTCTTTTACTACAAATAATAATTTATGTCTAAATATTTTTATGGGCGACGAAATTTTTTTTCATCTATTCATTTCTGCGAGAAATACAAACAATGGATTTCAGTAAATATTTTTCAAATATTTCATTTTTCGCGGTATAGATGAAAAATTACAAAAAAAAAAAAAGAAAAAGGAATTAAAAGGGGAAAAAGCTCCACGTGGGTTAGGACGGAACAGTCATTCTCTGATTGGCCATATCTTTCATCGTATCGTATGTTCGAAAAAGCGGTGAAAAGCCGGACAGCTGGCCCTGATGACGTCATTGTCTGTAAAAGCATAACCACGGCCAGCCAAGCATTTGACAATGTACTTTGGTTTCGTTCCATTGGATCCAGCTGTCGCCCTTTTGCGCAAAAAAAAAAGCACTTTTTTGACAAACTGTCATTTTTTTTACTATACCTTTTTTTTTGGTCAATTTTTTATTTTTTACTGTAACTGAAGATTTACGTTTTCCCTTAAAATACGTTCCAAAAGATTATCGATAAAAATCCTCTCTTTTTTTTTTTTCGGCACATTTTTCTTTACCACACTAAAGCTTTTTCTTTTGTTTCCTGATTTGCGCAATGTCGCGTCCCAATCGATAGGCCTGAAGTGGTCAAATTAAATTGATGTCCGCAAATGATGCTTCCAATTTTAGGGAAAGACATAGTGGTACAATCGAGTCTAATCGACACGGCACTAGACTTGAACTCGAGTATATGAACTCGAAAAATTGAAATTTGACCCCTCTTTTTCTTGCTCGAACTCGAGTCAATATAAAAACACGACGTACTTGAGTTCCACTCGATTTTTTTAAGTATATAAAACTGAACATGCTCGATTTTTTCAGTTTGATTAAATTCGATTCAGTTTGAGATACTTGTCCTGGAAGCTGATACCGCTGCGACCTCCCTCCCATCCGGCTCCTCAACCCCTCTCTCTCTCTCTCTCTCTCTCTTTTTTTCTTTTCATTTTTTTTATTTTATTTCTTTTCTTTTAAATTTTTAGTTTTTATCTTTCGTCGGTGCCACTTGAACACTACCGGTGCGACTTAAAGGAATAATAGAATTTTCATTTGAGAAAAAAAAATCAACAGAGCTAATGCAAGCACTAACATGGAAAACCGCCGATAAGCTTTAGGACATAAAAGTATAAAATAAAAAAATGTTTTTAGAACTAAAGTGCCGAACCAACGCAAGTTTCAGCACTCTCCCCGTCATTATCCCCAACTTAAAATGTACCGAGAAACTACATAATAAAAAAAGGATTAATATCGCGAAAAATCCTAAACCGATACACCTGTGATAGATTTACTTCGAACTTATATTTTAATTACAAAAAACCCAAGGCTGGTACACTTTTGACAAATTTACCCTCCGTAAAATTAGATTAATATCACAAAAAATCACAAATTGGTAATCCTGTGACAAACGGAGAGGTAAAACCTCAAACTAGTACACTCGATCAATTGTTACGCTTCATCCAATTCAGCATTTTAATAGCAAAATTTAACGGAAACTAACGAAAGGTAAATTTATCATAAGCGTATCAGTTTTAGGTTTTTTTGTAGTTAAAAAATTAATTTGGGATAAATTTGTTATAAATGTACCTGTTCGGAATTTTTCGTAGTATTAACCCTGAAAAAAGAAAAACGGGGACAGGTTAACCAACACGATCCGCCTCCGTGCTACGCAAGCACCTACGTAAAACCATTTTGACCTCCCGCCTCCAAATTCAATCGCCCCCTCAGCTCACAATTCACGGCAAATCCTGAGGGATTTGTGGACCATTAGCGCCGTATCGAAAACGACACGTCGTTTTCTTGCCCCTGGCCGTCGCTATAATAAGATTAACATTTCGACTCCCGCGGGTCAAGAAACATTTCCGTTGACTTTTACGCGGGACAGATTGTTTCTTGCGCGCTAACACTGTCATTAGCGGGAGTTAAATAATCAAAGTGTTTGACATTCTGGGAGCAAGTCATTGGGTGCGTGGCAATTCGCAGGGACCAATGAGGTTTCACCGATGGCGTTGACTTTGACTTTTCGGGAAATTCGGAGCCAATTAGAGTGCGCCCGTAGAGTCCAATGGGGATCGAAATTTGAATATCGAGTGGCGCACCGGCCCACACGACGGTCCGCGTTGCTGCGTTTCCAATGGATGATGTAGTGCTTGCGTTGCCGTTTCATCATGCCACCTTAGCAAAGACGGGTCGGTCCGGATGACGCTTTTTAAGGATATGCTCAAGTCCATCATTTAAATTCTTTTAGAAATTGGATATTTTTTTTTTTTGTCTATCATATCCTAACTCTCCTTTCTCTTTCGGATTTTTACTCTGTCTGTTTGCAGAGCGCGAGAGTCGAGCTCCGCACCTGAAACTAAGTGTGCCCACCGCACCCAATTCTCCTACCGCCGGGCTGCATGGCCAGTGAGTAGAAATTGGCGACTTTGATTCAGCTTCTTTTGCTCCATATTCAAAATCATCTGCATTTCCATTTTTATTCAAAATGCTAGTGTACCCAGCAAGAACTAGAAGAGGTATCTAGTTCGGTCTTGAGCTGTCTTCAATTACAGCTCCATTGACTTGACATGTAGGGGTGTCAAAAATACTCAAACTGGCCAAACCAAACCGCAAATTTCGAGTTTTCTCGGGTCGGGTCTAATTCGGTCCGGGTAATAAGTAAAATAATTTGAGTATGTTGACCGTTCGGTTCCGTCATATACCTAAACCGACCCGAAAATAACCATGTTTAATCCCTCTCCTTATGTGGTCCTTTGAAGACATGCCTATGATCTTTTCCATTTCAAAGAATTTCTTCCTTTTCATTTTAGTGATTATGATCCCGGCACCTGCGCCTCCTTCTTCGCCCGTTCCCCAACCAACCCCTCACCTTCACTAACAAATCTGGCCATAGCCATCAGTTTTCTCCAACTCCTCCACGAAGTCTGCCGTCGGGTAGCCCTTCGACGTGTCGATCTCCTTCGTCCGACTCCACCCGACCTCGATGTTTGGCGCCTCTTTCAGATCAACACAAACAGCTCACCATTGACAAAATAATCAAAGGCCATTATGCGTGTATTGTTTGAGTAAGATCATATGAGAGATGCACAAGTTAATATGCAAATGATGTCCTAATAGGAACGTATGGGGGTCAAGAGTTGTCTATCAAGGACGAATAAGGTGTTGGGCGCTGAGATGTCTATAGCTAGATGGACCTAAGGTGGACGAGCCTAGAATGAGGAATTCGGTCATACTTGGAGGTACCACGATAGGTGCACAATGAGGTAGAGCCATGATTGTCAATATGCTTGGAGGGGCCAAAAGATAAAAGCTTGAGTGAAGTTGATAAAAATACTCTGCCAGTATCAAAGGTATCTGATATATGAAATGAAAGACCAACGATAATTGGATGGACTTTTATGGAGGTGAACAAATCATGAAGAACGGAAAGTTTGTGAAGACTTGGAGGTACCAGACGAGGTAAACAATTTATATAGTATTGGATTACTAAGATATTGAGGAAGATCAATGCATAGCAGTTCGTAAGCCGAATTCCAGCGGACAACTTGGATAAACTCACGTATTGTTGATAGAATAGTTGACTATATTAACTGCGAAGAACATGCTCGTAACGTGTTTATTACTTAAGGTAAGAAACCCATATATTCCTTTGACTAATCTTGTGTGTCAAAAGGGGCACAACAACTATCTTCAGGAATTGGAATTATGGAAAAAAGATTGGAGATAAATCAATTGGTTTATCACCAAATTCAAAGGAATGTATTATTAACGAGTGTGGGCAACTCTATTTGAGGAAATCTCACAATTACCCAAAGATTTTATTGTATGGGCGACTAGATCTCACAATGATTGTGTCCATCAATTCCAACAGCTAATTGATCCTCTTGCAGATCTCCACAATTAGTGTGGAGATTGAAGAATATATAAGAGAATTAATACACTTTGAAGGATAAACGACGAAAATATGAGAAAGTTATACTTTCGAAACTGTCTCATCTTCTTTCTATGTTTGCGAGTTAACTATTGCTCATTTGTGTTTCACTCTATTGAAAATTATTGCCAATTATAATCTCATTTGAGAAGTGTACAAGTGTTGTAGCAAGGCTTGTAAAGTAATAGTGTGATCTATCATCTTCAGGAAGAAGAAGAGCGAACTACCCTTGTAACTGCTCAAAGGATTACCGATAAAATCCAGTCTATTGGTAGCTGTTAGTCCGGAAGAGTAGATATAAATTTGGTTTAAGCCGAACCATTATAAAGACCCACATGCATCTTCTTCTATTTCTCTATTGATTTATACATCTGTTTGATAGAAGCATTCCATTTGATATAATCAGTGTGTTCTTGCATATATCAACTGCTCCTGAGTATATTAATCTTGGTAATTCCGCAAAAATATATAATGTTTTGATAATCAACATATTCACCCCTTTTAGCTAGGTTGTATACTTAGCCATAACAGATGCGTTTATGGACATCCGGATCTTCATATGCATCTATGGTTGTCCACAGTCGAGGTTTGTTTCTCTCCTCCGTGGTCGTCCAGATATTGACGAGATCGACGGTTATGGAGCCTCATCGTCTCCAGGTTTGGAGTCGCTTTATCACCATTGAACATTGACGACATTACGGAGCTCGCGATCATGGCGTTCTCGAGATCCATCCTTGTTGCAGGTGATCTCAAGATCCATCCATGGCGTTCTATTTCCGGAGCTTCCTATAACAGAGGGATGTGAAGCAAAAACTGAAAACCCGAATCGTCGCTTTGTTCAGGATTTTGTACGATTCAGGTCTTGATTCGGATATTAAGGATATATATCATTCGCATTCGGGTTGGTGGAAATCCGAACCGAACCGTCCCATTGACACCCCTAAACATAGCAAGGTTAGTTTTGCCATTAACTAGGGAAAATTACCAAAAAAGTCCTAAACCTATTACAATTGTGCTAATTCAGTCCTAAACTTTTTTTTTTGCCAATTCAGTCATAAACCAGTAAACCTTTTGCAATTGTGCCAATTCAGTCCATCCGGCCACTTTTGGCGAGCTGGCGCTCACGTGGACGCCGGCCGTACGGCCGATGCTGACGTGACAATTTTTAAATATTTTTTCAAAAATTTTTTTATTACTTTTTTCTCTCTTTCTTTCTTTTTTTTTCCTATCTTCTTCCCCGGTCGCCGGTTCGGCGACCAGCGACCGGCCAGAGGCTGAGGCCGGCGAGTTCCAACTCGCCGGCCATGGGCGAGTCTGGCCCTCGCCATGGCCGGGCGAGGTCGAGCCTTGCCATGGCCGGCTCGGCTATGGTGAGGCTCGACCTCGCCCATCCAACTCGCCGGCCTCAACCTCTGGTCGGTCGCCGGATCAGCAACCGGGGAAGAAGATAGGAAAAAAAAAAGAAAGAGAGAAAAAAAATTTTAAAAAAATATTAAAAAATTACCACGTCAACGTCGGCCGGACGACCAACACCAGTTGGTGTCCATGTCAGCGCCGGCTGGCCAAAAGTGGCCGGATGGACTGAATTTGCACAATTGCAAAAGGTTTATGATTGAATTGACAAAAAAAAATGTTTAGGACTGAATTGGTACAATTATAATAGATTTATTACTTTTTTGGTAATTTTCCCGCCATTAACTATGATTCTAACTAGGAAAATGTGGTCAAAATGATCGTTCTTACTTCTTGAAGAAATTTCTCTTGAAAAAAGAGAAAACTTTGATACGTGTGCAGTGATTATGCCGTCTCATGTGGGCTAAGCCTTTGAAAAGAATATTTAACTTGTGACAAACATGCTTCGCTTATTTCATGATTAAGTGATTCGATCCATTCTTACTCCTTTCGACATCTAAAATAAGTTTGCTAAAAGCCACATATTGTTTAAGTAATTCCATCCCGGTGAATAAACCTTGTCCTTATCATATCGGCTAAGAGCATAGTTCGTCATCGAACCATGCGTGCATTAAAGGATACCCCGCTTTGCTATTATTTGCAATAGTTTGATCCTCTGCGCAGGCCAAACCTGCAAAATGAGTACTCAAGCTGCGACCGCTTAGAGATGTGTCTTTACTTATGAGTAATATCACAAGCTCTCACTCGGTGACGTGAAACTCGGTCTATTACAATGCGTCCTCGGTTTAATCTAGATAAGCACTTCGATGTCTACTTCAACATTCCCAGCAGGCAATTCGATGAAAGGATCAACAGTGATTTGAACCAAACTGAAGTACCCCGTAGGACATTGAACTTCGATTTTTCATGAATGATCAATAGCTTTAAGTCTCTCCACCGACTAATTTTGTTTTTCAAAGCGAACGTGATCTTAGCTTTGGGATGCAAAAGTAGCAGCAGTAAACGAGGCTCCCAAACTTTCCAGACTCATTTCTTCTTCATCAAACACTTCCACTCCACAATAACCCTCGGTTAATATGCATTGATCCATGGTAAATCACGGCCATCCTACAGTAAATATATCTTGAGCACTTCCACAGTACCATAAGCCTACACATGTTTACCACATCTTACACTTGCGCCGGAAAAGCCCATTTTGTGAAACGTTACTTTTGAGCCGACGTCCAACATCGAAAAGGAACAGACATGTCGCACTATTTTTTTAATTTCATAACCTCGCTCGCATGCATACATACACTAAGTTCGGAAAAATCCCGCACGACTCATCTCGTCATTTTTCCCCCCTTTGTAAAATCAAAAATGATTGTTGAGTATATGAATATAGAATCCAAGGAGGAACTTTCGACCTCTTTCTGCTTGATGCTAAGCCTAGAACAAATGCATCCTGCACAATTTTGGGGGGTCGTGTCATCCTTGCAAGTTGCAGAGTCTCCATGCATCCAAATATTTGTGGATATTAGTGGACGGGGAAATTATTGCTATTGGAAAATGAAGTTCCACCTGCCACAAAAAAGGCATAAGATTCATGTATCCTAAGCCTTTAAAAATTATTCAATTTGGTGGACCATTAATGTTGGATTGGCTAATCTGTGATGTGGGGTTGTTTTGTGTCTAGGACTTTCTGTGGATTGGTGGGGTCTGAAAGTGCCTAGTGTTTTTAGACATGACTAATGATACTACACATCACCTTAATGAGCTCGAGTTGATTTGGAAGCCAAGAATAGCGGGGTTAGCATCGATCTTGGCGACGAAATTTAAATCGGCGTTGTTGAAATAACCCTCAAAAGATTGACCGAGCATACTTTATAAGAAATTTTTTGATTTCTAAAGTGTCTGATTCTCGTTCCTTCCAAAAGAATGATCGGTGCGTTTAGAGCCGTATGTTTTCCTTCTTTACTTCGGCCTAAATTATGGATTTCGAGGAAATGAAGGGGGACTTGGGAACGTGGTAAGGGCGGCAATAAGCATGTGAAGATTGGTGCTCCAAATGAGCTGTCCCATGTCCTTTTTTCCCCCCTAAGCAAAGTAAGCTTTCAGCGAGGATCAAATGAGCAAGCCGAACGCCACAAGATTAAAATAGGGTCACGACACCATTACAATTTAATCGGTACGGAGTCACGAACACGTCCAAAATGTTGCGTATGTCAAAATAGCCAACGATGCGTCTCGCCCTCTACGTGATTTCAGCAAAGAAACGGGCAATAGTCGAGTGATTACAGCGTCGATCGATCAAATTCCAAAAGAGAAATGAAGGTTATCAGTACATGCGAACTTAATTCGAGATGGTGCTGCACCGTGCACGATTGCATGCTCTTTGCTTTCTCTTCTTTTTCAATTCATAGACTTTCTTTGTTATATCGAAAGAGAAAGCAATTAATGCGAGCGTTAGTAAATCCACAAAAAGAATGAAAAAGAGTAAAAAAACAACTAAACAGTTCGCTCAGATAGAAATAGAATCCAAAGAATTAAATAGAAAAATAAATAAACGAAAAGAAAAAACCACGGGCGATTCGATACACGTGTCAGTCAAACGGGAGTCCTCACTCAAGACTAGTAGCTATATATATATATATGTTTTTTTTGGTCAAATATATCTGGAAATTCGAAATTCTTTTTTCTTTTGGTGGGGGGGAAAAGTTTGGAAATTTGAGAGGGAAAAGGAGGTGGGTGGCGGGGCATTTTGGGGAAACGGGCGGAGAAATAATTCGGACCCAAAAAGGCGGGCCTTTTTCCCTCCCTCGCCTCTTTCTCCTTGTCACCATCCCCGCTCTCTCTCTCTTGCTCGCTCGCTCTGTGTTCGTTCCATCAGTTCGATTCCGCCTTCGGTTCCGGTTCTCCAGAAGGTAAGTGAACTTGGGCTCTCCTCAAAATTGTCGCTTGCGCTCCCTGCTTGCGGCTTCCCACGCGTAGATCTGTAGACGTTAGAGGCGCTGCATTTGTTGGGTTTGGTTGCTTGCTTGCTCGAATCGTGTCTCTTTTGCCTCGACCCGCCTTCCCGATTTCGGTCTGCTGCAAGGCGGGTGTGGTTTCTTTCTTGTTTTTAAGAGCTGAGGTCGTTGGTGGTTGTCCCTCCTTGCTCCTTCATTCGTTACTCGTGGGTGCGGCGCGGAGGAGTTGGCTGAGCGAAGTGCCGGTGTTGGTGGGCTTGTTTCGTGCACGCGTGCTTTGCCCCTTTGCCCTTTTTCTGGAGAGGATAATTGAAATGGGTGTCCTTACTCGGGGAGCATCACCGCGTCGGAACAAAAATGAACAAGTTTTTGAGACCCTGCTTCTGGTCGTCGATGATTTTTTTCTCAAGAAAAGCTGCTTTGGGCTGTCCAAGCAAGTTTCTTCTGTAGTATTTTTCGCGTTCCGCATAAACCCATTATCGGATCCAACACAATTCAACTCGTCTTTAGCTGGGACAACTGAGCGGCGCTGAAAAAACAGAACCGCTTTGGGAGATAGTGTTTCAGGACTCGGTAGATATGCTTCGAGGTTACTGCTAACTGTAGTGTATTACGTATTTTCTTATACATGGATGTCTTGCATCAAGAACGCGAGGGTTGGGTGGAGATGGATCTGTTATGTGTTTTAGCCACGGTTTGACTCTTTCTAAATTTCCTGCGGGCATGTTGTGCATGTGGAATGTCTACTTCTAATTTGCCAGCTCAAGCATGGCTCATATAGAGGTCTCTTTTGTCATAGAGGAAAAGGAGTTGTTTGGCCAACCTCCGCCGCAACAGTCCCGACAAAAGCCCATAAGATTCATCAAGATTGGTTATGAATGAATTAAGGTCGTATTGCGTGAACGAATTCATAGGAAATTTCTAAAATTAGTTGCCATTGGGCCCATCCCCACACTATTTCAATTACTGCATTACCAATTTAGATGGTGGTTCTTCCCTTTTCATACTTCTTGCAGTTTCCAGCGATCGTATATCTTTCCTAGTATGAAAAGTTTACTTTTGTGGCATCTAAAGATTTGGCGATGTGAAGGCGGTGGAAATATTACTACAGCTATCCTTTTCTTTGGTTCTTATTTATTTTTTTCAACACTTAAATATGGTGTCTATATGTTAGTTATTCATGACGATAGTTTAGTGTGCATATCCAGTAAGAGCTATGCTTTTTGCATAAGCTAATCAAGTGATTATCTACTAACATAGTACCGAAGCCATGTCAGATAACAGCAGATTAAATCTGTGAATGCCACATTAAACAAGCTATATAAACCACGAAACTTAAAACCTATGTAGTGGTGTTCATCATCTGCACAGTTATCGTTAGTTTCTGATTATCAAAGTGGCAAAGGTAAAAAAATAAAATATAATCCCACTAGCTGATTACCGGAGTAATTTCTTGTTCTAAATCACTTCAATCTGAGCGATCATTCTTTTCTGCTTTATTTCTTTAGATTACTTGGTTTGGGGATATCTTCATATTATTTGTCTATTGATGTTGAGGATGGCTAGGTGTTATTCCTGTTAAATGATCTCTCTTATATCTTGATTTTTTGTCAATTGTTTCTGTTTTAGTCTTTCAGTAAAGGTAAATCCATTAAAGGAGAAACGCCTGAGATTTCATGTCCTCGAAATATTGTTAATGTTCTCATATGGCATGGCTGTACTATTTGATGTCACCAGGTTGATATGGAGAGAACAGACTCAGATAAGCTGCAATCAAGTTGGTTGGATACCCACTTTAGTTCTATGAAGGCCACATGGCTTTCGGAAAATCTTCAGTGTAAGCGTCCGAGATCTTGTAGCTCCTCGTTTACTCATTATTGTAGATCCTTAATTATCAGATACCTTCCTTTTCCATCAAAGAAGGGATTTATGTTTAATTGAGCATCGTTTACTCATTATTGTAGCTCCTCGTTTACTAATAATTGAGGTACCTCCCTTCGTTTCTTCAAAGCAGTGAAGATTTTTTTGTTCTTTTGATTATTGAAAGTGAATTGCATTGATGTGGGATAACGAGTCCCACAACAAAGTAAATCTTTAGGCTTCACCTCTATAGCTTCCTAAGCAGCACACCTAAGAGAACAATTGCATTGCACAATCCCAAAGCAAATACTTGCAAAATTCAGATTATCATCAACTCTATCGACAGAAAAAGAAGAAGATTAAAGTGATACTTTTAGACTCTCTAAAGTTCTACTCCTAGTTTGAATAGGATATCTCTAAACGAGAAACATAATACAATGGGGAAGCATAATACCCTAGTTAAACTGAAAAGGGAACTTTAAATCCTCATACAAATCAAATCCTAAAAGATATAAGAGTGCTAAGGACTGTTATTTGATTTGTGAAGTTCAGCTTCGCCAAAACATGGTAGAAACGTCAATATTTGAACAAATATCATCTTGCATGATTTTGTTGGCTGCAGTATGCATCGTAACAGTATGGAAAAATCTTGTGGCTCACAGATATGAACCGCAATTTCAAAGAAATTATGAAGCTCATAGATGAAGGCAGTGGTTCGGCAAATGGCGTTGACATATATGATCCGAGAAGGCCCCAGCTGATTGCTCTAGTTGAGGAATTTTACAAAATGTATCATGCATTAGCCGAACACTGTGATCAGTTGGAGTTGGAAAGGCAAAATCCAGAACCTCTGAGATCCGGATTAGGACAGGGCTCTCCGCAACTGACAGCTGGTACAGGTGCATCTTTTAGCTCTGGTCACAGCAGCATTGACATTTCAAAGGAACGCTATGAGTCATCTTCATTTTCCTCGGACTCTGAATCAGAATCTATCAACTGCTCTGAGAGTACCTACAACAGCAAGGTTACACAAATGAATGGCATTGGACAGCAACAGGAGAACAGTGAGCTCAGTACGGATATTATAAGGAAGATAAAAGAACACGCTAGCTACAAGGAACTGGTTGCTAGAAACATCCGTAATGAGGAAGAGCTAAGGCTTTTGAACCAAAAGCTCCAGCAGTCAGAAAATGAAATAGCCAGATTGAATAGCGCCCTGGAGAAGGGCCAAACAGTTTCTGGTGATTTGCAGGTTGAACTTCAAGCTGCCCACGACGAGATCAGAGCCAGAGATGCCAGCATTGAAGATTTATATGCTAGAGCTTCGCAACTGGAGAACCAGATTACTGAACTTCAAAATCATATTTCAGACTCCAGCCAAAGGGCTGAAATGTTGATGAAAGAGCTTGAAGTAGCTCAAGAAAAGATTCAGAAATCAAATGAAGATACAGCATTGCTAACTGCCAAGTTTGACTCAGAGAGAAGGCAGGTGTTGAAACTGCAGGAATTGGTTTCTGGGTACAAATCCGATGTTTCTGATCGTGATCTTGTGATCATGGATTTAAGAGCTGCACTATCTGAGTCGCAGCAAAAGTTGTTCACTGAGAAAGAACAACTGCTGCTACAAATGGCTACTTGCAAAGAAAGGCAACAAACATTTGAGGCGGGATTGAAGGAGTGGGAAAGTAGGTGCAAATTGTTGGAAGAGAACTTAAGGCTCCGGGAAAATGAAATGAATGCAATGAAAGAACGGCATGATACTGAAAAGAACGATATGCAAGTTGATATCCATCACTTGAAGGAATCACTTGCTAGTAAAGATAGCCAAGTGGAAGAGTTGAACAAAGACCTTGACAAACTCAAACTGAAATATGACATGCTGGTGGCCGAGAAAGATGGGTTGGATGCTCAGATTCAAAACCTGTTAGCTGAGGCAAGCGCTAAGAATGATCAGATGCAGCAAATGGAGAAGCATATGTGCAATTTGCAAAAGGAACACCACGAACTAATTGCTGGTTCTGCACGCGCACAGAAGCTTGTGGGGGAATTGCGATCGAGAGTGGAGCAGCTAGAGAATGAGGTGGATAGTCAGAAAGTAGTGATATCAGACGGAGCTGAGAAGAAAAGGGAGGCCATTCGGCAGCTTTGCTTTTCATTGGAGCATTACAGGAGTGGATATCAGGAACTTCGTCAAGCTTTTCTTGGACACAAACGACATGCGGTTCGAGCCATATAAGTTGATTTGCTTCGCATATGCCTTAATTAATTTTTTATTTCCTGTGAAATTACAAGGTTCCTGGTATGATCTATGTACGTTGTATTCTGTTGGTGACAGTCTATAGTTTGAACTTGAAGTCCTCTTTCTCTGTGGAAAGGTGCTAATGCTCTGGTTTTGGTCATATGCAGTCCAGTAGGTAATTTGTGGGCTGGGTTTTTTAGTAGTTGGGCTGCCAAAGATGGGTCACCTAATGAAATTTGCAGCTTTATTTCGAGAGACCTCAAAGTCCTAGTTAAGTTGAGCATTGGGGGGATGCAACACGCGGGGGATGTATTCACGAGTGATCATTGCAAAAGTATCGCATGAGCCCATGCTAATGCTGTCGTATGTTAGTGTCCCTCCAGCACACTGAGTACATAAGGAGACGTGAATTATACACTATCTACAGCATTTGTTTAACATTGGAGGACAACCTGGCACCAATATGCAAATTGAATGATTCTCTCATTTCCTCAAGAGGATATGGTTTTACGTGCCGTCTGTCCGAGTCCATCTTGGGGCTTGGCGTCCTTCGTTTCCCTTGTGTGATTTCGTTGCACTATTGTCCCATTTCACCCTTAAAGGACGTTCAATCTGATACCGAACTATGACTTCTTTGCGTGCAAAAACTCTCTATGTAGTCTAACACGCAGAAACATGGACCGTGTTATTTACAATATGAATCCTGAGCTTTCAATTTGAGTCTTCCACACGGCTAGGAGCCAGAGTCAAAATTCTTGGACTTTGGACGGTATAAAATAAGGTTGTGTCGGCTTTGATTGGTTTGAGCACCAAACGAAAGAAGCACTAGAATGCGTGTGGATGGGGGACTCACTCATGTCCAATCAGTGCAAAGCATAGTTTAGAAAAAAATGAAAAAAAATTGGTTACTCATAAGTTTTCTCCGTGAAGTGTGGTTTACGTAAAAATTTCCTGTACATATTTGCTGAATTTGACTTCAAAGGGTGATGGTCTAAAGCACTCGATAGCTTGTGCAAAATCTTGTTTACTCACTCCAGAAGGAGCAAAGTCAAAGTCTTGCTCTTCACACGGTCTCACTTCAAAGAAACTTCACAGGAAGCTATCTGCAAATTCGACGGTAGTTGGTCTCATTCGGACATTTCCTGGACCCAGTGGGCAGTTTTAATCATCTTTGACTGGGTGTTCCTTGAATGTCTTCCTTTGAAATTATGATTACGATAAGCTGGTTTGAGAAAGGGTATCTCAGGCGGTTAGGGTAGTCAATTGGTGTTTGAATTTAAGAACATTTGTTTGAATAAGGTCCTTATGTGCTTTTTCTTGATTTCAGATTTGAGTTTAGCCCAGTTGGGGGTGCTAAAATCTTGAGCATCTTTTGACCGGTACCTGTTTCCTCGGTGTGGGGCAATTCGATTCTTCAGCACTTGGCACATAGCCTTCCGAATAATTTGCTTATTTTCGAGTATAAGCCCATGTTATGTTTTTTGCTCAAAGACACAGAGAGATGCAGGTGAATGGCTAGCTGCAAATTTCTTGTTTATACCTATATTTTTACCCTGAAGCACATTGCCACATATCATATGGATTTCTGCACATTAACTATTGAATTTCTTTTCACCAGTTAGTCTAAGGCCCGCCGTTCACGGTAATGAAGCGTCACATAAGCAAGAACCAGTCAACAAGCTTAAAGATTCATTAAAAAGAGCGAAAAGATGTGAGATCCACAGACTGAAGATTCGTAAGAAAGGATACGAGCTCACGAGAATCCTGTCCTGTGATTGCAGCTTACTACGTCAAGGTGGTTCATCAAGTCGATGACGGACTATTGATTGCCAGCAAGAAAAGCTTTCTAGAGGATGAGCAAGAGGAAGATGAACAGCGAGAGACCAGTCAAAGGTAAGCAGTAAGTGACTCGTCAGCCGTCACCCCAATTTGGCTTTAAATAGTCGATTGCTCGCTTTAACGTCCCTGACATACAACCCGGCAGGCCTCACCTCCTTACAGTGATATCCTCTTTCTAGAGAGAGAGAGAGAGAGAGAGAGAGAGAGAGAGAGAGCTTTCCTTCTGGGGTTGACTGAAAAAGCTCGAGAACTACGAAGACTGGGCACTCTTTATTCCATTGAAAGCAAGAACGAGGACGAAGCATCAGCAAAAGAAAAGGAGAGAAGAATGTCATAATGAACGCCGAGCAAAGCAAAACAAGCAAAGAAAGAAGATACTTCCTTTATCATCTTCCCAAGGTTAGTCGTTCTTCACCCCCCCAAAAAAAGAAGAAAAACAAAGATAAAAATGCGTGGAGTGTTACATAAATATCAGCGGCTCTGTTTTAACTTCCCATCCCTCAGACCTGCTAATGGAAAGTTAATATATTTTTTTCCAATTCGGGTATCATCAGGATTTTTCTTGGTTCATTTTTCTATGTGGCAGAATAACATTTCTGTCTGATGTACTTCTTTTCTTTCGGAGTTTGTGGTGTTTCATCCAAGGTTGGTTGGGTCTTCTAACTTCATCTAGATTTGTGCATTAAGTCGATCTTATTTAATATTTGCCTCGGAGTCATGGGTTGACATGATATTTTCTTCTTTATTTTGTTGTTGTTCTCTTCAATCCTGATAAATGTTCTGTCATAATTGTAGATGATTCTTGCTTTTCGTATGGTCAGTTTGATCTGGGCAGCAACTTTCTATCAATTTGGTTGCTTTGAAAACTGAATAACTGTCTGGAGTGCCCATTTCTTCCGTTTTCCTTTTTCCCCGAGTGTTTATTTTAAAATGAGGTTCCAAGGTAATGGATTGATATGTATGCATTTCATTATATTTGTGTTGGCTTGTATTAGGACATGAACATCCGCAGTTCTATACAGCAAGAGTTTGATTTCTGCCTTGATTTTCCTGTTTGATAAGCAGATTGTTAGAAAGTTTCTTCTCTGCTTTGATATTGCTGTGGCTCGAATTGTCGGTATTAGTCAACTTTTTGGTCACAAATCTCTCTTTACGCAGTTATGCATCATGTCAGAAGCTGTAAATTGCAATTGTATAATGTTTGTTTCAAGTCATCTCTGTTCTGTTCTTATTTTCCTGGGCCTTTTTGTCGGCATCCTTTATCAATTCTAGCAATACTCTTTTAAGTGTTGGATTTTGGGGAAGAGAAGAAAAATAGCTGAATCATTGGCCGGAATGTGGTCATTTTGGCACATTGCAATAGCCAAATTTGTTGTTGGGAAATGCATAACGTAATTGCAGAGCCAGATGACTCCATGTAGAAGGGGTAAGAATTCTATTATGCCAAGCCTGCTGTTGAGTGATTCAACTCACGCAAGCATAACTTCTAACAGTGACATGATAATGTCAATGTGTTCTGTGACATGCCACATCAGATTCATATCAAGTTTTTGATAGATTTTTGTGACAATGGTGATAGGAATGATACAGATTGGAGTTCAATCCTTGATGTGAATAATCCTCTAACATGATGTCTTCTGTAAATTAATCCTGGCAATTTCATGGGTTCTTGTTTGGTTCCAGAAAAATTTTAGCAGTAGTTTTCAGAAGAAACAAACTGTGAGCTAGACGTACTTTTGCCATGGTACGAGAGTGGAATTGTGTCTAACAATGATCGTTGTCTTGATCCTTCCGAATCTCAAGGGCACCATACATCAGCTTAACTGTTATTGCCCAACAGCTCGTATGCATATCTAGGAATAGCTCTGCACATCATGAATCCATGAACTTGATGTACTTTCTTTTCTTGTTCTAGTTATGGGAACATCTTGCTTTTTGTGTCATAAAACTTCAATTCCCCCTTTTATGGCCACAAGCATCTGTTGTCTAGTTAAGGGTTAACAGCATGATGCCAATCTTAGCAGAATCTCACTTTTCTCTTCTTTGACTTTACATCGTGCTAGGAAAGTATCAATATTTAGGTTAATCTATCTAGCCAGTTTGTCGGGAGAAACATGACCACCGGAACGACTCGTAAAGTTCGGATAGTCAAGTGCCCAAAATGCTGGCAGCTTCTTCCAGAGCCGGCAAATATTTCTGTGTACCAATGTGGTGGATGCAGCGCTGTCCTTCGAGGTAAATTACCTGATAACTTTGATGGCTGTGTGTTTGATAATTTTCTTCAGAATCTCTTCCAGATATTTCATTTTAAATCAAAGAAATGTCATCAACTTTGTAGATGTTCAATAACATCATTGCCTCAGGGATTTAGGTTTTTGGTCACTTGCAACTTTCACTCTTGATATGGGATCCACTCTTGCAATTTTTTCCTTTTACTTTGGGTGATAGCAGTATATATATCTGGTTTAGCATTTTAAATCTAATTGTTTTTCCACGCAAGCAGCAAAAAATTGCAGAAATGAAGCTGGGAGTGCAGTATCGGAACTCCTCGAGGCAGCTGATGCTCAGAAGAATAAACCTGAATTGACTTCAGTGGGTGACGGTTCAAAAGAGTCAGGGCATGGAACAGTTCTTCCTTCCTGGACACTCTGTTCGCCTGATCGGAGCAATGTGGACAGCTGTCGCATGTCTGACAATGGCAATGCTGAACCTGACCAGCCTCATGAGTCATTCTCGTCCAACGGAGCTAAAAGTGACCAAAGCAGGCAAGATGTATCCGGTGAGTGCAATGAAGAAGGAAATGGAGGATCAAGGGATGTTCGGTCTTCGACTGAGCTTGCTTCTCTTGATAATGGACAGACTTTGCTCGTTGAGACTCCGAGACCAAATATAGATGTAAGTGAAGAGAGCTCAATATCCGATAAGCTGCCAGAGCAACCTGCTAAGAGCGTTTCACATGACATTGTAAATCTGAGGGATTCTCCAATCCCTGCAAGTGGAGACTACGGTCACCCAAGCTCAACGCTGAGAGGTGAACCTCGAGAAGTACCTATCTCCACATCAGCCAAAGGATTGAATGATCATGTTTACCAATCTTCTACTCATGTTGAGAATCAACGTGCTGGTGGGTATGTTCATCGTACAAAAGAAGCGAATTTTGCCATTTCTGAAGAACAGGTCGCTAGGCAGAAGTTCCAGAAGAATCACAAGACGGAACCTAATTTTAGAACGAAGCATCCCCTAAGGAAAGAAGCAAACTTTCCCGTTTCTGAAGAACAGGTCGCTAGGCAGAATTTCCTGGAGAATCACAAGATGTACCGTAATTTTGGAACAAAGCATCCCCTAAGGAGTTCTAAGTCGTTTTATTATAATTTAGATGGAGGGACTGACGCGATTAGAGTTAGCAGGCGGGATCGAGGTGAAACAATTAGACATGCAAGACAAGGTCTTCCTGCTCTATACCGAACTAGATCAGAATTAGAGGGATTAGAGCCTAGCGGAGCACCAAACTTCCAATGGGATCCCCAGGAAACATATGACTATGAGGCTCCCCTGAACAAGGTGCACAAATATCTGGTTCGTAGCTCAAGCTGTCGTTTACCAGAGAAGCCTGAGTTCCCTTCTCGGGACGAGATGGATCTGTTGAGGATGGTTCTTGAACTGGAGGATAAACTAAAGAGAACATACAATCTCCATGGAATGAGAAATGAGAAAGTGTCCCAGCAGTTTAGTTATTCAGGGAAACATTTCTCGTCGGAAGCCATGGAAAATAGTGGAAAATCTGATTACTCCTCTACCCATCGCTTCCCGCATGACAGGCATTACTCTGTACACTTGCCTCCACTCGCCAATCATGCTAAAGGAGTCTGTAGAGTTCACTCAAGCCGCAGCATGTATAATCAATATGCCTCCTCTCCCCTGAGCTCCCGGCACTACACAGTCCCCTCGTTTGATCATGAAATCAAGTTTAAGCATTTTAGAAAGGAACGCCAATCTTCCAAGAGACACTTCCGGCCTATCACAGGTGGGGCCCCATTTATAATTTGTTACCATTGCTCGGTGCTGCTGCTGGTACCTGTGGATTTTGTCCTTTCAAGAAGAAGATGTCATCGGCTGAGGTGTGGTTCTTGTTCGATGGTGTTGGAGTTCTCGATTCAGAAAGGAACACACCTAATTCGGTATACACCACGTGCAATGGATGCTCCCTCCAGAGGCCTTTCAGGTTGCCCTGAGGTTGTGCACGTTTCTTGCTCCGCTAATTATGGTGCTTACCACAACAGTGGATGTTCTGAAGAAGGTAATCCTACTTCATCAGCACCATCACGTGTCCTCTCACAAGTTAAAGGGCACTATGGAAAGATTTGTACTCATGTTTCTTCTTTTGGAACTTCTGCAGAGAGTAAGTGTGCAATGTCCTCAGAGACTGAGGAAGTTCCTGGCAAAACCAGTTCAGCACTCCATCGGCTAATGGGCTATTCTTCAATTAGTCAGTTGATGACTAGATCAAGGCCGTCAGCCAGTGGGGCGAGCACTTCCTTCCTGAGTAAATCCTAACTAAAGGAATGAAGAGCCTTTATTTATCGGTTCTTGAAATGCAGCTTTTTGGCAGGCGTTGATAGACTTTTTAGAAAACATTGGGAGTTTGTCACCTGTTATGTTATCCCTCCAAGTCGTGTTCATGTGAGAATGTGAGAGATGCAAATAATAATGTGCTTGCTGAGGTTGCCACATGATCTTTGTCCTTCTGATTATAAGGTTAGGATCCATGGTTATTGCAAATTTACTGGACGTCGCACATCACATTGGTCTGTAACGTGGCGTTCAATGGGACTTCTCCATAGTTGAGTTACTCGCAGGACTCATTTCTTTAAGGTTGAAGCATTCCTATTCTCAGGAATGCAGATGCCGATGTGTTTGGGCAGTCTTGTGTGATTTAAAGAAGTGATAGAAATACGAATACGAATACAAATTTTATATTCATGACTATGTATCTGAGAGCTTGGTCTTCTCCATTCTTTGTATTTCTTTCAGAGGGATTGGCCTGTAGTTGATGGATTTCCCTTTCTGAGCATATTTCCTTTTGGCTAAGATTTTCTCTAACTCGTAGGAAGTACTTTTCACTGCCTAAATAATAACAATGGACGTATTTGGCAAAACACTCTAATTGGGAAATACGAAAAAAAATAAAATAAATCCTTGCGCATGGCGAGAATAGGGCGGTCGCATTCATCGACTTCAAGAGATACATGGATTCGCAGCGCATCTCACATTGGGTCCACCTAAAAAGTTGCACGCTTGGCCGGACACATTCTGCATTGCATAATTCTACAATTGCGGAATCGACCTGTTTAATGTTATTCTCACATCAATGGCGAAAATTGCCCGACACTTTGGCGGATGCGTCCGGTGAAAACTGTAGACCAAAACTCGAGTTTTTCCTTATTCAATATCCTCGCGTGAAGGTACTGAAACGATCTTTCAAAAAATGCCTTTTTTATAAATAAAATCATAATTAGTCCCAACTGAGGACATCCCACAGTCCATTAAGCATTTGATTAAACCGTTGAAAGGAGGAACGCTAAGTGAAATGTTCATTGGGCCTTTTAACGAGAATTTTGTCCCTAAATTTGTGTGGGCGCGCGCTCTCGTTACTCCGAACCTCCAAAGTCCAATATCGTTTGTGGTTCCAACACTTTCTTCGTAGACACGACACTTTCGTTCTGTCGAAGTCGTGTAACTACTGGCACGGACTCACCACGCATGAGAAACAAAAGACCGGAAACGAGACCCTTTTGAAACAAAGACCGGAAACGGTGGTGGGTGTTGATTATTGTGAATACGTGGTCGAGCTCGAATGGTCCGTCTCTCCCGGCCGACGGGGAGACTGCGTTCTCTCGATTTTACCATCCAAAACTTGGATAAATTTCTTGCGGCCAGAGGAGTGAGAGAAATTTGAACGAACTTCTCTTTTGCAAGTCATTGAATTGCTTGCAATATGAGGACAGACCTCGTGCATGTGCCACCCACAGAGAAGCCTTCTGTGATAGAGTATAATGAGAAGTCAATTGAATAACGGTATCGTGCATTCTCTCTCTCCCTCACTCTTGAAGAGGGTAGGAGGAGAGGCAGGTGGGTTGTGGGAGGAGGAGGTTGGAGCTTCTGAGAATTTTGATGGGTTTGGGGATTGTGGCGGCGGCGGAGGATAGGCCTTGCCGCCATGGGAGTGAGTGGTGGACTTGTGGAGAGAGTGAGAATTGGAGCTGCTGTTAAATGCACCGAGACCACAATCTTCTCTGTACAGGACTTTTGGATATTAAAAATGCCTTCTACACTATGGAGAATTTGGAAGGCAGACAAATGCCCCTCTCTATGTCTTGAATTGCTGAGATGCCACCATCGACGAGCCCGTCATCGCAGCCCTACAGCCACCCTCTTTGGTGGGTAGGCAAGGTTCCCGAGACCCTTGCACAGACCACCGACCACACCTACCGAAAAGTGTCTACCCGTTCGTTTCGGGAAATAAATCCCAGTTATTCTAACACATCAAATCGTTACAATGTCAGCAATAATTTGAGTGTAGAAATACAAAAAGGGTAAAGTTTGCATGTACAAGAACAATATACATGAGGAGCACACAGCTGTAGACAGAATAGCACAGAAGTCTAGCTTTTCGGAGTATTGCTTGGAGCGTGAAGTGAAAAATCTGGTTTACTAACTTTACACTGAATATAGTATGGACGAAACAGGAAAACAAAGCTTTCTCATGTCATTTAATGTAGCACCCGGAATTAATTAAAACGGTCTCTGTAGTTGCTTCTGCGATTTGAGACGATGGATATCCTCTGGTCTTGCAGCATGTTGAGGTTAGGTGCCAACAAACGTGTATAACGGTCGAAATAAAGAAGCTGCTTCAGGAGCAGTGCAAATTCCCGAGGAAATCTTAGCCCGTATGATTCGCTAACCCGCACCTGTGCCACAGAAATTTTTTATCAGTTTGGTTGCTTTATTCGAGTACCATCATATAAGATCAAAAAATAGGCCCCCAAGTACACTTATCAAGAACCATTAACCTGTTCCCATTTAACGGTTAAGATTTAGCAGCATGTCCAGTAACTAATTGCTGCCAATTACGATGATGTCTACACCTATTTATGAATCTTTTTCAGTGACACTTGAAATAAAACCATTACCACATCAAGAAAGAGTGCATTCATCTGCCTCTCATCCACTACCAGATTTGCTGAGACAGCGGTGGCATTCGTAGATCTTTCCCGCGCTGTTGCGATGACGATTTCTGTGTCTAACTCCTGCAATGGATAAACTAAATAAGTTCATCTTCCAAAAGAACCAGAAAACGTAGTCTGATGAAATACGCAACTATAACTTTCTTGCGCAGTTGATAATCTGAAATGGCTTTTGACAAAAAACTGCAGTCTATAACAGTTGATGACAGGGTATAACATCAATGCAAACATATGCGACGAGAGAAACCTCTTTGAGTTTCTTATTTAAAATGGTCCTAAGGAACAATAGTTCTCCGCTTTCGAAATTTATAAGTACACAACAGGAGCAAATCTGTGAACTTTAATCTCTTGCCTGAATTGATGAAAATATCTTTTCCAAGTCCTTAGAGAATGCCTGTAAGTCAATGTCTTTGTTTGTGGCTCCCATTTCAATCAAAGCAGATGCCATCGACTCATATTCTTCAGTAGCTATTGATGTCAGAAACACTTCCATAGCGGCCCAGGTCTTTGGAGATATGCGTCCAACAATTCCTGCCAATTTAATAGGAATTTGATAACCAAAAAAAGAAAAAAATTACACAACTAGGCATCACCCACTCGAAGTCACAGAGACAGATAGGCACCACTATAGTTCTCTTATGGTCAATTGCTGCCTCAAATAAGAGTTACAGAGACAACCATTAACCTTTTTCAGAACAGTAAACATGACAAGACCCTGTATCTGTGTGATATCTTCTCAAGCATACATTATTTGCCTTCACCTTGCTCTAATGGACAACAATAAAATAATTGGAAATGTTAGTCCTGTCTTATTTGAAATCATGCCCGCACAGTATCAGGATAATACATATCGATACAGCACATATCGAATCATATGTCAATGTCCAAGACTAAAATCCAGCTTATACTCGTGGTGTACTTCAGAGACACGCCTGAGAAAAGAATGTGGGCAAAAGAATAATAAACTTAGATTTAGTCAAACAGGCAGGTATTCTCTATATACCTTACTTTTATTTTTTGGTCGAAAATATCTATACTTTACTTCATTCTTTAATAAATAACGGGGAAACCCGGAAGAGTCACTTCAACTCATGGCAATGGGCAACGTTACTACAGTATTGCACGAGTATTTTGCTTCTGACATCATACTTCACAATGAATGTCCTGCAAATAGGACTTTTCACAATGTAAGTTGCTAGCATTGATGCAAAACTGCTCTCACAGCAAATTCACCTGACGAACCATGTACATGATTTTTAGCTGGTAGACATGCAGCAAGCAAGGCAACTACACAGCTATCTGAACAGGTCAACATCTCTCATTTGGATAAGTAAGAGGGAAAGAACAACCAAGTGCAATGAAGCAAAAGACGATTATGTGTAAAAGGTGGAACACTAGGTGGCCAACTTAGACAAAGTAGATGACATTCTTCCATGCAACAACTTGGCATTATCAACCAGACTGCCAGACTAAAAGCTGCTGGAGTTTCATTACACGGTGCACACGACAGAACCACCGACTCACGAAAAATGTTTTCAGAGACTTTGTTGCCAAAGGAATGAAGATGAAAACATCAGCAGAAACAAACAAGAAGATGCGTACCAAAATCAAGAAACCCAATACGACCATCCCGCAACAACCAAAGATTGCCTGCATGCACATCTGCATGGAAGGTCTCACAGGCAAGCAGACTCCCAAACCTACACGGTAACGCAACAAAATACAAAATCAAACCTCACATAGCATTTTGTGTGTCAAGAAAAGAAGTGACAACAGGCACACGTGAGTTTGTAGACAATAGTCGCACCACACATTAAGGGCAGTTATAAGACTATTTTCTGGACTAGGAACGAGGGAACTGATGGAATCAAGATCAGTAAGCGGAACACCATATAGCCTCTCCATAGTCAAAACCCGTTTGCTGCTGCAATATTCATAAACTTTCGGTGCTGTAGCCTGTCTAGTGAGCCCCATTACTTCCAAATATTTCCTGAAGCTTTCAATGTTTGCAGCCTCCTTATAGAAGTCTACTTCTTCTAGCATTGATTCACGAATGTCTTTGACAACACCCACCTACTGAATGAAGATACAGTTATCGAGCCAAAAATGCAGCAGAATATCTGAGAACAAAAATCAGGCAATGTGCAGCTAGTGTATATCATAGACAGTATTGAAGTCCTAAGTTACAAAATCTCAAAAGTAAGTCTAAGTAATACCAGCGATGTACGGCTGAGTTCCGGGTTTAGAAACTCCAGTATGCGTGCCACAACATACACAAAGTTCATGTCAGCCACCAGTATATCCTCTATTCCCGGCTTCAAAACCTTTATAACTACGTCCTCCCTAGAGCCTTTGAGCTTTGCACTGTGAACCTACATGTAACAACCATTGGATCATTTCCAACCACATACATGATTAGCCATATGATGCAAATTTTAGTGCAAAGGAGATAGGGTGTAAATTAAGAGACTGTAGTCCTGCATGAAGAGGTGTGTAAAACCTGTGCTATTGAGGCTGAGGCAAGTGGTGTTGGATCAACATATTCATAAACACTATCAATTGGTCTCCCAAGTTCTTCACGCAAGATGGCTTGGATATCCTGAAAAGGAACTGCAGGAGCACTGTCGAAACACTTCTGAAATTCCTCAACATATTCTTGAGGGAACAATGTGGGAGCAGATGCAACGAACTATAAAAATAATGGAGAACCGTTAAGGTTATTGAAAAAATCTTTCAAATAAACGCTAAAATAACCAGAAATGAGAATGAATTGGCATAAAGAACATGTTTGCCCCCATGTCAAATATACACTTTGCATACACACCACTTTAGGTATCGGAGCTAACCTGACCCAATTTAATATAAGTTGCTCCCATGCGTTCAAACAATTTCCTCAAATAAATAGGGGAAAGTAACCCAATCTGCGACTCAGCGGGCAATCCAGCCGAAGAATTTGTGGACTACAAAATAAGATGTTTACAACTTCTGTGAGAATAAGTTAAAAGCATCACTGCGAATAAACTCTACCCACCAAATTAAACTCACTTTTTTTTTTCTAGAATATGGACGAGAAACTACACTAAAGAAAAGGTTCTTATCATGAAGAATGATGTGTAGAAGATGCAGCCCACAAATAAGTATAAGACATGAGAGAGACATTTTATTGAGTAAGTACAGGCATGCAACTACAGTTGTGACCTTGCAGCTACCAGAAACGCTAGAGACACTAAAGGCCACCCCCATGCAGAACTATACAAGTTCTCTCTATCCTCAACTTAAAGCCTTAGGATGATTCAACTTATCTATAACTCCAATTTAATAATGCCTTTCTGCAGCAAAATTTAATTCTCACAGACTAGTAATCACTACTTCAATTTGAAATTTGAATAATGCTTCCTTGAAAATGTAAAGCATTATGGACTATGACTTCTGTAAGGGAAAAAGGCTGATGGATTTAGGTCCACGGCAATCATGACAGGACAGGAGATTACTTCATCAAGATTTTTTAGAAAGCCATTCTTCCCTGCAAGAATATTTACAGTTGCTCCTGTATCCACTGCTCGATTACTCTTTATAAGTCCACATGCGTGGAAATACAAAAGAAGAATCCTACTCGATCTCATGTCAAACATTCATGACTTTGGACTATTGTCTCTAGAAACAACCACAGGGGGAGTCATGTAGAGTCGAGCTAGGATGAAATGTGCAAGCGAAGCATGCATCACGATAATAAAATTAAAAAGCTCCCACCTTGGATACATCTGCTAGCCACTCGCTGCCGACTCCAATCACTGCTTGAATACCTTGTGCAAGCCTCAAGGCTCCACGTGGACCAGTATTGATAGATGTCTGGACAATGTCTGCCACCAACTTGGGCAAGTTTTGAATGCTGTCTGATAGCAAAACCAAAAAATGAACTTATGCTCATGTGAAAACCAAAACACAAAAGGACCAGCAAGTTCACCATCATGGCAAGACCCATAAAAAGATCGATCTAGCAGACCATAACACCATGAAACCAAGCCTGAACACTAACCAAACCACTGGCATCAACAAAATTCCAGGTCTATGTACCACTCGGCACTATGCAAGATTCAGTAACAACTAAATTACTACCAAAGAAATCCACTAAATCCACAAATCAACTCCCCATGCGCCAGTAAAATTCTCTTCTAATAGAGAAATCCATTTCGTCCAAGAATTTAACTTAGTTCACCACAAATTCAACCACCTTCTGTGTGCTCAGGTAACCCTCATCCACTCACTCACAGAGTGAAACCCAAGCCCACTAAATAACCAACAGCAACCCCCCAAAAAATTAAAACATAGCGAACCAAGAATCTTCGGAGATTTTTAAAGAAGAAGAAATCAAGTACCCTGAAGGCGTGAAGAGAAAAGATCCTGCGCTTGGGAGTATTGAGCAAAGAGAGTGAACCCCTTTGACCGATCATTCGGCAGCCTCTTTGAACGCAGAGGTAAGCTCGAACTCTGCAACTGACGATTCAAGAACTCAGAAAAGGTAAAAACAAATAAAAATCCAATCTTGAGACTAAAAATTGAGCAGTAATTCTACAGAAACTGAACCCGAGAATGATGAAACTGAAAGTGAGGCAAACGCCCACACGCGACGCCCCTGACCGCCGAGACCGCCATTTCTTGTCACTGCTCTTCCGCGGTCTGTAATTCCCACAGGCTACGGACAAATACAACGTCTATGAATACGAGAATTTGTGTGCGCTCGCGTCTCTGTTGTCTTGTTTTCGTCTCGGACTGGTACTAGAATACGGCGACGTCTCCCGTCTGAACGAATTTTTCTTTGGGAGGGGGGCAAAAAATGTGGGAATTGTTTGTCGAGCAACGGGAAAATCATTGCATCACTCGAAAAAGAAGAAGTAAAAAGAAATCTTTTTTAATTTTCAGAAAGAATGACAAAGAAATTTCTCTCTGTCTGTCTCAGTGGCTTAGCGATTTGCGGCGAGGGAAATCGAAAAAATCTCTAGTGCACTTCAACAGAGCGAAAGCGACGATGCCACGTGGCGTCCCAACTGCCAAGCTCGTAGCTTGATGTCCAAGTAGTTAATTGACGGTTGAGGGACTACTTGTCCTCTCGTCGCTGCCGTAGAATTTATCAAAGTCAGCCGTCAATTTTGCCTATCCCAATGCTTTGCTAGAAAGTCCGAATGGTCCCTCACGTTTTGAGAATCGCACCCGTAATTGTCAATTATGGGATTACTGAACTTTTATCACGATTGTACAATAATGGACAGACATTTGGACAATGATACGGGCCACAAGATTATCATCTTGAGCAGCCAGGAATGCAGTATTTGCATTTTAACTGTATATAAATGGCTGAATTATGCCCAACATAAACAAGATTAATGGCTGCCAAAGGCCCCATTACAAGCTCCACAAGGAGAGAACCCTCAACTGCGGTATCTAATTGTGTCTGCAGAATTTTGAGAATCCTGGACAGCTCCACCAGCAAAATATCAAATGTTTCGTCCATGTCACGACGTAACGGAAATGACTTCCGTCCTGGCAGTGCGCCCACGTGGGCTGAGGTAAATATGTCAAGAAGCCGAATCTGAATCGGAACCCGAATCAGAATCTGAATCTTTGTGCTGCAACTCTGGCGGTCCTAACCTATTAGTATTTGGCTCTAATGGTGGGAGTCCATCCTCCTCCTCCTCCTCCTCTTCTTCGTCATCATTATCGTTATCACCATTGTTTGAGTTGGGATCATTCGTTTGTTTGCTAGAGTTGTTAACTGCAAGCGCCTTCTCACTCGATGAGTCCATAGAGGATTTGAAAGCTTCAGGCCTGCATCATGCGATGTAAATACAAACATCAGGAACAAAGACATTGTCCATCAAAAGCAAATGAGGGACAAACTGCCAAAGCTGGTCTGGATTCAGAATAACAATTTAAGAGCTCTTCTGTAACCTTTCAGTCATTTGAAGTATTGAAGTTGTCTTGAGTTCTAAAAAGACATAGGTGAAGGCTTGGATCTCACAGATGGAAGTATAAGGTTGGGGGAGAGGGGATAAGAGCCAGAATCAACTGCAAATCCAAAGGCAAAGGGAAAAAACTCACCAATCTGGAGACTTCTTTAGCTCACGCACTTGCTCATAGAACAGAACTCGAGAAACAATACATCCCACTTTGCTACCTGATTCAAGTGCCTTTTCCTTGCCACTGTCATCAACCACAACAAATGTCCCTGCCACATAAACCAAAAGGCTTCTTAATTAAGCAACCAGATCAAATCAACAGAATGTACTTCTTCCAACTTGCAAAGGATGTTGGGAAAATTAGATGCGCAAGAGCATATCAGTCTAAAATCATGGATGCAATGTTCACATCTCATAAAACTAGTGACCAGGACACACTTCGAGTTATCTACGTACATATTTGTTCTCTTCTTCACGTAGCTCAAGTTTTCAGATCAAATATTTTCCGATATGCTATTACAACCAAAATTTAGCACAAATAGATTTGTGTATGTGTGTGAGAGAGAGATAACATACTGAAATAGTAGAACCATCAAGGCTCTACAGCTACGACAGCAAAGACATAATCAAGTAGCTGAAAGAAGTAAATATAAAGGACAAGAAAGTGCATTTCGGATGTATGATATCATATCAGTCCTAAAAGTGTAGTGACGTGATCATAAACCGTGATTATAAATTTAGCAGAAGTGGCATTGAGAAAAGTTTGCTTATTCACATCCTCCCAATCTCAACTACAGCTGTAGGACATAGTTGAAATTTGTTCTCGAGAACAGACCTCGTCCAATCCAATATTTCTTTTGGATTTTAGCTGGGATTAGCGCCAGAAGTTTGTTGCCTTGCGCATCCATCACCTTAAGAGACGAAATGAAACAGCATAATCAGTAATTCGGACATAAATGAGAGGAAAAGAAAAAGAAAGGGATTAAAGGACAGAACGACAAAGAAAAAAAGCCAGATAAAAAAAGCATGAGAGAAATTGGTACATGTACTCTTACATGTGAAACCCATAAACTCAACAGACAACACTGGAGAAACCAAAACTTAAAAGCACTCACATGAGAAAGCTACACTTTCACATGCAGTAGATGATGTGCGGTCGAACTCTCGAAAACAACTTCTGTTTTAATACATTGTAAGTTGGTTCCTACGATCTGCCTCGACTTTAATCAAATGACTGTTGGTGCCGCCCGTGCGGCGGCTAACCACCATCGTCGAAGAATTGTATGAAAAAGCCTTTTTCGAGCAAAAGACATCCACCCGAATAAAAAGCCATTCGACGTATCCTCCCTTCACCAAGTAGTTGTTCAACAAACTGATTATCACCAAAACTTTTCACAGGAAAACACCGTTTCCACATAATCCAGTTACTCACAGCCACGAAGGCTAATTGCATTACCAAGACCAACACGTGAAACGACATATTCATGAGTATAAACATAGGTGGGCATCGAGAGAGAAAGCAAAAGGGCATTAGCTACTAGCGAGGATGATGACCACCTCGACGAGATTGGAACCCCGGTGGGAAACAGCTTGCACGATACTTTGCCCATCTTGCAGAGTAATCTCTCGTTCCTCCGCAGCCCACTGCAGATTCTTCCGACCTCCTTTCATCTCCGCAACTCGAAGAACGAATTCCTCCTAATCACAAAGCATGGGCAAGGAAACGATGTAAGCATCCGCCGCTTCTGCTACTACAACAACAGGGAAACGCAAATCGCGGCACGAAAAAAAAGGGAAACCCGCGAATACCTGAAGAACCAGTTCGAGGTTTCTATGGAATTTCTCACGGCGCGGAACGATTCAAAAGGCTAAAGACCGGAGCTTTGGCTCCGCCGTGGACGGCGAGGTTGAGGAGCGAGCTGAGGCTGAGCTGCGAACTGACGGTAGGGAAGGAGAAAAGGAATTGGGTTTTAAGTTCAGGGTCAAATAACTTGAGTTTACGTTGACTCGGCCCGAAAAGATTTCTTTTTTTTTTTGGTCAGGCCCGAAAAGATTAGATACTCCTAAATAAACCCATTTGAGAAATAGGGTTGATTCTTGATTTTGTAAATAAGTACTTGGACGAAGCAATTTAGCCCAATAACTCGTTCCAATTTACCAAATCCGCAACCCTATTTTATAAGAAAATTTCGATGAGCGGCGCCAAGCCGGCCTGGCCCGTGACGGCATCGTGCCACACTCGAGCAACACATGCCTGGCTCGACCTATGTCGCTGGCCGAGCCTTGCAAAGGCTTGAGCATCGATGTGTCGTGTCTATCCCGGCCGAGGACCGGGGCCAATATTAAGGTAGTTATCATTAGGGTCCTTGCGAGTTCGTGCACTAATCTATGCAGTAGTCGGATGTGAGTTTTAGATGTAGCTTGTGGAGAACAAAAAGGGTAACTTGTAGAGATCACAAGAGAATACTAAAGAGTCTTGAACTAGGAGGAATTCATATCCACACCGCTCGTCTGAGATTCTGAGAATTAGAGATGCTTAAAATCAACAATGTGGGTTCACTGGCCGACCCATGTGAGCCGATATATGGGTCGACGAGTTGAGTTGTACCGACCAATGTAATGGTGCCTCCCGGAGCACGGATCATCCGTGCCCATCCCTATTTTTAGGAAACAAAAGGAGGAGCATCCAAAATCCTCAAACTTCCCTCGGAGGTTCCATCTTGCATTTGCATGCATAGTTTCATACTTACGACGGCACGACCGACACCAGCACCAGATTGACTAAAGAAAGACGCTGAGAAGTAGTTCTTTCTCCAATAAGATACATATAATGCTTACATCACTTTGATTAGCTACTACATCTGTCCCAGACCAGAAAATGTATATGACTCTCCTAATACAATCAAGATGTCAGTCATCAATCAAAAATAACATGTCCAACGTCAGTTGGCAACCATTGTCCAAACCGGAGATGCCCTGTGAAAAGATTACTCTCTCCATTGAGCTCTCACTGTAGTTTCCAGCTTCGCGAAAATAAGAAGCCCCAAAAAACTACTGCTGTTGGAATGTTCTCGCCCAAAAAAGCTTCTTTCGAAAGTTCCCTTTCGATTTCAGTCCCAGATTCTCAAACCCTCTCAGAAAGCTAAACTGAACTTGAATGTCTGTTAATGGTGCTGTTATTGTTATCTGAGTTTGTGATTGGCCGTCGACCCTTGTGAGGACCTCCTATGACGCCCCACGTCTCGAATTGCCTTTGCCGAGCTCTCGCCCTTTCCTTCTCTTCTTCCGATTTGGAAGAGCAACAGTACGGACAAGAAACACCATACTCCCACTCTGGTGATTCCATATCAGCATCACTCACTGGTTTTTTGCACCCGTAGCAAAGATTGAAAGTTCCCTGCGCCAAACCATGTTCAACCGAAACTCTCTTGTCAAACACAAAACACTCGCCTTCCCAGAGGCTCTCGGTCTTTGGAACCTCCTCAAGATATTTCAGTATTCCACCTTTCAGATGATAGACCTGCAAATATACAGACCAAAGGGAGTTCTTCACTGTAATCACAGGGCATAAAAGACAGCCAATTGGAACCTATCAGGCCCTCAAGAAAAATGAAATTGAAAGCAGGGGACTCCTAACCTTGGCCAGGAACTAAAAAAAAGAAGGTGCTGCATTGGAAAATTTTGCTGATCTATTTATGTGGAGCATCTAATAGAGCATGTTTTGGATATGAAACTCAAAGTTCATGCATACAGACCTCTTTGAAACCCTTACTCAGGAGGAAACTTGAAGCTTTCTCACATCGAATTCCTCCTGTGCAATACATTGCCACCCGAGGCATTTTTTCTTCTGGAACATCTGATTGTTGATCAGTATTTGCATTAGAACCATGTTCTTCAGCCAATTTCAAATGCTCCCCATCCATTTCAGGAGGTTGGAACTGATTATCCACCCAAGCTGGAAACTCTCGGAAAGCAGTGGTGCGTGGGTCAACTGCTCCTTTGAACTTCCCAATTCTCGTCTCATAGTTATTCCGCACATCGATCACTACCTAAAAGCAATTCAAGAAAATAATAATCTAGGTGACTGGCCAAAATGCATTCTCAATGCTTATTTATGCCCAGTGACAGGTTTTGAGGCCTGAATCTCAAGATGCCAAAAGCTCCAACTTGAAATTTAAACACTTGATGTGTGACTCTATCTGATATCATGTCGCATCTGATGTAGATAATTCAACTAATAAGGACAGAATGAAATCTTTTAGCAATCAAGTAAATATTTGTAGAGGATATGAACACATGTTGAAGATTCAATGAGTCTAGGTGCACATTTTTTGAAATTGAGGAAACCTCGTTCGATATAAAGTAGTCAATCAAAGATGGGTTCCCCCAACTGGACGGTGAAGAAGAATGGCTAACAGACTCGACAAGTAATGTTCCCACTTTGGATGAGAGGTAGCAAAAAAGATGCAAGATTTGTTAGGCAAATTGAAAGCACCAAAAGACAATCAAAGTATAACTTTGCAAAAGAGGAAACATGAAACGTCCGAAATAAAGACATTAACATGTCAGCTACTCACTGTATCTGGATCACTAATCAGCGCGTTCCAATCCCTTGGATTTACATACTTCCCAACCCTCTCGATAGGTGAGACACTAGGCATTCCAAGAGAAACAATCTGGTTAAACACAAGGGAACACAGAATCATCAACTTGTACAGAAGGTACCAAATCACATGAACTCAAAAGGCATGTACAATGAGATGTGTCTAATTCAATATGAAGACTCCCCTCACCTCTCTTTTTAATTTGACTCTCACGTGATCCCAACGGAAGGGGGCATCTTCCCCAGCTGCAAGAGGAGAGCTGCTACTATGTCCATGGTGGAGAGCTTCATCTTCGGGACTCACGGGAGATTCTATTTGTCTAAGCCCATTTAAACGTTCATCGCTCTGGATGAATCCAAGAACTCTTTCCACTGATTCGCGGGTTCCGCATATGCTCCCATTGATCCCCTCTGGTGCAAGGATAATACCACCTGAGACACGCTGAAAGAACAATAGGCTAGCTCCAGATTGTAAATGAATGAAAAAAAGACAGACAATAGAAAAGAGAAAGAGATGACTAGTTAAAGAACAGGCTACGGATATATCCACCAAAACGGACCATAAGGCCGCTGCTGAGGTTAAGCTTCCGGATGAATTTGAATTGGTATTGAAGCAGACCTTCCCGTGTTCCATAAAATTTAAAGAAGAAATCATACCCTTAGTGCTTCCTACTATAATAGATATTCCCATGATTGGGCTGGGGCCAATAATGCCACAAGTGAGAAGGAGTGTTGGAGCGTTACATAATAAAACACGCCTAATCTATCAACTTCAACTTCTAAGAGATTGTTCCAAAAGCGTAGCCAGTAAATAAAGAGGCAGTGATTACCGAAATCAGGCATTTTGTGAAAACTTCCAATCTTCGGATGCAGTCAACCACATTTTCCCCAAGAAATCCCCATTGCTGGATGCTTAAACCAGAAAGCCACTCTAACTCTAGAATCCTACAAACCATGCTGCTAGTGATAATTAAATATTTGAACCGTCTTGCCCATTAACACGGCATTGATCCGTCAAGAGCCGTTTGACAACCTTACTGTCAAGCTCGCGTAAACATTTCAGTGCAGCATACACGCATTCAGCTAAAACACCAACTACGTATATAGTTCGTACTTGCAACCGCAAGAGGCCAATGCACCAACCCCCACTTGCATAAGTTAAGATATCAACATCGACTGACTGAAAATGGCACGCAGCTAGAGACCTCAGCAAAGCAACCTCGGCACAAGCACGAAGTTTTCTTTAGGAAACTTCAAAAGCTCACAGGAAAACCAAGAGCGAAAACGAGAAGGATAAGCGGATTAAAACGAGAGCACAAACTACTTGTACCAACCAGTTGCTCGCAGAGATCCTTCAAAGGCCGCCGCAGCTCGGCGTGATCGGGGAAATCCGCGAACTTGTAGAACGAGACCACCACGAGGGCCGGCGGGTCGGGCCAGGCCCCCGGGTCGCCCGGAACGGGGTCGGCGGCCGACCCGGAGAAGCATTTGGGGAGACCCATGCCGCCTCTCGCGGAGCAGGAGCCGGGACCGCGACGGCGAGCGGGGATCCTCGGGCTCTTGAGCCGAGGAAGACGGAGGCGACAGGAGGAGGAGGGGCTGCTCCGGGCGAGCTCCGGCGAAGCGAAGCGGACGAGTCTGGGACTCAAGGGAAGGGACGAGAGCAAACCCAGGAAGCGCAATGGAGGAATTCTGTGCTTGAGCGCAGGCGCAGCCATTGTTATTGCTCGGCCTGCTGCGGCATGGCGCTCTTCGTCTTCTTCGCGAGTTCATCTTCTTCCTGTGGGCGCTCCCTGTTTCGCAGGAGGCGGGTGGGCGGCGGCGGCGGGCCTCGCGGGCTCGACAGGCCCATGGGCCGTGTATTGGCCCAAGAACCATCGAAGCTGGGCCCATCGGCCGTCCTCCTGGGCCGTCGGAAGAGCCCGGCAAGGCCCAAATCGAACCGCACGAGCCACAACTAGATTAAGAGGAAAGCGCCGGAATTAGATTAGGATTAACCCGCTTAATCATTGTTATTGCTCTAACTTGGCGTGAGGATGGGGAACATGGGGGCAGCGGCAGCATTCTCTCTCCAATATTTAGAAAAACCCTTTCTTGGACTCCTCTCGCACGATAACTCGAATTATTATAATTTTTCGATCTTAATCAAGTTATCAAGTTGCGCTAAGATATGATTAATACGGAAAATTATAATTGATTAGCCTCTTACGCTACCACCACCCACCGATCTACATGTGATGGTTGGTGCTACAAGGGGAAAGTCAAAGTTTGTGCGTGTCTCGTATGCCCGGTTTGGAGGTGGGCACGAATGGAGTTTGGAATTTAGTGCCAAGAAGAAGGAAAAGAATGCCACATCTTCACAATTTTAAAAAAAAAATTATCGCGTTTTATTACGAGGTTGGTTAGAGAGCTATCTCGATCTCAATTAACGTTATCGTTACAACGTATTGGTAGTAATAGGTTTTGCTTCCGTTGAATAATGTCGACAAAATATTCATTTTGATGGGTTATTCGTGGATAGCTGTTTTGAAACTTTTCTACTTTTCGTACCGGAAAAGTCTAAAAATACTTCAAATGACGTTGGGAATGCTGCAATACCAATTGCGGTACGGTACACAAGAATCGATTTACAAAAGGAGGCGATAGATTTTTAATCTGTTTTCTTTTCTTTTTTTTTTGTTAAAACATGACCGACTTGCTTTGGATTCCCAAATACCATTTGTGACAGCGACATCATTCGACATATCAAATTCGCAAAAACGCTACTCAAAAGTCAAACCAAGATCATCATAGTGCGGATTCATGTTCACGAGAACATCTTTTTCTGTCACTTGCTGAAAACAAAGATCTAAAGCTGAAAATTAAAAAAAGAGGAAAATTGATGATTAGCGAGCAAAACCCAAGTGCCACCTCGATTATGAGCTGGTAATCTGAGAACATCCAGCAAGATCAATGCTTGAAAATGTCAAACCTATTGGCAATTGTCAACCAAAACACTTCAAGAACTCCTTGGGGACACACCAAAGGGGCAAGTGCCCATGATTGAAGAAACGAGACGAAGGCGATAAAAGAAATGAAGAGACGGCAAAACATCTGCAGAAACGAACCCTAAAAGAGAGGAAACAACGAAATTTTGCATGCTCTTCTGCGCACACTTGGTGTACACAGCTCTGTCCTCGTAGTTCCCAAACACAAAATCTATGGAATCCCCTCGATTTTTCAGCTTAATTTTCCCCTGTTTCCTTTTCTTCCCCTTGTCAAAAGCAGACCAAGTGTAAGTCCTATAAAGTACAAAAATGAATTAAGAATATCTAGTTGCTCTTTTACAAGACCCAGCTATTGTTTCATTTTTTTCCATTTGACAAAAAATCCATCAAACACTTTTCTTTTGGCGCCTTGTAGAGCAGAACCATTGAATTACCAGTAAAGAAGAAAAAAAGGATTGAACCTACTTTAAGAAGAACAGTCATGCCAATAAAAGAAGAAGCATTTTTGGTCAACAATTTGGGCAGTCCCACCTTATCTCCAAGAATGGCGACATTTCCTGGAAACTTGACAGCAGGAAACGGGCAATATCAGATAGCCTAACATGGCTGGACATTGAATTTCCTCTTTCCTTATCCGTTTCCATTTCTCAGTTTTTTACTTATTTATCTTTGGTATGCATTTGCAGTGCAATTGCTCACTACACCAATCACAGATTACACCGCAGACAGCTATCAACAGGAGGGTACAGAAAGTGAAGTGTGGCCAAAAATCACAGCAGCAGAAACATGAGTAAGAATACTTTAGAAAGATCCATAAGGATTAATGTAGTTAATAAATCGTTAAAAGACTGTTCCGCGGACATAAAAAAAAAGAGGATGTGACTCGCTCATTTTTTAAAACTTACGCACGAATTTCTAAAAGTTAGGTTTATCGTTATCCATGTCAGATCACATATTCATTGGTTGCTCATAAGTCATAATCAAATGACAGCCTAGAGATTTCGCCGTACATCGGGATACAAAAATTATGGGGAAAACTTTATGCCTTTTCAACAGTACGATCGTCACACAAAGGAAAAGGATGGTTGCGCATCAAGTGGAGCACTTGATTCGTGCGAGCCGCTTGTTGCCATTGATCATGCCGGAGCATCTTTGTCGATAGACGATCGTGATTGATCGGTTGTCGTGCGTGCAATGCAGCAATCAGAATCGTTGTGCCAAAGGGGTATTCGAGAGAGAAAAATGGTATTATTAAAAGATTGTTAATCACTTGAAAACCATCTCCCTAATCGACAACTAGCTTGCCTTAAAACAAATGCTGCTTGCATCATTAACTCGTAATTTTGTCGGCATTTCATCCCCTTTTGGTCCCCCCCCCCCCCCCCCCCCCCATCTTCCACAGTAACGTCGGCTGAGGCTGCCAAGTGGAACTAAACAAAGCAGCCGCTGACATCATCCTTACCTTAAGACACGACGTCATCAATGCCACATCAGCAATTTCCCGTCTTTGTTTTCGTCTGCCCTGCTCGTCTCTCGCTTTCAAAATCATGCCTCCCTTCTTTCGACTTTCCTCACATCTTCCAGTGATTTGCTCTCCCCTTTCCTCTCTCCTTCGATCAAACAAGCGAATAAGAACCCCCGGCACCCATCACTTACCCCAAAGAAAAACCGCCAGCGATTCCCACGAGCGGACAGAAACTGCCATTTTTGCAGATAAAAATGGAAACTTTTTTGCTCGAGAGATCATCGACTAGCAGTAGCAAGAGCAGAGCGATCGCAGAGCTCGTCGAGGGCCGTGAATTGGCCTTCCGGCTCAAGACCCTCCTCTGTAAACCCTCTGGGAGTAATGGGTCTGTCTCGGCCGACGAACTTGTCGTGAAGATCTTGAGATCTTTCACCGAGAGTCTCTCTGCGTTGAGTTCTTGTGAAGAGAGTGAGGTTCGCGAGGATATGTCGCCCCAAATGGGTGGCTTTGGCTCCGGTTATGACGATCAGGGGTCTGAACATTCCGGCGAGAGTAGGAAGAGGCCGGGCTTGAAAGACGGCAGAGGTTGCTATAAGAGAAGGTACCTCCTGACTTCTTTCTTTCACTCGCCGCTCGAGATATGAAGTCCTCTGTTTCTTCTTCTTACTGTTGCAGGGGTTAATGATTTCCATTTACCTGCAATCGGCCCAATTTCTCCTAAAAACGAGCCCTTTTTGTACATGATACCGTACGGTCAATGTAATCATTTAGTGGCTCTAGTTAGATAACTTAATCGAGCATCTAATTGGTCAATTAGCTTTGCGTTCCTGGATTTATCTGATGGTTTGGTTCTTGATTGAGTGCAGAAAGGAGTCTGAAACACGCACAACAAAGTCTTCCACCAAGGATGATGGTCATGCTTGGAGAAAGTACGGCCAAAAGGACATTCTTAATTCCAAATACCCAAGGTTTGTCATTTGCTTCTCATTTCACCTCAATTCCAAAACTTTCCTTTAGGGGTTGAAGTGAGAAGGTCAACGATCTTGAAATATGCATCTAGCATTAACAACCAAGTTTTCTTACCATCACAAAGCTTACCTTTCTGGGTTGGAACCTCATTTCTTGGATCAAGCTAGTTAAACTAACTAAACAGTTGCTTCCTAGAGGGCAACTAGAGAATAATAAGGAGTGGGTCACCGCCAAAAAAATATCAAACACCTGCAAAATCTCAGAGATTAAGGTTTAAGGTTGGGGAATCATCCATCTCATTCCTCTTGAACTGTGATGTTATTGTCAGGTGCTACTTCAGGTGCACACACAAGCATGACCAGGGTTGCAGAGCTACCAAGCAAGTCCAGAAAATGGAGGACAACCCCAAATTGTACCAAATCACATACATTGGCAGTCACACATGCAAAGAGATCACGAGGGCCCCACAGATGATCACAGATTCTGATCCTTGGGAATCCTCTTACACTCCCTCCTGCAACAATTCGGACACAAAGCCTCTGATTTATTCTCAGCAAAGTTTTGCCTTCTGCTCAGCTAAAAACAGCATCAAGAAAGAAGAGGAGCTAGCACTAGTTAAGGAAGACACCACAAGGTCCACAACAACCTCGAGCGACTTGACGGATAACCTTTCATCCTTCGATTCAATTTTGCCTCTGGAACTGATGGGTTTCGAATCATCTGACCCGACCGCCATGTACCTGTCTTGTGGGGATGGTAATCCGCACAGTTTTCTGGACATGGACCAGCTGGGACGACTCGGTTTTGATGGAGAGTTTCAATTTTACGAGAACATGCAGTTTTCCTAGCACTAGGGAACGCGAGTCAGCATTGCTTGTATACTCTTGTTTGTACCATTTTGTTCCAAATTCTCCTCGAGCTGTCTGGAGGATAAACCAGTTTAGGTATGAAAAATTTTCACTCTGCACTTGTGAGAGACTTAAGACTGTGTTGAGACTCGTCTTTTGTGCCCCTTTTGGGACACCAAGTGATGAGATTTGTCCCCTCGTGTACCCTTATTACAATTGCAAATGAACGTTTGTGTACTTTCATAATGCCAATGAATGTCCAATCAAATTCGGTGATGTTCTCATCTCATTGTTTCATTTCCACGGTAGTCTCAGACCAAACAACGGTAACATATTTGATAAATTCTGCTCGATGTCGCGGTTAACTTCTTGTTGTTTAGTCCTTTTCTCTTATAGGCCTCTACTGAATTGCTGTAGTACATGGCAATAGCGTGCTTATGGAAATCAGGGAATAACAAAGTATATGCTTTTCCGTCAAATGAAAAGAACAGAGTTATTTTTCGAGATTTTAATAATACCAAGATAGTTTCGCGCGTCCGTATCTGTAAAACAGAACAAAAATTGAAGATCAAGATCAGTTTTCACCGAAAAATGAATACTGGAATTGGATGGTAGTAGTACAAAAGCAGAGGTCTTGTCGCGTTCGGCTGCTTGGAAGTCGGGCCGAAATAGCCATGGATTATACGGCTGCGAAAGATCGGATCCACGAAATGAATGTGTTGACTTGGAGGTCTACTCATCGTTTCGATGGAAATTTCTCGGCATGTAAGTTGGGTCGCCGAGAAGAGTGAGACGGTCAGCCAGTTCACATTGCGAGTGTTCACACATGGTCGGTAGCGAGAGTGACCCCGTGCCGTGTCCCCATATAGAAAAAGAAAGCCTACGTCATCCGCCATAGATTTTTTTATCCTTTCTAATCGCTTTACGTTGGAGCAGTGCTGATCGGATTTAGAAATTTGGCACGCTAGCGACGAAATTAAAAGAATTTGTTCAAACGATAGTACAGTTGTGATGCTACGTCTTAAGAAACGTGAGGTCTCGTTTTAGAACGCTGCTCGTTGCATCACGGAACATAATTCAAAAAGGACTATGTAAAGTTCATCTAGCTCGTGATTGAGAAATAATGGCCCTGTTTGGTTTAGCATTTGAATGCTGCTTTGGGGCTCTAAAGTCCTTTGAACAAATGCAAAATTGTTTGGCAAATTTTTTGACAAGCTTTGAGAAGATACATTTGCATCTCCAAAGCTCTCCAAGGCCTTTGGTTGAATGGAGGAGCCTTGGAAAAGTTGCATTTTTGGGATACAACTTCACGATTCATCAAGCGACTACTATTTATCTTCTTCAAGCTTTGGGTCCAGCGGTTGGCAGCCGGCGACCGCCGCCTGAGGGCTAGTGCAACCCCGGCGATCGTCGCCTGGGGTCGCCAGACCTTGGGCGTCGCCTGAGTCGTGAGACCCAGGCCAATTGTGCGACCCAAGGCTCCGCCTGAGGTCGCAGACCTCGGGCGGTGGTTGCCGGGGACCGCCACCTGAGGTCGCGCGACCCCAGGTGGTAGTTGTCGAGGTTGTGCGACCCCGGCGATCGCCGCCTGGGGTCGCCGGACCTTTAGCGTCGCCTGGGTAGCGTTGGTCTAGGTCGCGCGACCCAGGGAGTCACCCGAGGTCCGGCGACCGCAAGTGGTGGTCGCACAACCCAGGCAACGTCGCTTGAGGTCAGGCGGCGGTGACCGACGCCCAGATTTGGCCGTCGGCGGTTGGCCGGTGACCAGATCTGGCCGAAGGTGGTGATCGGTGGGTGAGCTCCACCGAGATTGCTTTTTTTTTTTTTTAAATATCAGCAAAATTTTTTTACAAAATATAATTTTTATCAAACGGTATTTAGGCCAAAGTTACTTTCAAATGTGATTTTAAAATATACATTACCAAACACTACGTGCATTTCGAAAAATCCTTTTAACTTAAAGGTCTTTGCATTTTGCCAAAGATATTTTTTCAAAACCGAATCAAATGAGCCCAATGTGTGTCTAGAGGATAAAAATGTTGTTGTTTTGAGACAAATTTTTGAAAAGATTGGGAATTTGTTTTTGTGTTGTGACTCTAAAAGATTGAGAGTGAGTCTGTAGTGTCTCAATCTGACAGGGACACTCGAAATTGAAAGGACTCGAGCATCCAATCGAGAAAGAGAAAGAGAAGGAGACAAGAAGCTGACTCGAGTATCTTCTATGAAGTTGATGCAGATCTTCCATGAAATTACCTCGTCCCTAAGGAAGAGGTGCCTGGATCTTACACAGAAGATGACACATAAACACGCCATGCCGGTGGTAGAATAAACAACGGAACGACAAGAAAAAGCTGTTAGGAATTTCCAGGAACTTGTGGCTTATAATCTTTTAAAGGATTCCTACGTACAACTACCCAATGTATGGTAGGACTTGATCTCTGCAAAATCCTCTCCTATCTCTCAATTTTTGTTCTTTTCAGATGTCATTTAGGAATATAAACGCGTCCCAGTATCATCCTCTCATTAGCTACCATTTCAAAATCGCATGATTTTGATAACATGGACGGTTCTAGTTAGACTGATCAAAGCCCTGTGGTCAATAGGGACGAGGTCGCCCGAGCCAAAAAAGCTCGAAGCACAATTTGAGCGCGACTGAACAAGCAATTTCTCTCTTGGACTCATGCTTGCTACATGTGTCATGGGCTCGTCTAGACCTAATTATTCTATGAAGAAATTTCAAAAGTCAAGTATTCAACTGCTGCATGTCCAAGCCTATTCATTGATCAAATCTAATTATGTTCACACATTAGATAATTATTTTTGGAGTACGAGAGTTTCACTGTACGATTAGCATATGGATACATATGGTGCGACTCATCTAATCACGTACACACACATTCTAAATCATGCCTGGGGCTAGAGCTCATACAATTTATCATTTATCTATAAATAGTTGAATACAATAGGATCCTACATCATATGACATACTCCCAAGTGCTTATTTACACTCGAGCAAAGGAGAAAGTAAAGTAAAGATTCTGTCATATGCTTATAGAGCGACCTAATAAGGTATACATGAACATTAATTTCACAATAAACATTAAGTGGTGCCGGCATTAGAGTACAACGGACTATACGTAAGTCTAGACAGTCAGTATCTGACTTATTCAGACAGTAATTGCAAATGAATAATTTCTTTACAAAGACTACCAAAGATGAAGACTATTAATCAAACCATGTTTTGCTTATCCTCCTCCTGCAATTGGGTTTTGAAGTGTTAGCTTTCATTCAGACAAACCCAATTAAATCTTATTTTCCTTCCTTGGAGTTGCGGAAAATCATGTCTATGGTGCTTGGATTGTTGGTCCCGGGATTAAACATCGCAGTTGCCATATCTGCTACTGGGTACTCGACGACTTCTTTATTGTGTCGAGCAGCCGAAGTGCCTGAGCCGCTGCCTCCGACCACCGGGATGGTGCTGCTTGATCCGCTAAACCTGCATAGATCCAAATCCATCGGAATGACATTTGCTGATGGTGGCTGCGGCGGAAACAACGGTGCAGTCGGGGACATATGGCACGTGTGATCGTGGTGGTAGATCACTTCGAATAAGCGAGGATCGTCATCGAGTCGCTGCACTTGCTTCTTTGCGGGGCACTGGTATAATTTTTGGTGGGTGCAACGATAATAACTCCTGAAGAAGCAAATTTTTTAGCTCGAAAACGTACGATCCACCAGTAAGGTACGCAACAGACATGCAAGTTGTTTCCCTACTTAATTAACTTCACATAGCTTGGCGATTACGAAATAAAATTGATTTGGCACCAAACTGGTTTTAAAAGAACAGAAATTCAGATATACTACTTCGACCTTGGCAAGAATCTTCAAAGAAAATACATGCATATGAGCATCAGCCAATTAAACCTCTATCATATGAAGCACCAAACATGAAATCATCTAATAGGAGTGATTACTATCCGGCTCGCTTCTCTGGACAAACAAATTTATGTTCGCCGATCATGAACTATGTAAGTCAAAACTCGACATGAAGTTGTTAAAACCTTAGCTCGTGATTGTGTAACCAAAAAGGTTATATCTTGTGGAGGACCGCTTTGTTGATATAATTGGAGATTGCCGCATATCGAACATCATTTGGGTATTTATACAAAAATTAGAGGCGTACTTTCATCTCGCGAGGAACGAAAGGACCTAACTTACCTTGGATTGGTTGATCCGAGAATTGCTTTCTGACCATATTTTCTCCAAGTGTGCCCGTCGTCCGGAGGAATGTCGGTGTTGCCCATCTGAGGAGCTGCGACTCTCATTACCCGTTTCTCACCTTCATCCCTCCTAAAATAAACACTGGATAAGTTTTCACGGAATCATTTATCATGTACACATATGATTAATATCACTACTTGTAACATTCATACAATTAACAAATTATTGCAAGAATTGATGACTATAAACCCACATATTAATCAATCTGGTTGGTAAAGTGAAATAAAAACATAAGCCTGATCTGAAACTCAACACAGCTGAAAGTCTAATTTAACTTTAGGCCATCCAAGATTAACTATTCGGTGCGTATCGGATGTGAAGATTTTACATTGAACCCTAAGGCCATCTGATAGACACTATCTGCTCAAAGGACGTTTATATGATACTCTTGTAAAATCTGGGAGATATGCTTCTTTTGGACCTTTGGTGGGTCTGCATTTTTGGGAAGTACCTGGGGAATATTCTTCTTCACTAGGCCACTTGGATAGTTTATTATTGAACTGCTGATTAATCAATCTTTGTTCAGCTCAGTGTGAGAGAGTCATCCATGTAGTTTCAAGGAAACTACACTTTGTATTTTAGCTATGTGTGCATAATAAAGCCATGCAAGTTTTACATGCAAAGCAGTGGAAACTCTTCATGCTTAACCGATCTCCCCCGTCACACAAGCACAGGGTTGATGAAGTTATATATATATATATCACAGACATTATCTAATCATCATACAAATCTTTATATACAGCTTTTGGAGTAGGTATATTAGGAATATCCTTATTTCTTTTTTTCTCCTAAAAACAAACGACTGGATACAGGCGAATAGGATGATGAATGCAACGCATGTGGTCCGGACTAAGAGATTCAAAACACAGACAGAACCGCTAGGGCCAGCAATTATCTACATGACCCATATGTAAATTGCCAGACCTAGATCTGTCCATTCTGATTTCACAGCCGAAGAAGGAACTGTCATATGTGAAAGCTGCGCCAGTAATAATCCGAACAGTCCTAATGGTAATGATAAGAAGAAGAAGAAGGCGTGATATGCCAAGCATAATGTTCGATAGTTGATTTGTTTCCTCAGCCTGGTATTGATAAAAGGGTGAAGATAGATGGTTTAGGCAATGCGACTTAGAAGAAAAGCGATCACATTTAACAAGCACATCTCCACTTGAATTTGCTTAATTTAACACATGTTACCTCCTTCGAGATCTTTGTGAGGATGAAGCTGTTCTGTTGAGATCTGATGAAACCTCCATGGACAGTATTCCACCTCCGAGGCCTCTAAATGTTGCACAGCCTTCACCATCGCTACTTCCTTGACCCATCTCAGCTTTAAGAAGCAATTTGGCTCTCACCTGATGATCTGATCCCACTTTCTTTCCACTTCCCCAGTTATTGTCTGGCAATAACCTGGGAAAGCAACTTTGGTAACCTTCAGTTGATTCCTCACTGTTCATGTTGTTCATCAGTTTCTCCAAAGCTGATGTGAAAATTCTTATGATCACTTCGCAGGTCTCGGATACTCTTATCTGGGGCTGGTTTGCCACAGTTGGTAGGTTGGATTCAAGGTCTCTGGCCAACTTGCACCCTTGAAGAATTAAAAACTTGGTTTCATCTTCCATAATTTTATTGGACTCTGGGGATCGTCTTGCTCTATTGGTCAGCAGAAAAAAAGCATTTGGACATTATTACAAACTGCATGCACTAGAGGACATATAAACTGATAGGTGTTGATTTCTATATTGCTGATTATATTTTTGCTGGGTTTTTTCTAGTGTGGCTGCTCACAAATTTTTAGTATGTGTTGGAAATTATTCAGAAAGTGACAAGAATTGATTGTTGGACACGGTAGAGGAAGAAGAAAGGAAACCTGGGAAAGATGACTTTGTCAAATAGGCCACATTTGCTTTTTAACCTTGACCGAAGGTTGACTCATAAATATTTGGAAGATGGAAGTGTGATTCATGAAACTCCCTTTGCTTCCTCTCACTTTTTTTTTATTCCCTGTTTCATGAGAAATTTGAAGGCTTTTAGATCTAAGTTATTACTAATTGCTGTTGTGAATAATTTCTTTAATATTCCCATTTGACCCGTATACCTTAATTTCCATTCCGACGTTAGTGTCTATTATGATTTATCACTTTGTACTTGAATTAACGAAGGAGAAGATCCGACTAATGAATTATTAAACAGCTAGTGACAAACTAGTTCATTGGGTTAACTTAAGACTTCCATGAAGATTAGATCAATAGATGAGTGAGGAGTAACAAGGATCTTGTTCATTGCCTCTTTACGCATGTTTGAAGTCAATAAATCGAATAATTTGCTTAACGTGCTTCTTGTATCGGCGTGGTTATTTAATCCCCAATATACTCCCCTTTGACTATTTTATGTTTCAGACTGATGAGTTTGAATTCAAATAGAGAATTTGTAGTAAGCTTCCAGTAGCTATTCTCAAAGGTCCATGGGGAAGATATTCAGCCAAGGTTGAACGCCTTGTGTACGGCTTTTAACCCCACTCAACGGGCCATGACCGCTGAATTTGATCTCTCGTTATCAACTTATTCTTTGATCAAGAACTTCTGGTTGATTTTACTTCCTGATTTCGAATGCAAGTTCCGGACACTAGAATGCCGATAGATGGAAATTATTAGTTGAGTCGGTAAGACAGATACTAAATAATCTGCAATTATTTCAACACAACTACATAGAAGAATTCTGACCATTGGCCAAGTTCAACAGTTCAAAGCCGAAAAACAGACTTGTACCTATCTACCTAACTGTGCACGTATTGTTGGCCATATCAACAGTGATTTCTGTTTAAAAAGTTATTATGAATGGTATTCACATAGGTTGTTAAACCATGCACTATATCAGAATAATGTTTTGAACCAGTCAACTTTATGGCCAAAAAGGAAAAACAACAGTCAAAAGTCATGAACGTAGAAGCAAACGCGCGGTTGAATGCAGGAGATTGAGTTGAGCAGATATGTGTAGAACCAAAGCATACTGAGCATTCTTAATATAACAGGAGTTTTAATACTTGCCTGCATAATTGACAAATTCATACTTCTCCAGGAGTTATGTGGTTCCAATAATGCTAACAGTTGGGAAAACTATGGCCTCGCAATTGAGCAAATAAAAAAACCTAGAATCTTAATGTGCAAAGGAGTAACTGAATATCGCTGTATTGTCAGCATTTGTCCTCCTATACATGTATTTAGCTTGAAAAATTGTCATGTGATCCACAATTAGCAAAAGAATTTACCTATCAGAATTTAGAAGCAAAAAGAATTTCAAGTCTGTGGTGACATCCTATACCGACGAATTGGCAAAAAAAGAATCCTATGCCGAAAATTTCGAGGAGCAAGCAAGGTATTGTATCTTCCTGGAGCCATTTCATTAACTTGAGAGCGCGGACACCTTTATACTTCTTCGACCTATAAGAATCACAATTTGGATCGTTAACGTCAAAGACAGGCCTACATAGTATTTGCATGAATATTATCGGACCAGAACAGTCGCAGAGTCACCAAATTCAGACAAAATGTCACAAGCAGGCCATTTATGTAATTAAATCATTTGTGTACTGATTTCGAGAAAACACCTGCGGAAGATTCATAAGCTCGTATACAGCTTTCTTTGGGGTTAGCTCGTTGTCAATAATACGAGCAACTGCCGTCAAAACAGGCATTTTAACATTGTATTTCTGGGCCAAGGCAATCACAGCTCCGGCTGTTGAGACGCCTTCAGCCACCTGCGCATACAAACAATAAAAGCAAAAGTGGTGAAAATCACAGTACTCACACAGAGAGAAAGAAGTTATAAGGAAAATCCTGATAATCAATCTCATTACAGGAGAAATCACCAATAAAATATCATTGTCTTAGAAAGTTTGTCAAGCACCTGATTCATAGAGCCAAGTATATCGTCAAGCTTCTCACCCGATCCTAGACGCACTCCAACCGTTCTATTTCTTGAAAGATTCACAAAGCATGTCAGCATTATATCCCCAGTTCCCGACAGACCAGTAATGGTGGCTGGCTTTGCACCCATCTGAGTGAATTAAATAGAGGAAGATCAGTGAGAGACAACCACCCAAAACCAGAAACAAGGATGACAATGAAAAGATTAGGTGTATTTGCCACAAATAACATGAGCCCTTCTAACAGGTAGGGGTGTGTGTGTGTAGAGAGAGAGTATGGGGTTTGAACAGTTGAATAGAAAATGAGCGGTTCCAGTACATGGGACTACTTTTAAAAGAATTAAGCAGTCAGATTTCTTGTTCCTACCCTCCTAATTGATCATCTAAAGTTCAGTGCACTGAATAATAATATCTAAACATCATCCATCAAGAGCCAGTGAAAGCGATGTCTCTGCTATGAGCATACTTTTTACACTAATAAACAAAAACATATTTATATTCCACATGAATCATTAACTATATGTATCATGGGCATCGCAAAATATCTCAATAGGTTGCCTTATATAAGTTCTACCAAGCTAAAATGCAGCACTCCGAGTGGCCGACACTGTCTAATGGAACTTCTAGTTTATGATTTTCAAGTTTCTAGAGCTACTGCTATTAAGCATGACAAATAGCACAAATGCACAGAAATCTGCATTAGAAAAATGATTTGTAAAGATAACCTTCGTCGCCAACCATCTTATCTCAGAACAACCTTGGGCAACTAGAGCTGCCATTGAATTATTACCAAGATGCATCCCGTCCACAATTCCTGCTGCTATTGCTAGAACATTCTTCAAAGCACCTGCGATTTCCACCCCTGTAACATCACTGGGAGCCATCAGAGGTTACAAACTGAACTCATCAGTTCACATGCACAGAAACCATAGTTCCTTTAGCCAAGCATATTGTATATCAAGTGGTCGGGTGACAAGAGAGGTCAATGGCAGTATAAACATTCACAAAACTGAATAGATCGACAGCCAACAAACAAAGGACATGAAAAATAGAAGACAAGGATCACGGACTTCATTCTGCTATGCAAAACGAATAAGCACAATTTGGATAAGTACAATAAAATCAAAGAAAAAAAATAAGCCTCAGAGTCGTACTTTACTGACCCTATGACGAGCAGAGACTGCATACCTTGATGTATTAATTCTAAGGTAACTAGAAGCAAGGAGCTGCTGAGCCGCATTTGCTAGTTTTTTGTCCTTAGTTGCCACCACCATTGCTGCAAACAACTAGAAAAGGTCAAAATCTCACAGGCAGCATTATGCTCACTGATATTGGTGATTATGACAATCCAGCAAATACAAATACCTGTTGGTAATTTATTCATCAATTCCAAAGCAAAAGAAGGTCCCGACAGTGCAATGAAAGGTTGTCGGGGATTTCTCAATGCTTGAGGAATAATTTGAGACATCATCCTCAATGTGTTGAGTTCCAACCCTTTGCTCAGGGATATAAACGGCAAGGCTGGATCCACATAACTTGCAATGCCCTCAAGGAAAGCTGAGCTGAACTGCTTATGCAAAAAACAAGAATTGATCTGTTAACTTTAATAGGTAATTCAATTGCAAAAATTGGAGATTGCCACCTAAGCTTCTTCACAGAAAATTGCACAGATGAGACACCATGTCGGTAAGAACAGCTTACGAACTAGCATGGATGAGTAATAGTCAGATTAAACGAAAGTACCTGCACAGGTACTGCATGAAGGCAATAGTCCGCCTTAAGCAAAGCCGTTTGCGCATCAGTAGTAGCAACTACATTTTTTGGGAGCTTGTGATCTGGAAAATACTTGCTGGACATAAATAACATCAGTGAAGCAGAGTGAACAAAGAAAGAAATTATGCACCGTGGAAGTTATGGGCACCAAAGCAGCAGAAAACTTACTGATTACAATGATTGTCATTGATAGAACGGCAAACAACCGGATCCCTTACAAGCATCTGAACTTCCATTTGAGCCTTTCTGCTCGCAATATGGGCAGCCATTGCAGTACCAAAGGACCCACCTCCAAGCACCACAACCTAAAAGCCAACAGATGATGATAACATTCAGAAATGGTAAAGGAATTCAACTGTCATCTTCACATGTTTATAACAAACTAGGTGCGTTTACATTGATATGCAATGAACTCTTCTTCCACAGACTTGAAAATGAGTAGAACAAATCAACAGACAAGTGCCACTTTTGAATAGATTTTGAGCTCAATCAAGAATGGAAGTATGAGTCCAACTTAAGCTGATTCATTTTGAATTCAGAGGCCTGGTAAGAGAATCCTGCTTGAAACCAGAGATCTCCAAGCGGGAAGTAAAAAGGAGTACCATAATCAGATTCCAAATTGAAAGGAGATATTTTAAAGGGCGGCGAAGTATGGTGATAATCCCCAAGCAGCAACATATCCAGGAAATTGAAAAAAAGCACAAAAGAACTAAAAGACAATCCCAGAGAGTTCAAGAACGCCATTGCTCATTTGTGAAAGGAGCACAGTACAGTCCAATTCCACGTCTGTACAGTGACCAAGTAAAAGAAAGAACCAACATCCATTCCAATTCAGAAACTTCTTAGAAGTGAACAATTGAAAACAAAAACGCAATACCTCCACACAGGAAAATTGAGAAACCGCAGACAAAAATCAAGATTCGATTAACCAAGACAAACCCAACACTCCAAATGCCCCACCAGTTACCGTAAGTGAGATCTTGCTGCAGAAAATAACCTTGTCTGTACGTTCAAGAACATCGGTCTTGGCCTTGGACCGCCAGGACCTGGACCACCGGACCAACTTCTCCCACGCGACTCGGACCGCTTTTCTCCTATCTCTCGCGCGGTCGGCCGGAGCATTAGTCTCAGAAGCCGAGGATTGAGGGCCGCCGTCGTCTTCCGCCGGTGACAGTGGCGGCGAAGTGCTCCCGGAAGAGCAAGAACAGGAGGTGGAAGTGGAGATGGGATGAGGGGGAGGGCGAGGTTGGAGTATGATGATGGGTCTCGAGTGCCGTTTCAGGGGCGTGCGCCGGACTCTGAAGGATGCAGACGGGTTCGAGGTTGCGTACAAGCCGTTCAAGAAGGCTGGCTCCAGTAACGCCGCCATGCATTGCACACACGCAGAGAGAGAGAGAGAGATACGAGGATCGATCCTCGCAGTGCACCTTTTAGGTTTATCCAATACTGGCGCTTGCCTTGCTTGGTGTGGTGGTGAGACGAAGTTCCCGCTTTCGTTTGGTTTATTCACAAATATCTCGGGCAGTCGAGATTGCACAGCTATAGTTAATACCATGAAAAGCCCTAAACTGATGATATACATGTGATAATTTTATCCCGAACTAATTTTTTTATCACCAAAAATTTTAAATTGATACACCTATGATAATTTTACCCCGAACTATTTTTTTGACCACCAAACACCTCACACTGGTATACTTGTGACAAATTCATCCTCCGTTAGTTTCCGTTAAATTTTACTGTCAAATTGCTAAATTTGATGACACGTAGAAGTTGACGGATGTACCAGTTTGGGATTTTACCCTCTGTTTGTCACAAGTTTACCAATTTGTGATTTTTCCTGATATTAATCCAATTTAACGGACACTAACGGAGGGTAAATTTGTCACACATGTACCAGTTTGGGGTTTTTAGTGGTTAAAAAATTAGTTCGGGATAAAATTGTCACAAGTATATCAGTTTAGAGTTTTTGGAGGTCAAAAAATTAGTTCGAGATAAAATTATCACAAGTGTATCAGTTTGGGGTTTTTGGTGATCAAAAAATTAATTCGAGGTAAAATTGTCATAGGTGTACCAGTTTGAGGTTTTTTATGGTATTAACCCTATTATTTACAAAGACTGTCATATGTTGCTCGACAAAGCAAATTAGTACGTGCCCCCACTACCGAAATGCTCGGTCCTATTGGCCTAATGGGAGATCAAGGCCGCATAGTTAGATCGAGATGTGAGCGAATTTATTGGGAGACGAGGAGGACAGTAATATACAATAAGATGGGCCAAGAATTTAGAATTTGTAGAGTACTTACATGTTAAATTTATGAAGTGTGGGATCGGAGTGATAAGTAAATTGACTTGCGAGATCTATTGAACCAAAAAAAGAGGACCTCGAATTTCCGGCAACGTGTGATGATTTTTAACATTACTGTCGGTGTTGGCAAAAGCAAAAAGAGGATGTCAATTGGTTTTGCCGGGCTTAGGCAATATGCAGCTTGAGAATGACTTGAAAAGGTAATATTTTATCCTTAAGACTTTCTCCATTTCTCTGGGAAGTCGAATAATATCACATCCCTTGCTCTTTCAACTGTTATCTTAGTTTGGATCACGAGCTTAACAAGTAAAGTTGACAAAAAAAATACTATACATTATATAATGGCCACGCGCTGTCGAGGTGTACTGGTTGTTCCAGAGGGCCAAAAGGCCAAACTTTGCTCTCACTGTTGCTTCATCCATCAGAAAATGTCCGTCCCTTTGATAGATTATTCTTTCTTCCATCCATCATCCATCGACACCCACCAAAACTCATTGTATTCGATTTTCGACAATTTTCTCCTTTTATGAGCTTGATGCCATTGTGTTTTCAGCTGAAAAAACTTCATTCCCAGAAAAATACAAGGTAGAGTCCTGTCAATCATCTGGAAGCCGCTCTCTCTCTCTCTCTCTCTCTCTCTCTCTCTCTCTGTGAATGAGTTCAAGATTCGATTTTGAGCATCTGGGTTGTTCAGGTATTGATTGGTTCTTTCTGGGTCTTGCTTTCTTGCAGGTAATATGGTGACGAAAAGGAAGGGCAAGAATCACCACCACCGCAAGCATGGCTCCAGCAAGAAGAGCCCACAAGGTGGTGGCAAAGGCAAAGCCAGGGCATGTTGTTGTTGCCCTTGTCTTGCTGTTTCCTCTGTGGCTAGGGGATTTGGGAGATGTCTATTTGTCACTTGTTATCCAATGATTCAGTGCTTTGGATGGGATGAGAGAAGGCACCATCACCATCGCCATCACAGGCACTTTTACTGATGATCTTTTCCAATTCTCCTAGACTTGGGATGGAACTTCTGATGTTTCTTGGTTCTTTATTTGTAAGTCTGTCGTCCCCTCTCAATCACAAAAGAAGACAAAAGGGAAAAAGTTTTTTGGACAGATTGTGTCAAATTCATCATCCTCTGCTTTTATTGTTGAAGAACGAATATTTTTATTACTTCTACTTTTTTTATTTTGGCTTAATTTGACTATTTTCAGAAATTTAATTTCCAATTCTTTCTCCAAACAAAACAGATTGAAGGACAAAAGTGAATTTAATTTCCCAAAAATTTACACAATACACCGCTTCTCCTTAAAATCCTGACAAAAACTATCATTCAAAAGGAACTATCTAACATAGAGGATGACTTTCCAGAGAAGTACAAGATCAAAACACACCAGGTGCATCAAATTTGACTCCGTAAGGTCTGTTTGGTATGCAAGGAGCTTACATCTTGGTTTGGGTTAGATTTTTCTCTTCCCTAATCTTACTCACAAAACAAGGTCAAAGAAATTTCCCCCGTATGTCTAGGTTCTGCAATTCATTAGATGACACCTGAGTTTCTTTACATCTGACGCTTTGAGAGGCTTGAGCATGAACATCTGAGCTCCTTCGGCCAAACACTTGTTAATCCGAGTTGGAACATTCTCAGACGACACGATCACAACAGGAACTTCCTTCAAGATAGAAGATCCCTGCTAGGTAGAATTTATAAATGTTAGTTAGTCAACCTACTATGATATCGAACAGAACATGAATAAGAAATTTAAGTGAAATTTACTTAAAAACAATCTTTATCCTAATCTGATGAGTGAGCGAATATACCTTGACTTTTTTCAGCAACTCAAACCCTGTCATTCCTGGCATGCAATAATCTGTAATTATCAGATTGACCTTTGAAGTCTGCAGCAGATCATAATCAAGAACTATCAGATGACAAACATATTGATAATACTGTTAAATTTCCTTTCGTTATTCTGCACAACTACGTGCACCAGTAACTCGCATAATTATTTCCGCCTCCTTAGCGGCACTGTTTTTCTTTCATGACCAACAAAACGAGCTACTTACAGTTGCAGAGGCTGAAGATTCGCCAGGCTGATCATCTCTTATACCCAGATATTCCAAGGCTCTCATCCCATTTTCTGCAGTTGTCACTGCACCAATTCATAAACCATTAGCAACCAAGGTAGCTTCTTCAGCATGCACAATGGCTTAACTAACATACATTGGCCAAGGATCAAAGATCAATTGAATCTTAAGTTTAAGTCTATCTAAATGCACTTGCACTGCCACTTTTCAAAGCCATCAGATTCACTGTGGCTGCTCGCCATATTGTCATAACCTTACATAATCAACTTATCAGTTATCATCATACGATTTATCTACAGGATACAGAATTCCTTATATTTCTAATATATCGGCCCATAGGGTTATGTACATTGTCACTGTGAAAAGGAGATGCCAAAAGCCATGCACGATATGAGCTATTCGTGGATACCAAATTCAAAGAGGTTAAGCTACAAGTATTATCTTTCAGACTTCAATGTCCTGTCAAAGTGTCAATCTTCCAAGGAAGTGAGTGCATTTGTTAGTCTAGGTTGAATACTTACAGCGGCAGTAAATGCGAAGAGCCGACGGTAAAAGAATAAAGAAGATCACCCCCTAGGACCTACTAATAAATGGGATCTTTTGAATTCTATGGTTTCAGTTTTACAATGTACTTGCATGTTATGAAGTAAGTAAAGATTCTCTGTCTCGAATAAAATCTGGGTAGGTGGAGGAGCTGTAAAAGTACTCGTCAATCATCAATGCTCTTGGAAGTTTTGGGTTGCATGAACAAAGCTTTAGCAAGGACTATCACATAATTGTTCTGTTCTGTTGTACGTTGGATTTTTCACGTTCATGCCCTTCGCAAGGATAAACCTTTTAAATATTGTCACTTTCAACTCATTAACTGCGTACCGTGGGATTTTCAAAAGTGAGGGTCCTTCAAATTCAATTAAGATATCCACCCCTTGTGATATAAAACCAAAACAATGCAGAAAAGTCAATAAAAGTAAAACATCTCACTTGATATTTAAAGAATTAAAAAAGTTTGACGAAGTTTTTGCAGATGTTCTTAATAAGAGGGATTCTATTAATTTACGCGAAATTTACTGACTCCATATTCTTTATCTTTGACAAGTTAGTTATTAATTTTGTAGCTGAATACTTCGAATGTTGGAACTGACCGCATATTCTTATCAAGCCTGTTGTCCATTATTGAAACTTAGGTGCTAAACTCCAGCGAACAGAGGCCAATCTCCAGACTATAAAAAATGACCATTTCTCTGATTTTGCAAGTTTAACAAAGGAGGTGTTACTGCTAAAGAAGACCATTCTCAAAATAAGGACAGCCATTACAGATTCAAGAAAAGTTGTGAAATCCATTCATGAAATCATAGATAATGATGCGTGAGGGGATATGAAGAAATGCAAGTCCCCATAAAATGCAAGACTGGAAAAGAAGCGGCATTTTTTTCTTATACTAGAACAGTATCTGATGAAACGAGGATAAGTCAAAGAAAATGCATTTTATAAAACGACTGAAAAAGGCAGTACCTTTGCAGGATGAGTTCTTGAGCAAGGCCTCGATCATCTTACGGTCGACGAGGTTGTCGTCCACGGCCAAGACGTGGGGTTCGTCTCCATAGTCCGCCATTGAAGAAGACGAAGAAGACAGAGAAGAAGTTTCAAAGGGAAACACAAAAAACAGGGGAGAAGATGAAAGATTAAGAAGGAATGAGGGGAGGTATTAAAGGAGTGGGGTTTGCGGGGAACAATAAATGCAAGAGATCCAATGAAGGTTTTCCTCTGACCAAGAATGGCAATAAATGATGAGTGGGGAAGGAGGAGGGGACGTGAACAGCACACAAGAACATTGCTCACAGGATTTGTATGAGGATACTGTCATTAGTTACTCCTCGGTATTTATAAACAGGGAGAGACAGAGAGAGAGGGTTTGATATGAATGAAGATGAATGAAGGAAGTCACCGATATATCGTGATCCTTTTGGGGGCTGTATCTTGATTTGATTCAGTCCTCTCTCTTTCTTCCATCCTCACCATATCATGTCCTCACTCTCTCTCTCTCTCTCTCTCTGTCTCTCTCTAGAGATCTAGAGAGAGAGAGAATCAGAATCAGCGTGGCATTTGTGCTTGCTGTCTGGGCAAAGATCCTCACTTGAGCTGATGCTCTGCTGCGGCTGCTGCTGCTGGCTGCAGCCGCTGCTGTGTGTGTGGTTTTTAGGACCACCCACCTTCTTTCATTTTCTTTTCTCCAAATCAAAAGTTATTCTCTTGTCACGGAACCACCACAACTACGCACACCCTTCATTTTAGAAATTAAAGAAACGATTCTGCGCACGATATCATTTGGCTGAAGCATGTTAAGAACAGCAAGAAAAGGAAGATCACGGTGGCTCGGCATGTTTTCCGTGTGGAACAGTGAACCAGTTGCGAAATTCCATACGTTATGGTGCTACGAAAACCAACACTTCGTTACGTGTAGGATTCATCAGTCGCCTACTGGAATTTTTGCTAACCGCGCAGATCTCTCTCCTCCTGCCGAAGCTCATATGCTGATGCGGATACGATGCGCTGAGTAGCATCGGGGCTCGAGCACCATCGAACTGCTATATTACAAATCCGAGGTTTGGTTCAGCAGCTCCGAACTGTCTTTTTGGCCCGAAAGATCTTTGACGTGACTCGAGGAATCGGATACGGAGATCTTCTCTAACTTCAAGATGGCTTCTTTCTCTCTAGAATACGACATGTATTTTGGGAAATGGAAAGAGATCTTCTGCTCTGTTCTCGTGTGAGTTGGTGTAAGAAATGGATTTTAGCGATGCCATGCCATCTTTCGTCCGAATTTCTATTTCTCGGATCGATTCCACACTCTTGATTCGGTCAAACTTGGTCATATTGGGAATTGAGCAAATTGAAAACCGGAACAGTCAAATATCCCCCTCCGATAAGAATCTCATGCCAAACATCTCGTGCTTTCGCTTTACCGGGCACAAATCCTATTAATTGCTAAAATTGATACAATTCACATGTGTTTATTTCGTAAACGCCTCATCCAACTGGATTGGCGCGTCTCTGATTTGAATTAGCTTCTTTGAAGAATTTGTAGCATCGTGTATCCGAGGTAGCTTAAGTAGTACCCATCTGCTTAAAAAAGCGCGGCATCATCTTCGGTTTGATTTTACCAAGATCGCTTATGCAGCGAAAAGGTGATTATTTACCTTTCAAGAAAAAGGCAAAGATGATTTTGCAGATCGGTTGCACACACCAAGAATCTCCACACGGTACCAATAAGCCATTGATGGATAGTCTGAGAAGGCGCGAATCTGTACCAAAACATACAGGACGACAAGCCGAACGTGCATTAATGGATGTGAGGCGACACTAAATTCATTGCATTTAATGCTATGCGATCTTCATAAGATTCTGGTCTCGTGGGGGTGTTCTGAAGGTGGATGGTTGTGGCAATTATGGGCAATTTAATACCATCTTTGAGCCATCCGTCTTGCTCTGGACTTGGGCCTTTCTAAATGGGCTCTCGTGTATTGATTTTGGGCCTGAGCCCAATTCAAACCCAGAATTCGTCCTCCAAGCTTCGCAGCATCGCGCTTTCTGGGTAGGCCCAAGAAGAACATGGTCTTGCTGCATCAGATCCAAATGAATGATGGATGAAGTCAATTTGTGAACGTACTGCTTTATCGTTTCACATGGGATATCAAGATTTACGAATGACGTGACTGAGAATGTCTCGTGAAATTACGAACTTACTATCTAAGTCCTAATGCGAACTGGGTGAATTTTATTTTCCACTGGTTGTATATGGGCCGTTGAAATTGACGTTTATAAGTTTGTCTTGTCTATGGTCAAATATGGTTGCCAGCTGCTGCGACGTGGAAGATGATGGCCTTCGTTTGACAAAGAAGAAAAGCATCAAGAAAAGGGGGAAGTTCGACACGGAGGGAGCGCCATTAGAAACAGAAGCTAAAGTACAAACGAGACTAAAACAAAAGAAGCAGCATCCGCTTGTCGTCTTGTTGTCTCTTCCGGTTCCTTCACGCTTGCGCTGCATGGGAACACGAGAAATCTCTCTGCATGAGATCCCATTTCCTTTTTTTTCCCCTTTTTTTGTTACTGTTCCTTGATTAATTATCATTAAAATCAGATTGATGACATCCGGAGAGAATGTGGAATTCTGGGGTACACGCAGATGGGTAGCTGATCATGCAAAGTTGAACAGCTTCCGTTGATGGTGGGAAGAGAAAGAGAGAGAGAGAGAGAGAGAGAGAGAGAGAGAGGGGAGACTACTTATCGTCACTGCTTTCATTCATTCTTGATTTCTTTTATCTCCCTGATCGAGTGAGTTCTAAGTCAAGAAAGAGAGAACCTACGAAGATGTATGTGCACCACCAAACTCGCAAGACAAAGACATCAGCATCTCCCTTCTCCAGCAACAGTCGTCATCATCATCCTCTTCATTCCTACCAAAAATGTGCGAAAGAATGTAGATAAATTCGCCCCGAGACTAGTGAGAGAGAGAGAGAGAGAGAGAGAGAGAGAGAGATTCTTAGAATAACACAAGAAGACAAGCACGACATGTTGCTTTGACTCTGAAGCTCACGGGCCTCACCTGAACCATCCCTCCGAAATGCAGTACAGCATACAATATCGGGCCAGACCCACCACAAAAGGACCACGCAAGACTTGACAAAATCTACAACATTCGAAATAAAGAAAGGCAAAGAGAAAACTAGAAAAGGGTATGGAGTTGAAAGGTAGCTAAGTTTCGCATCATCAAGGCGAGAAATTTACCCCATCTGTCTACGTACATTTGAAAATCAATAACAGCAAATCAAATCAAAAGTCAACACCGAGCAAAGCAAAGCAATGAGGATAAGAGAAAAACAGAAACAGGAAAAGCAAAAAGTGAAGAACCAACAAGTCTACAAAACGATGGTGGGGGAATATCTAGTATCAGCTAGTGTTGTGTCCTGCTCATGCACAAGTTGCTATCACATTTAGCCACAAGATTATTTGTATTGATTAACGATTTCATCACCACTTCTAACCCGGGAACAAAACAAAGGTTTTCACGTGAAAGCCGGTAAATTTTACTACCAAACGATTTACTGTCAATTTTCACTATGGATCATTTTTCTCGTATCGATCTTTTCCCGCCAAACGAAACAATTAATTAATGCTACATTGACTTGAAAACAATGCACGTTATTTTCTCGGGACATAGTCTACTAGAATTGTTCTAAATGATAGCAAGAAGTGTGGTTTGCTGTATAAAAATCCCTGATCAGAGCGAACGGTTGATTATTTCTTGGAGCAACTTTTGTTTGAAACGTTAAGGTTTCTAATATAAGCATAACGTTGACTATGAATCGATGTATTCAGCTAAAACGAATGTAGCTCATCAAATGATGTGGAAGCTTAATGAATGAACGATGAGTTTGTTTTACCCTTGAAATGAGAAAAGTTATTGTGGAAGAACAAGCTTTCTCATGAATAAGCTCAATTTGCCATAAATGAATATAGCTGATAAAATATTCCCATCCTTAGTGATTTTTGTTTTCAAAAATTTATACATACATACGCGCGCATATATATATACACCTTACCTTCCCCTAACAATGTAAAGCCCTCAATAAGAAAATTACAAACAAAGTACTAAACCTACTGTACATATGCTAGTCCTAAACTTTTCAATTTGGTAAATTTAGTGCTAAATTTTTTGAAGACTTGTCAATGTAGTCCTCCTTACCAATCTTGGCCGGCAATCACTGATATGGATGCCAATTGTCCTACGTGACATTACCGACACTGACGTAAATCATTTTTCGCATTTTTTAAATAATATTTCTAGTTTTTTTACAAAAATTTTCATTTTCATTTTTCTTTATTTCTTTTTTCTTTGTTTTCCTTTTTCCACCGCGGATAGGTAGGCCTCAGGGAATCACTAACAGCGAATGCCGACAACCGGCCACAAGCAAGGGCCGACCTCGATAGAGGCCGGCAAGCGTCAACCTTGCCAAAGGTTGACGAAGGAAGAAAAAAAAAAGAAAGAAAAGAAAAGAAAAAAGAAAAAAAAATAAAAGTAGAATTATTTATAAAAAAAAAAAGCATCGGCCATATCACGTAGAACATCCGACATTCACATCAGTGATTATCGCCCAAAATTGATAAATTAGCGATAGGTTTAGGATTAAACTAGTCAAGTTAAAAATATTTGAGATTGAATTGATATTTATATTTTAAATTTACGATTTTTTTGTAAAATAATTATCCCGTCCTCGATTGTGCTACCGAATTTACTCTATTTCTTTTTGTGGTCCTCAATTCGTGGTCTCAACTAGTAAAGCAATACCGCAAGAATTTCTTCTTTGACCACAAGTGAACAGCAGAAAAGATTCTTAGCCCCATTAATTACCAAGGCACGGCAGACAGAGGGTACCCTAGGATTTAACTCCCCTGTCTGCCATTGCATTTAATGTGAAGTTACAGAGGCCAGGTTGCATTCAATTTGAAATTTTGGGAGCATCCGAGAACCCACGAAGGGAAAGGGACTCCGGGTCCGGGCCATTTGGTTTAACTTTATAAAAACGAGTCTCGAGGGAATACACGTACTTTTAGTTAAAAATAAATGAATTTAATAAAAATAAATTTATGAAGCTATTTTGTCTCAAATAATATTTGATTATTTTTTTTGCAAAAGGCTTTGAAATCTTTTTTTATTAAAAAAAAAGGTTACCTTTCGCCGGAGCTAGCGAAGGGCTATGGCTGCCGGCGAGCTAGATCTGGCTCTGATGACCATCACTCAAGATTGGGTGACCGCCGTCGAGCCATATTTGGCACCGGCGGCCGTCGCCCGAGGTCGGGCGACCCCCGGCGAGGGTCGCTCGACCCAAGCGGCCGTCACCTGGGTCGAGCAACCTCACCGGCCCCTCACCGTCCAGATCCGGTATCGTCGGCTGCCCTTTTGCACAGAAGATGAACAATAACATCAAGGGGCAAAATCAGAATATTAAAGAATAAGTGAGGGTAGTTTGGGAAGAAAAAAATTAGGTTCGGTATTTGCCAAATACTGAAAGCCTAAAGTTGGTCCGGTCCAGCTTTAAGCATTCCTAATGCTGGTTTTCGGCATAAAACCATTGGGAATACTTGCCAAACACCTTAACATTTCCCCAAGGAGGCTTTCAAGCTCTTTTGGAATGCTGAATCAAATGGACATCGGCCCGTTTGGTTCAGCATTGGGAATGCTCATTTGGCCTTAAATGAGCATTCCCAAAATGCTGAACCAAACGGTTCAGCATTGGAGTTCCAAATGCTCATTTGGTAGCGTTTGGAATGCCGACTGTTCCCAAAAAAAAAAAAAAAAAAAAAATCTTCTTCAGCAAAGCGTGGCCGGTTAGGGCGGTCGGCGAGGGGGCAGCGCCGCCGACAAGGGGCCGGCGAGGTCGCACAACCCCGGCGACTACCACCTGGGGTCGGGCGACCACCCAGGCCGTCGCCGCCCGGGGTCGCGCGACCCAGGCGACAGCGCTGGGACGGTCGCCCGACCCCAGGTGGCCGTCGCCTGAGGTCGTGCGATCCCGGGCGACGACGGCCTAGCTCGAGCGACGATCGCCTGGGGTCGCTCGACCCAGGCCGTCGCCGCCCGGGTTCGCGCGACCCTAGGCGACGGCCGCCGACGCCAGATCTGGCTTGCCGGTGGCCGTAGCTCTTCGCCGGAGCCGGCGAAGGATACTTTTAAAAATAATAAAAAAAAAAGCTCCCAA